CCCACGGTTTAGGTTCTAGGGGGCGCCAAAGATAACCCTAAGATCCACATATTTAAAAGTCTTATAACTTTTTAATTTTGCCCTCACTGGCCTCCAAGTTTTCTAGGATGATGCAATGTCCAGCCATCAACACATTTGTGAAGGAATTTTTACTCCCCAAAAGAGCGCCCCCCCCCATGGCAGGAGAAAAAAGTCCATTTTTTCTTGTTCCCTAAGGTGAAAATACACATTGTTGAGTGTAACACCTGTACGCTTTGGCAAAATGACACAAAAATTGACACACACATGTATCTCAATAAAATCTACGAAAAAGTCAATGCGCGCGTATCTGTCAAATGTACGGTTAAAGGGTTATTCCGCATTTTTTGCCGATCCGCACACATTGGAATTTCGCTAACTCCTCCGAAGGCTTTCGTTCCACCGGCACCACATTTGCTCAGGCCAATCTACACCTCATGGCCATTAAAAGTTATTCAAATCATGACGCTGCACCCCACGGTTTAGGTTCTAGGGGGCGCCAAAGATAACCCTAAAATCCACATATTTAAAAGTCTTATAACTTTTTATTTTTGTCCTCACTGGCCTCCAAGTTTTCTAGGATGATGCAATGTCCAGCCATCAACACATTTGTGAAGGAATTTTCACTCCCCAAAAGAGCGCCCCCCCATGGCAGGAGAAAAAAGTCAATTTTTTCTTGTCCCCTAAGGTGGAAATTCACACTATTGACTGTCACGCCTGTACGCTTTATCATATTGACACAAAAATTGACACACATATGTATCTCAATAAGATCTACAAAAAAGTCAATGCGCCCGTATCTGTCAAATGTACGGTTAAAGGGCTATTTTGCATTTTTTGCCGATTCGCACACATTGGAATGTGGCTAACTCCTCCTAAGGCTTTCGTCCCACTGACACCAAATTTGCTCAGGCCAATCTACACCCCATGGCCATTCAAAGTTGTAAAAATCATGACGCTGCACCCCACGGTTTACGTTCTAGGGGGCGCCAAAGATGACCCAAAAATCCACATTCTTAAAAGAATCCACATCCCCCCCCTATGGCAGGAGAAAAAGTCAAGTTTTTCCTGCCCATCGCTCAATGGCTCAATCGCATCGCTCTCCAGGCAACACCGTAAGGAGGAGCAATCTGCCATTTCGATATATCATAGCTGTGTTTGTGCCCTCACTCATGGTCCAGACTTTTTTCAAATAGGACATGAAGTTTGTCTGCAGCGAGTGTTTTGGTAGAAACTGCGCCTCCCATTCATTATAATGGGAAATGACCACAGACAAGTGCGCACACCATCTTTGGACCTTTAGTGTGACGCGATCGGGAGGGGGAGGCGGTCGCGCTGGGGGCGGCGCGACGCGGCTCGGGCCCGACAGTGCCCCACCGGGGCCCTAGTTCTTTCTTTCTTTCTTCTTTTTCCTCCCCTTTGAACTGGAAAATGGCCCACTTCCCACTGGCGAAAACTCATGAAATTTGGCAGGACGACCGGGCCTGGTGAAAAATTCGATATTCTGAAGTCGCCCAAACAATAAAATGCAAAATGGCTCCATAGCGCCCCCTAAGGTGGAAATTCACACTATTGACTGTCACGCCTGTACGCTTTGTCATATTGACACAAAAATTGACACACATATGTATCTCAATAAGATCTACAAAAAAGTCAGTGCGGCCGTATCTGTCAAAATTACGGTTAAAGGGTTATTTCGCATTTTTTGCCGATCCGCACACATTGGAATTTCGCGCTAACTCCTCCGAAGGCTTTCGTTCCACCGGCACCACATTTGCTCAGGCCAATCTACACCCTGTGGCCATTAAAAGTTATCAAAATCATGACGCTGCACCCCAAGGTTTAGGTTCTAGGGGGCGCCAAAGATAACACTAAAATCCACATATTTAAAAGTCTTATAACTTTTTATTTTTGTCCTCACTGGCCTCCAAGTTTTCTAGGATGATGCAATGTCCAGCCATCAACACATTTGTGTAGGAATTTTTACTCCCCAAAAGAGCGCCCCCCCATGGCAGGAGAAAAAAGTCCATTTTTTCTTGTCCCCTAAGGTGAAAATACACATTGTTGAGTGTCACGCCTATACGCTTTGTCAAAATGACACAAAAATTGACACACACATGTAACTCAATAAGATCTACAAAAAAGTCCATGCGCGCGTATCTGTCAAATGTACAGTTAAAGGGTTATTCCGCATTTTTTGCAGATACGCACACATTGGAATTTCGCTAACTCCTCCGAAGGCTTTCGTTCCACCGGCACCACATTTGCTCAGGCCAATCTACACCCCATGGCCATTAAAAGTTATTCAAATCATGACGCTGCACCCCACGGTTTAGGTTCTAGGGGGCGCCAAAGATAACCCTAAAATCCACATATTTAAAAGTTTTATAACTTTTTATTTTTGTCCTCACTGGCCTCCAAGTTTTCTAGGATGATGCAATGTCCAGCCATCAACACATTTGTGAAGGAATTTTTACTCCCCAAAAGAGCGCCCCCCCATGGCAGGAGAAAAAAGTCCATTTTTTCTTGTCCCCTAAGGTGAAAATACATATTGTTGAGATTCACGCCTATACGCTTTGTCATATTGACACAAAATTTGACAATCACGTGCCTTGCCTGGTATCATTTTTTTCAGCACAACCTCACCTGTGCGAATTTACAGTTATTTTATCATGTTGACATACTGAATTTACACAATGGACCCAAATTCACACACAAAACATAAAATCCGAGTGGAAAAAAGTAACATTTTTACTGTGAAAACCACAAATATGTGTGATGAACTGTTTTTAAAACTTAAACTTCAAATAAAAATTGTAAACTTCAAAACATATGCAAATTTTTAACAAAAAACATAGTGATTTACCTCTATTTACATCAAAATGCAGGCAATGGCCCAGGCGTTCTTTGTAAAATTATTTACAAAACACTGTATAGTCTCACAAATGTCACTTTTTATTTATGCCACTACAAAAAAACATGATGTAAATGATGCATGATGTAAAACATGATGTAAAAAACTTGTGTAGATCCTCCTCTATGTCAGTCCATGTGTAATTTTTCCATAATTCTTTGTTTTTTGCAGCATTTTTGTTAGTGTAACTGCAGATTGTGCTGACAGTGTCTATGGCACAAAAAAAAAAAAAATTAAAATGCCTCAACATGAACCCCTGGTGGTCTCTGAGGGTGAAACCTGCTAACTGCTGCAGCTCTGTCAGCTTCAGTCTCCCATGCAGAGCTCTGAGCGCATGTGTGGCTCTGCACCCTTAGCAGCGTTGCTAACTCCTCAGTAAGGAAAGCCTGCTTCATGTCAGAGTCTCTAAACTCCAGAAGAAGTCGATAAAAGTCCCTTTCTTTCTAAAAAAAAAGTCGTTAGGGGGTCTGAAAAGTCATTGAATCTAACAACAAAGTCGCTAGGTTTGCAACTACGTGTCCCAGACTGCATCCCTGCTGAGAGTCCCTCCCTCGCTTCTCATGTTGCAGGAAGAACGTAAGCACCCGCCCCTTGTCAATCAGTCACCATATAATTTTGGATTGGTTGTTGTGGTGAAGTTTTCCACCAATAGGAGAGATGTTGTGGTGTGTTTTTTTTTTCTTTTGGCAAGCCTTTTCCGCCTGTAAGACCTGTCGCTAATGTCTGCATGCTATGTTTTCCTGTCTCATACAGCGCGATCGAGCGCCGAACGTGATCAAAATAAGCAGAAAAAAAGTATCGCGGACATAATTTATCATAACTCTGGTTTTATTTGGCCTATCAACACAATTTAAAAACTGGTATATAGGTTGAGGTCCTCACTTTTGAGATAAGTTGAAACGGAGAGTCAACGAGGCTCCGTCTTGCAGCTACATCCGGTTAAATATGTCATGTGACTTGAACGCACACACACACACGCACACACACACACACACACACACACACTCAGAGTCTGGTTTTTAGCACCTGCAAAAACATGCTATTTACATATTTGACAAGAATGCAGAGGCTCCTTTTGCCCCTGAAAAAAATCAAATTTCAAACACAACTTGACTGCTCAATTCTCCAAAAGACAACCATGAAGCTCCATCCAAACCTGAAGCAGGCAGTTGGTGCATGTGTACAGTAACCTGAGGGGAGTGAGGTGAGTGCTTCTGAGGAGAACATGAGCAGTGAAGATTCACCTTGGAGCTAGAACAGAGACATGCACATGATTATACAGGGGCAGGGGCTCAAGTTTTTTCCAGTCGTTTATACAATATGGAAATTAATGTGAAATTAAAACACAAAGTATTAATAGAAAGGTTATGACTGTCCTGTGTAGGTGACAGTGATATCCAATAGGCTAGGCACTCACGAGGCTGGCTGTGGCAAGTGTAAGTGAAAGCAACACGCACTGGCAAGAAGAACAGCAAACGCCGATGAAGGAAAAGGGTCTTTGCAGTGATGGGCGTTACCAGAGAGGGCGATGGCCAGAGGACACAAATGGGACGGGGAGGCAGCACGTTGGGGGGGGGACGCGACACGGCTCGGGCCCGCCAGTGCCCCAACGGGGTCCTAGTTATTATTATTAGGGCCCGAGCCAGCTGCAGAGCAGCCGGGCGTAGGCCCTATTATTCCCCAAGTGGTTTTTCTTTGTTTCTTTCTTTCTTTCTTTCTTTCTTCTTTTTCCTCCCCTTTGAACTGGAAAATGGCCCACTTCCCACTGGCGAAAACTCATGAAATTTGGCAGGACGACCGGGCCTGGTGAAAAATTTGATATTCTGAAGTCGCCCAAACATTAAAATGCAAAATGGCTCCATAGCGCCCCCTAAGGTGGAAATTCACACTATTGACTGTCACGCCTGTACGCTTTGTCATATTGACACAAAAATTGACACACATATGTATCTCAATAAGATCTACAAAAAAGTCAGTGCGGCCGTATCTGTCAAAATTACGGTTAAAGGGTTATTTCGCATTTTTTGCCGATCCGCACACATTGGAATTTCGCTAACTCCTCCGAAGGCTTTCGTTCCACCAGCACCACATTTGCTCAGGCCAATCTACACCCCGTGGCCATTAAAAGTTATCAAAATCATGACGCTGCACCCCAAGGTTTAGGTTCTAGGGGGCGCCAAAGATAACACTAAAATCCACATATTTAAAAGTCTTATAACTTTTTATTTTTGTCCTCACTGGCCTCCAAGTTTTCTAGGATGATGCAATGTCCAGCCATCAACACATTTGTGAAGGAATTTTTACTCCCCAAAAGAGCGCCCCCCCATGGCAGGAGAAAAAAGTCCATTTTTTCTTGTCCCCTAAGGTGAAAATACACATTGTTGAGTGTCACGCCTATACGCTTTGTCAAAATGACACAAAAATTGACACACACATGTAACTCAATAAGATCTACTAAAAAGTCCATGCGCGCGTATCTGTCAAATGTACAGTTAAAGGGTTATTCCGCATTTTTTGCCGATACGCACACATTGGAATTTCGCTAACTCCTCCGAAGGCTTTCGTTCCACCGGCACCACATTTGCTCAGGCCAATCTACACCCCATGGCCATTAAAAGTTATTCAAATCATGATGCTGCACCCCACGGTTTAGGTTCTAGGGGGCGCCAAAGATAACCCAAAAATCCACATTCTTAAATGTTTTATAACTTTTTATTTTTGTCCTCACTGGCCTCCAAGTTTTCTAGGATGATGCAATGTCCAGCCATCAACACATTTGTGAAGGAATTTTTACTCCCCAAAAGAGCGCCCCCCATGGTAGGAGAAAAAAGTCAATTTTTTCTTGTCCCCTTACATAAAAATACACATTGTTGAGTGTCACGCCTGAACGCTTTGTCATATTGACACAAAAATTGACAATCATGTGTATCTCAATTAGATCTACGAAAAAGTCAAAGAGCGCGTATCTGTATAATGTACGGTTAAAGGGCTATTTTGCATTTTTTGCCGATTCGCACACATTGGAATGTGGCTATCTCCTCCTAAGGCTTTCGTCCCACCGATACCAAATTTGCTCAGGGCAATCTACACCCCATGCCCATTCAAAGTTGTAAAAATCATGACGCTGCACCCCACGGTTTACGTTCTAGGGGGCGCCAAAGATGACCCAAAAATCCACATTCTTAAAAGTCATTTTGGCCACTGCAGGAGTACAGAGTACTGCAGTTCTAGGGGGCGCCAAAGATGACCCAAAAATCCACATTCTTAAAAGTCTTTTTGGCCACTGCAGGAGTACAGAGTACTGCAGGATACACACACATATACACACACGCCAACATACACACACACACACACACACACACACACACACACACAGACACACACACACACTCAGAGTCTGTTTTTTAGCACCTGCAAAAACATGCTGTTTACATATTTGACAAGAATGCAGAGGCTTCCTTTTGCCCCTGAAAAAAATCAAATTTCAAACACAACTTGACTGTTCATTTCTCCAAAAGACAACCATGAAGCTCCATTTCAAACCTGAAGCAGATAGTTGGTGCATGTGTACAGTAACCTGAGGGGAGTGAGGTGACTATTTCTGAGGAGAACATGAGCAGTGAAGATTCACCTTGGAGCTAGAACAGGGACGTGCACATGATTATACAGGGGCAGGGGCTCAAGATTTTTCCAGTCATTTATACAATATGGAAATTAATGTGAAATTAAACCACAAATATGTGTGATGAACTGTTTTTAAAACTTAAACTTCAAATAAAAATTGTAAACTTCAAAACATATGCAAATTTTTAACAAAGAACATAGTAATTTACCTCTATTTACATCAAAATGCAGGCAATGGCCCAGGCGTTCTTTGTAAAATTATTTACAAAACACTGTATAGTCTCACAAATGTCACTTTTTATTTATGCCACTACAAAAAAACATGATGTAAATGATGCATGATGTAAAACATGATGTAAAAAACTTGTGTAGATCCTCCTCTATGTCAGTCCATGTGTAATTTTTCCATAATTATTTGTTTTTTGCAGCATTTTTGTTAGTGTAACTGCAGATTGTGCTGACAGTGTCTATGGCACAAAAAAAAAAAAAAATTAAAATGCCTCAACATGAACCCCTGGTGGTCTCTGAGGGTGAAACCTGCTAACTGCTGCAGCTCTGTCAGCTTCAGTCTCCCATGCAGAGCTCAGAGCGCATGTGTGGCTCTGCACCCTTAGCAGCGTTGCTAACTCCTCAGTAAGGAAAGCCTGCTTCATGTCAGAGTCTCTAAACTCCAGAAGAAGTCGATAAAAGTCCCTTTCTTTCTAAAAAAAGTCGTTAGGGTGTCTGAAAAGTCATTGAATCTAACAACAAAGTCGCTAGGTTTGCAACTACGTGTCCCAGACTGCATCCCTGCTGAGAGTCCCTCCCTCCCTTCTCATGTTGCAGGAAGAACGTAAGCGCCCGCCCCTTGTCAATCAGTCACCATATAATTTTGGATTGGTTGTTGTGGTGAAGTTTTCCACCAATAGGAGAGATGTTGTGGTGTGTTTTTTTTTTCTTTTGGCAAGCCTTTTCCGCCTGTAAGACCTGTCGCTAATGTCTGCATGCTATGTTTTCCTGTCTCATACAGCGCGATCGAGCGCCGAACGTGATCAAAATAAGCAGAAAAAAAGTATCGCGGACATAATTTATCATAACTCTGGTTTTATTTGGCCTATCAACACAATTTAAAAACTGGTATATAGGTTGAGGTCCTCACTTTTGAGATAAGTTGAAACGGAGAGTCAACGAGGCTCCGTCTTGCAGCTACATCCGGTTAAATATGTCATGTGACTTGAACGCACACATAGACACACACACACGCACACACACACACACACACACACACACACACACACACACACACACACACACACACACACACTCAGAGTCTGGTTTTTAGCACCTGCAAAAACATGCTATTTACATATTTGACAAGAATGCAGAGGCTCCTTTTGCCCCTGAAAAAAATCAAATTTCAAACACAACTTGACTGGTCATTTCTCCAAAAGACAACCATGAAGCTCCATCCAAACCTGAAGCAGGCAGTTGGTGCATGTGTACAGTAACCTGAGGGGAGTGAGGTGAGTGCTTCTGAGGAGAACATGAGCAGTGAAGATTCACCTTGGAGCTAGAACAGAGACATGCACATGATTATACAGGGGCAGGGGCTCAAGTTTTTTCCAGTCGTTTATACAATATGGAAATTAATGTGAAATTAAAACACAAAGTATTAATAGAAAGGTAATGACTGTCCTGTGTAGGTGACAGTGATATCCAATAGGCTAGGCACTCACGAGGCTGGCTGTGGCAAGTGTAAGTGAAAGCAACACGCACTGGCAGGAAGAACAGCAAACGCCGATGAAGGAAAAGGGTCTTTGCAGTGATGGGCGTTAACAGAGAGGGCGATGGCCAGAGGACACAAATGGGACGGGGAGGCAGCACGTTGGGGGGTGGGGGGGTGGGGGGGGGGAGACGCGACACGGCTCGGGCCCGCCAGTGCCCCAACGGGGTCCTAGTTATTATTTTTCCTCCCCTTTGAACTGGAAAATGGCCCACTTCCCACTGGCGAAAACTCATGAAATTTGGCAGGACGACCGGGCCTGGTGAAAAATTTGATATTCCGAAGTCGCCCAAACAAGAAAATGCAAAATGGCTCCATAGCGCCCCCTAAGGTGAAAATTCACACTATTCACTGTCACGCCTGTACGCTTTGTCAAAATGACACAAAAATTGACACACACATGTATCTCAATAAGATCTACAAAAAAGTCAGTGCGGGCGTATCTGTCAAATGTACGGTTAAAGGGTTATTTCGCATTTTTTGCCGATCCGCACACATTGGAATTTCGCTAACTCCTCCGAAGGCTTTCGTTCCACCGGCACCACATTTGCTCAGGCCAATCTACACCCCATGGCCATTAAAAGTTATTCAAATCATGACGCTGCACCCCACGGTTTAGGTTCTAGGGGGCGCCAAAGATAACCCTAAGATCCACATATTTAAAAGTCTTATAACTTTTTATTTTTGCCCTCACTGGCCTCCAAGTTTTCTAGGATGATGCAATGTCCAGCCATCAACACATTTGTGAAGGAATTTTTACTCCCCAAAAGAGCGCCCCCCCATGGCAGGAGAAAAAAGTCCATTTTTTCTTGTCCCCTAAGGTGAAAATACACATTGTTGAGTGTAACACCTGTACGCTTTGGCAAAATGACACAAAAATTGACACACACATGTATCTCAATAAGATCTACGAAAAAGTCAATGCGCGCGTATCTGTCAAATGTACGGTTAAAGGGTTATTCCGCATTTTTTGCCGATCCGCACACATTGGAATTTCGCTAACTCCTCCGAAGGCTTTCGTTCCACCGGCACCACATTTGCTCAGGCCAATCTACACCCCATGGCCATTAAAAGTTATTCAAATCATGACGCTGCACCCCACGGTTTAGGTTCTAGGGGGAGCCAAAGATAACCGTAAAATCCACATATTTAAAAGTCTTATAACTTTTTATTTTTGTCCCCACTGGCCTCCAAGTTTTCTAGGATGATGCAATGTCCAGCCATCAACACATTTGTGAAGGAATTTTTACTCGCCAAAAGAGCGCCCCCCCATGGCAGGAGAAGAAAGTCAATTTTTTCTTGTCCACTAAGGTGAAAATACACATTGTTGAGTGCTACGCCTGTATGTTTTGTCGTATTGACACAAAATTTTACATACACGTGTATTTCAATAAGATCTTCGAAAAAGTCAATGGCCACGTATCTGTAAAATGTACGGTTAAAGGGTTATTTCGCATTTTTTGCAGATTGGCACACATTGGAATTTCGCTAATTCCTCCGAAGGCTTTCGTTCCACCGGCACCACATTTGCTCAGGCCAATCTACACCCCATGGCCATTAAAAGTTATTCAAATCATGACGCTGCACCCCACGGTTTAGGTTCTAGGGGGCGCCAAATATAACCCTAAAATCCACATATTTAAAAGTCTTATAACTTTTTATTTTTGTCCTCACTGGCCTCCATGTTTTCTAGGATGATGCAATGTCCAGCCATCAACACATTTGTGAAGGAGTTTTTTCTCTTTAAAAGAGCGCCCCCCATGGCAGGAGAATAAAGTCAAGTTTTTCCTGTTCATCATTCAATGGCTCAAACGCACTGCTCTCTCGGCAAAAGCGAAAGGAGGAGCAACTTGCCATTTGGATATATCTTAGCTGTGTTTGTGCCCTCACTCATGGTCCAGACTTTTTTCAAATAGGACATGGAGTTTTTCTGCAGCGAGCGTTTTGGTAGAAACTGCGCCTCCCGTTCATTATAATGGTAAATGACCACAAACAAGTGCGCACACCATCTTTGGACCTTGAGTGTGACGCGATCGGGTGGGGGAGGCGGTCGCGCTGGGGGCGGCGTGACACGGCTCGGGCCCGCCAGTGCCCCAACGGGGCCCTAGTTAGGGCCCGAGCGTAGCTGCTAAGCAGCTGCGAGAGCCCTCTTGTTCCTGTAGTTTCCTTCTTTTGTTATTATTATTATTATTATTTTTCCTCCCCTTTGAACTGGAAAATGGCCCACTTCCCACTGGCGAAAACTCATGAAATTTGGCAGGACGACCGGGCCTGGTGAAAAATTTGATATTCCGAAGTCGCCCAAACAAGAAAATGCAAAATGGCTCCATAGCGCCCCCTAAGGTGAAAATTCACACTATTCACTGTCACGCCTGTACGCTTTGTCAAAATGACACAAAAATTGACACACACATGTATCTCAATAAGATCTACAAAAAAGTCAGTGCGGGCGTATCTGTCAAATGTACGGTTAAAGGGTTATTTCGCATTTTTTGCCGATCCGCACACATTGGAATTTCGCTAACTCCTCCGAAGGCTTTCGTTCCACCGGCACCACATTTGCTCAGGCCAATCTACACCCCATGGCCATTAAAAGTTATTCAAATCATGACGCTGCACCCCACGGTTTAGGTTCTAGGGGGCGCCAAAGATAACCCTAAGATCCACATATTTAAAAGTCTTATAACTTTTTATTTTTGCCCTCACTGGCCTCCAAGTTTTCTAGGATGATGCAATGTCCAGCCATCAACACATTTGTGAAGAAATTTTTACTCCCCAAAAGAGCGCCCCCTTATGGCAGGAGAAAAAAGTCCATTTTTTCTTGTCCCCTAAGGTGAAAATACACATTGTTGAGTGTAACACCTGTACGCTTTGGCAAAATGACACAAAAATTGACACACACATGTATCTCCATAAGATCTACGAAAAAGTCAATGCGCGCGTATCTGTCAAATGTACGGTTAAAGGGTTATTCCGCATTTTTTGCCGATCCGCACACATTGGAATTTCGCTAACTCCTCCGAAGGCTTTCGTTCCACCGGCACCACATTTGCTCAGGCCAATCTACACCCCATGGCCATTAAAAGTTATTCAAATCATGACGCTGCACCCCACGGTTTAGGTTCTAGGGGGAGCCAAAGATAACCGTAAAATCCACATATTTAAAAGTCTTATAACTTTTTATTTTTGTCCCCACTGGCCTCCAAGTTTTCTAGGATGATGCAATGTCCAGCCATCAACACATTTGTGAAGGAATTTTTACTCGGCAAAAGAGCGCTCCCCCATGGCAGGAGAAAAAAGTCAATTTTTTCTTGTCCACTAAGGTGAAAATACACATTGTTGAGTGCTACGCCTGTATGTTTTGTCGTATTGACACAAAATTTTACATACACGTGTATTTCAATAAGATCTTCGAAAAAGTCAATGGCCACGTATCTGTAAAATGTACGGTTAAAGGGTTATTTCGCATTTTTTGCAGATTCGCACACATTGGAATTTCGCTAATTCCTCCGAAGGCTTTCGTTCCACCGGCACCACATTTGCTCAGGCCAATCTACACCCCATGGCCATTAAAAGTTATTCAAATCATGACGCTGCACCCCACGGTTTAGGTTCTAGGGGGCGCCAAATATAACCCTAAAATCCACATATTTAAAAGTCTTATAACTTTTTATTTTTGTCCTCACTGGCCTCCATGTTTTCTAGGATGATGCAATGTCCAGCCATCAACACATTTGTGAAGGAGTTTTTTCTCTTTAAAAGAGCTCCCCCCATGGCAGGAGAATAAAGTCAAGTTTTTCCTGTTCATCATTCAATGGCTCAAACGCACTGCTCTCTCGGCAAAAGCGAAAGGAGGAGCAACTTGCCATTTGGATATATCTTAGCTGTGTTTGTGCCCTCACTCATGGTCCAGACTTTTTTCAAATAGGACATGGAGTTTTTCTGCAGCGAGCGTTTTGGTAGAAACTGCGCCTCCCGTTCATTATAATGGTAAATGACCACAAACAAGTGCGCACACCATCTTTGGACCTTGAGTGTGACGCGATCGGGTGGGGGAGGCGGTCGCGCTGGGGGCGGCGTGACACGGCTCGGGCCCGCCAGTGCCCCAACGGGGCCCTAGTTCTTCTTTTTCCTCCCCTTTGAACTGGAAAATGGCCCACTTCCCACTGGCGAAAACTCATGAAATTTGGCAGGACGACCGGGCCTGGTGAAAAATTCGATATTCTGAAGTCGCCCAAACAATAAAATTCAAAATGGCTCCATAGCGCCCCCTAAGGTGGAAATTCACACTATTGACTGTCACGCCTGTACGCTTTGTCATATTGACACAAAAATTGACACACATATGTATCTCAATAAGATCTACAAAAAAGTCAGTGCGGCCGTATCTGTCAAAATTACGGTTAAAGGGTTATTTCGCATTTTTTGCCGATCCGCACACATTGGAATTTCGCTAACTCCTCCGAAGGCTTTCGTTCCACCGGCACCACATTTGCTCAGGCCAATCTACACCCCGTGGCCATTAAAAGTTATCAAAATCATGACGCTGCACCCCAAGGTTTAGGTTCTAGGGGGCGCCAAAGATAACACTAAAATCCACATATTTAAAAGTCTTATAACTTTTTATTTTTGTCCTCACTGGCCTCCAAGTTTTCTAGGATGATGCAATGTCCAGCCATCAACACATTTGTGAAGGAATTTTTACTCCCCAAAAGAGCGCCCCCCCATGGCAGGAGAAAAAAGTCCATTTTTTCTTGTCACCTAAGGTGAAAATACACATTGTTGAGTGTAACACCTGTACGCTTTGGCAAAATGACACAAAAATTGACACACACATGTATCTCAATAAGATCTACGAAAAAGTCAATGCGCGCGTATCTGTCAAATGTACGGTTAAAGGGTTATTCCGCATTTTTTGCCGATCCGCACACATTGGAATTTCGCTAACTCCTCCGAAGGCTTTCGTTCCACCGGCACCACATTTGCTCAGGCCAATCTACACCCCATGGCCATTAAAAGTTATTCAAATCATGACGCTGCATCCCACGGTTTAGGTTCTAGGGGGCGCCAAAGATAACCCTAAAATCCACATATTTAAAAGTCTTATAACTTTTTATTTTTGTCCTCACTGGCCTCCAAGTTTTCTAGGATGATGCAATGTCCAGCCATCAACACATTTGTGAAGGAATTTTTACTCCCCAAAAGAGCGCCCCCCCATGGCAGGAGAAAAAAGTCAATTTTTTCTTGTCCCCTAAGGTGGAAATTCACACTATTGACTGTCACGCCTGTACGCTTTATCATATTGACACAAAAATTGACACACATATGTATCTCAATAAGATCTACAAAAAAGTCAATTCGCGCGTATCTGTCAAATGTACGGTTAAAGGGCTATTTTTCATTTTTTGCCGATTCGCACACATTGGAATGTGGCTAACTCCTCCTAAGGCTTTCGTCCCACTGACACCAAATTTGCTCAGGCCAATCTACACCCCATGGCCATTCAAAGTTGTAAAAATCATGACGCTGCACCCCACGGTTTAGGTTCTAGGGGGCGCCAAAGAGGACCCAAAAATCCACATTCTTAAAAGAATCCACATCCCCCCCCCTATGGCAGGAGAAAAAGTCAAGTTTTTCCTGCCCATCGCTCAATGGCTCAATCGCATCGCTCTCCAGGCAACACCGTAAGGAGGAGCAACCTGGCATTTCGATATATCATAGCTGTGTTTGTGCCCTCACTCATGGTCCAGACTTTTTTCAAATAGGACATGAAGTTTGTCTGCAGCGAGTGTTTTGGTAGAAACTGCGCCTCCCATTCATTATAATGGGAAATGACCACAGACAAGTGCGCACACCATCTTTGGTTCTTGAGTGTGACGCGATCGGGACGGGGAGGCGGTCGCACTGGGGGCGGCGCGACGCGGCTCGGGCCCGACAGTGCCCCACCGGGGCCCTAGTTTCTTTTTCCTCCCCTTTGAACTGGAAAATGGCCCACTTCCCACTGGCGAAAACTCATGAAATTTGGCAGGACGACCGGGCCTGGTGAAAAATTTGATATTCCGAAGTCGCCCAAACAAGAAAATGCAAAATGGCTCCATAGCGCCCCCTAAGGTGAAAATTCACACTATTGACTGTCACGCCTGTACGCTTTGTCAAAATGACACAAAAATTGACACACACATGTATCTCAATAAGATCTACAAAAAAGTCAGTGCGGCCGTATCTGTCAAATGTACGGTTAAAGGGTTATTTCGCATTTTTTGCCGATCCGCACACATTGGAATTTCGCTAACTCCTCCGAAGGCTTTCGTTCCACCGGCACCACATTTGCTCAGGCCAATCTACACCCCATGGCCATTAAAAGTTATTCAAATCATGACGCTGCACCCCACGGTTTAGGTTCTAGGGGGCGCCAAAGATAACCCTAAAATCCACATATTTAAAAGTCTTATAACTTTTTATTTTTGCCCTCACTGGCCTCCAAGTTTTCTAGGATGATGCAATGTCCAGCCATCAACACATTTGTGAAGGAATTTTTACTCCCCAAAAGAGCGCCCCCCCATGGCAGGAGAAAAAAGTCCATTTTTTCTTGTCCCCTAAGGTGAAAAAACACATTGTTGAGTGTCACGCCTGTACGCTTTGTCAAAATGACACAAAAATTGACACACACATGTATCTCAATAAGATCTACAAAAAAGTCCACGCGCGCGTATCTGTCAAATGTACGGTTAAAGGGTTATTCCGCATTTTTTGCCGATTCGCACACATTGGAATTTCGCTAACTCCTCCGAAGTCTTTCGTTCCACCGGCACCACATTTGCTCAGGCCAATCTACACCCCATGGCCATTAAAAGTTATTCAAATCATGACGCTGCACCCCACGGTTTACGTTCTAGGGGGCGCCAAAGATAACCCAAAAATCCACATTTTTAAAAGTCTTATAACTTTTTATTTTTGTCCTCACTGGCCTCCAAGTTTTCTAGGATGATGCAATGTCCAGCCATCAACACATTTGTGAAGGAATTTTTACTCCCTAAAAGAGCGCCCCCCCATGGCAGGAGAAAAAAGTCCATTTTTTCTTGTCCCCTAAGGTGAAAATACACATTGTTGACTGTCACGCCTGTACGCTTTGGCAAAATGACACAAAAATTGACAATCATGTGTATCTCAATTAGATCTACGAAAAAGTCAAAGAGCGCGTATCTGTATAATGTACGGTAAAAGGGCTATTTTGCATTTTTTGCCGATTCGCAAACATTGGAATTTCGCTAACTCCTCCTAAGGCTTTCGTCCCACTGACACCAAATTTGCTCAGGCCAATCTACACTCCATGGCCATTCAAAGTTGTAAAAATCATGACGCTGCACCCCACGGTTTACGTTTTAGGGGGCGCCAAAGATGACCCAAATATACATTACAGTAGACAAAGTAGTTTTGCCCACTGAGTGGCGCCAAAGGGACTTGTCTGTGGAGTCTGTGAGTCACTATTGGCCGTTTTTGACTACTTTAGATTTTACCTTTATATTTCCTCTTACAAAATTTTTACCTTGCCTTGCCTGGTATCATTTTTTTCAGCACAACCTCACCTGTGTCAATTTACAGTTATTTTATCATTTTGACATACTATATTTACACATTGGACCCAAATTCACACACAAAACATAAAATCCGAGTGGAAAAAAGTAACGTTTTTACTGTGAAAACCACAAATATGTGTGATGAACTGTTTTAAGAACTTAAACTTCAAATAAAAATTGTAAACTTCAAAACATATGCAAAGTTTTAACAAAGAACATAGTAATTTACCTCTATTTACATCAAAATGCAGGCAATGGCCCAGGTGTTCTTTGTAAAATTATTTACAAAACACTGTATAGTCTCACAAATGTCACTTTTTATTTATGCCACTACAGAAAAACATGATGTAAATGATGCATGATGTAAAACATGATGTAAAAAACTTGTGTAGATCCTCCTCTATGTTAGTCCATGTGTAATTTTTCCATAATTCTTTGTTTTTTGCAGCATTTTTGTTAGTGTAACTGCAGATTGTGCTGACAGTGTCTATGGCAAAAAAAAAAAAAACTGAAAATGCCTCAACATGAACCCCTGGTGGTCTCTGAGGGTGAAACCTGCTAACTGCTGCAGCTCTGTCAGCTTCAGTCTCCCATGCAGAGCTCGGAGCGCATGTGTGGCTCTGCACCCTTAGCAGCGTTGCTAACTCCTCAGTAAGGAAAGCCTGCTTCATGTCAGAGTCTCTAAACTCCAGAAGAAGTCGATAAAAGTCACTTTCTAAAAAAAAAGTCGTTAGGGGGTCTGAAAAGTCATTGAATCTAACAACAAAGTCGCTAGGTTTGCAACTACGTGTCCCAGACTGCATCCCTGCTGAGAGTCCCTCCCTCCCTTCTCATATTGCAGGAAGAACGTAAGCGCCCGCCCCTTGTCAATCAGTCACCATATAATTTTGGATTGGTTGTTGTGGTGAAGTTTTCCACCAATAGGAGAGATGTTGTGGTGTGTTTTTTTTTTCCTTTGGCAAGCCTTTTCCGCCTGTAAGACCTGTCGCTAATGTCTGCATGCTATGTTTTCCTGTCTCATACAGCGCGATCGAGCGCCGAACGTGATCAAAATAAGCAGAAAACAAGTATCGCGGACATAATTTATCATAACTCTGGTTTTATTTGGCCTATCAACACAATTTAAAAACTGGTATATAGGTTGAGGTCCTCACTTTTGAGATAAGTTGAAACGGAGTCAACGAGGCTCCGTCTTGCAGCTACATCCGGTTAAATATGTCATGTGACTTGAACGCACACACACACACACACACACACACACACACACAGACACACACACACACGCACACACACACACTCAGAGTCTGGTTTTTAGCACCTGCAAAAACATGCTATTTACATATTTGACAAGAATGCAGAGGCTCCTTTTGCCCCTGAAAAAAATCAAATTTCAAACACAACTTGACTGGTCATTTCTCCAAAAGACAACCATGAAGCTCCATCCAAACCTGAAGCAGGCAGTTGGTGCATGTGTACAGTAACCTGAGGGGAGTGAGGTGACTGCTTCTGAGGAGAACATGAGCAGTGAAGATTCACCTTAGAGCTAGAACAGAGACGTGCACATGATTATACAGGGGCAGGGGCTCAAGTTTTTTCCAGTTGTTTATACAATATGGAAATTAATGTGAAATTAAAAAACAAAGTATTAATAGAAAGGTAATGACTGTCCTGAGTAGGTGACAGTGATATCCAATAGGCTAGGCACTCAAGAGGCTGGCTGTGGCAAGTGTAAGTGAAAGCAACACGCACTGGCAGGAAGAACAGCAAACGCCGATGAAGGAAAAGGGTCTTTGCAGTGATGGGCGTTACCAGAGAGGACGATGGCCAGAGGACACAAATGGGACGGGGAGGCAGCGCGTTGGGGGGGGGGCGCGACACAGCTCGGGCCCGCCAGTGCCCCAACGGGGTCCTAGTTATTTTTCCTCCCCTTTGAACTGGAAAATGGCCCACTTCCCACTGGCGAAAACTCATGAAATTTGGCAGGACGACCGGGCCTGGTGAAAAATTTGATATTCCGAAGTCGCCCAAACAAGAAAATGCAAAATGGCTCCATAGCGCCCCCTAAGGTGAAAAATTCACCTGACGCCTGTACGCTTTGTCAAAATGACACAAAAATTGACACACACATGTATCTCAATAAGATCTACAAAAAAGTCAGTGCGGGCGTATCTGTCAAATGTACGGTTAAAGGGTTATTGCGCATTTTTTGCCGATCCGCACACATTGGAATTTCGCTAACTCCTCCGAAGGCTTTCGTTCCACCGGCACCACATTTGCTCAGGCCAATCTACACCCCATGGCCATTAAAAGTTATTCAAATCATGACGCTGCACCCCACGGTTTAGGTTCTAGGGGGCGCCAAAGATAACACTAAAATCCACATATTTCAAAGTCTTATAACTTTTTATTTTTGTCCTCACTGGCCTCCAAGTTTTCTAGGATGATGCAATGTCCAGCCATCAACACATTTGTGAAGGAATTTTTACTCCCCAAAAGAGCGCCCCCCCATGGCAGGAGAAAAAAGTCCATTTTTTCTTGTCCCCTAAGGTGGAAATTCACACTATTGACTGTCACGCCTGTACGCTTTGTCATATTGACACAAAAATTGACACACATATGTATCTCAATAAGATCTACAAAAAAGTCAGTGCGGCCGTATCTGTCAAAATTACGGTTAAAGGGTTATTTTGCATTTTTTGCCGATCCGCACACATTGGAATTTCGCTAACTCCTCCGAAGGCTTTCGTTCCACCGGCACCACATTTGCTCAGGCCAATCTACACCCCGTGGCCATTAAAAGTTGTAAAAATCATGACGCTGCACCCCACGGTTTACGTTCTAGGGGGCGCCAAAGATGACCCAAAAATCCACATTCTTAAAGGAATCCACATCCCCCCCCCCCCCCCAAGGCAGGAGAAAAAGTCAAGTTTACCCTGCCCATCGCTCAATGGCTCAATCGCATCGCTCTCCAGGTAACACCGTAAGGAGGAGCAACCTGCCATTTCGATATATCATAGCTGTGTTTGTGCCCTCACTCATGGTCCAGACTTTTTTCAAATAGGACATGAAGTTTGTCTGCAGCGAGTGTTTTGGTAGAAACTGCGCCTCCCATTCATTATAATGGGAAATGACCACAGACAAGTGCGCACACCATCTTTGGACCTTGAGTGTGACGCGATCGGGAGGGGGAGGCGGTCGCGCTGGGGGCGGCGCGACGCGGCTCGGGCCCGACAGTGCCCCACCGGGGCCCTAGTTAGGGCCCGAGCGTAGCTGCTAAGCAGCTGCGAGAGCCCTATTATTCCCCAAGTGGTTTTTCTTTGTTTCTTAGGGCCCGAGCCAGCTGCAGAGCAGCCGGGCGTAGGCCCTATTATTCCCCAAGTGGTTTTTCTTTGTTTCTTTCTTTCTTTCTTTCTTTCTTTCTTAGGGCCCGAGCGTAGCTGCTAAGCAGCTGCGAGAGCCCTATTATTCCCCAAGGGGTTTTTCTTTGTTTCTTTCTTTCTTCTTTTTCCTCCCCTTTGAACTGGAAAATGGCCCACTTCCCACTGGCGAAAACTCATGAAATTTGGCAGGATGACCGGGCCTGGTGAAAAATTTGATATTCCGAAGTCGCCCAAACAAGAAAATGCAAAATGGCTCCATAGCGCCCCCTAAGGTGAAAATTCACACTATTGACTGTCACGCCTTTACGCTTTGTCATATTGACACAAAAATTGACACACACATGTATCTCAATAAGATCTACAAAAAAGTCAGTGCGGGCATATCTGTCAAATGTACGGTTAAAGGGTTATTCCGCATTTTTTGCCGATCCGCACACATTGGAATTTCGCTAACTCCTCCGAAGGCTTTCGTTCCACCGGCACCACATTTGCTCAGGCCAATCTACACCCCATGGCCATTAAAAGTTATTCAAATCATGACGCTGCACCCCACGGTTTAGGTTCTAGGGGGCGCCAAAGATAACCCTAAAATCCACATATTTAAAAGTCTTATAACTTTTTATTTTTGACCTCACTGGCCTCCAAGTTTTCTAGGATGATGCAATGTCCAGCCATCAACACATTTGTGAAAGAATTTTTAATCCCCAAAAGAGCGCCCCCCCATGGCAGGAGAAAAAAGTCCATTTTTTCTTGTCCCCTAAGGTGAAAATACACATTGTTGAGTGTCACGCCTGTACGCTTTGTCATATTGACACAAAATTTGACACACACATGTATCTCAATAAGATCTACGAAAAAGTCAATGCGCGCGTATCTGTCAAATGTACGGTTAAAGGGTTATTCCGCATTTTTTGCTGATCCGCACACATTGGAATTTCGCTAACTCCTCCTAAGGCTGGCGTTCCACCGGCACCACATTTGCTCAGGCCAATCTACACCCCATGGCCATTAAAAGTTATCAAAATCATGACGCTGCACCCCAAGGTTTAGGTTCTAGGGGGCGCCAAAAATAACCCAAAAATCCACATTCTTAAATGTTTTATAACTTTTTATTTTTGTCCTCACTGGCCTCCAAGTTTTCTAGGATGATGCAATGTCCAGCCATCAACACATTTGTGAAGGAATTTTTACTCCCCAAAAGAGCGCCCCTCCATGGTAGGAGAAAAAAGTCAATTTTTTCTTGTCCCCTTACATAAAAATACACATTGTTGAGTGTCACGCCTGAACGCTTTGTCATATTGACACAAAAATTGACAATCATGTGTATCTCAATTAGATCTACGAAAAAGTCAAAGAGCGCGTATCTGTATAATGTACGGTTAAAGGGCTATTTTGCATTTTTTGCCGATTCGGACACATTGGAATGTGGCTATCTCCTCCTAAGGCTTTCGTCCCACCGATACCAAATTTGCTCAGGGCAATCTACACCCCATGCCCATTCAAAGTTGTAAAAATCATGACGCTGCACCCCACGGTTTACGTTCTAGGGGGCGCCAAAGATGACCCAAAAATCCACATTCTTAAAAGTCATTTTGGCCACTGCAGGAGTACAGAGTACTGCAGTTCTAGGGGGCGCCAAAGATGACCCAAAAATCCACATTCTTAAAAGTCTTTTTGGCCACTGCAGGAGTACAGAGTACTGCAGGATACACACACATATACACACACGCCAACATACACACACACACACACACACACACACACACACACACACACACACACAGACACACACACACACACACTCAGAGTCTGTTTTTTAGCACCTGCAAAAACATGCTGTTTACATATTTGACAAGAATGCAGAGGCTTCCTTTTGCCCCTGAAAAAAATCAAATTTCAAACACAACTTGACTGTTCATTTCTCCAAAAGACAACCATGAAGCTCCATTTCAAACCTGAAGCAGATAGTTGGTGCATGTGTACAGTAACCTGAGGGGAGTGAGGTGACTATTTCTGAGGAGAACATGAGCAGTGAAGATTCACCTTGGAGCTAGAACAGGGACGTGCACATGATTATACAGGGGCAGGGGCTCAAGTTTTTTCCAGTCATTTATACAATATGGAAATTAATGTGAAATTAAACCACAAATATGTGTGATGAACTGTTTTTAAAACTTAAACTTCAAATAAAAATTGTAAACTTCAAAACATATGCAAATTTTTAACAAAGAACATAGTAATTTACCTCTATTTACATCAAAATGCAGGCAATGGCCCAGGCGTTCTTTGTAAAATTATTTACAAAACACTGTATAGTCTCACAAATGTCACTTTTTATTTATGCCACTACAAAAAAACATGATGTAAATGATGCATGATGTAAAACATGATGAAAAAAACTTGTGTAGATCCTCCTCTATGTCAGTCCATGTGTAATTTTTCCATAATTCTTTGTTTTTTGCAGCATTTTTGTTAGTGTAACTGCAGATTGTGCTGACAGTGTCTATGGCACAAAAAAAAAAAAAAATTAAAATGCCTCAACATGAACCCCTGGTGGTCTCTGAGGGTGAAACCTGCTAACTGCTGCAGCTCTGTCAGCTTCAGTCTCCCATGCAGAGCTCTGAGCGCATGTGTGGCTCTGCACCCTTAGCAGCGTTGCTAACTCCTCAGTAAGGAAAGCCTGCTTCATGTCAGAGTCTCTAAACTCCAGAAGAAGTCGATAAAAGTCCCTTTCTTTCTAAAAAAAGTTGTTAGGGTGTCTGAAAAGTCATTGAATCTAACAACAAAGTCGCTAGGTTTGCAACTACGTGTCCCAGACTGCATCCCTGCTGAGAGTCCCTCCCTCCCTTCTCATGTTGCAGGAAGAACGTAAGCGCCCGCCCCTTGTCAATCAGTCACCATATAATTTTGGATTGGTTGTTGTGGTGAAGTTTTCCACCAATAGGAGAGATGTTGTGGTGTGTTTTTTTTTTCTTTTGGCAAGCCTTTTCCGCCTGTAAGACCTGTCGCTAATGTCTGCATGCTATGTTTTCCTGTCTCATACAGCGCGATCGAGCGCCGAACGTGATCAAAATAAGCAGAAAAAAAGTATCGCGGACATAATTTATCATAACTCTGGTTTTATTTGGCCTATCAACACAATTTAAAAACTGGTATATAGGTTGAGGTCCTCACTTTTGAGATAAGTTGAAACGGAGAGTCAACGAGGCTCCGTCTTGCAGCTACATCCGGTTAAATATGTCATGTGACTTGAACGCACACATAGACACACACACACGCACACACACACACACACACACACACACACACACACACACACTCAGAGTCTGGTTTTTAGCACCTGCAAAAACATGCTATTTACATATTTGACAAGAATGCAGAGGCTCCTTTTGCCCCTGAAAAAAATCAAATTTCAAACACAACTTGACTGGTCATTTCTCCAAAAGACAACCATGAAGCTCCATCCAAACCTGAAGCAGGCAGTTGGTGCATGTGTACAGTAACCTGAGGGGAGTGAGGTGAGTGCTTCTGAGGAGAACATGAGCAGTGAAGATTCACCTTGGAGCTAGAACAGAGACATGCACATGATTATACAGGGGCAGGGGCTCAAGTTTTTTCCAGTCGTTTATACAATATGGAAATTAATGTGAAATTAAAACACAAAGTATTAATAGAAAGGTAATGACTGTCCTGTGTAGGTGACAGTGATATCCAATAGGCTAGGCACTCACGAGGCTGGCTGTGGCAAGTGTAAGTGAAAGCAACACGCACTGGCAGGAAGAACAGCAAACGCCGATGAAGGAAAAGGGTCTTTGCAGTGATGGGCGTTAACAGAGAGGGCGATGGCCAGAGGACACAAATGGGACGGGGAGGCAGCGCGTTGGGGGGGAGACGCGACACGGCTCGGGCCCGCCAGTGCCCCAACGGGGTCCTAGTTAGGGCCCGAGCGTAGCTGCTAAGCAGCTGCGAGAGCCCTCTTGTTCCTGTAGTTTCCTTCTTTTGTTATTATTATTAGGGCCCGAGCCAGCTGCAGAGCAGCCGGGCGTAGGCCCTATTATTCCCCAAGTGGTTTTTCTTTGTTTCTTTCTTTCTTTCTTTCTTTCTTTCTTTCTTTCTTCTTTTTCCTCCCCTTTGAACTGGAAAATGGCCCACTTCCCACTGGCGAAAACTCATGAAATTTGGCAGGACGACCGGGCCTGGTGAAAAATTCGATATTCTGAAGTCGCCCAAACAATAAAATGCAAAATGGCTCCATAGCGCCCCCTAAGGTGGAAATTCACACTATTGACTGTCACGCCTGTACGCTTTGTCATATTGACACAAAAATTGACACACATATGTATCTCAATAAGATCTACAAAAAAGTCAGTGCGGCCGTATCTGTCAAATGTACGGTCAAAGGGTTATTTCGCATTTTTTGCCGATCCGCACACATTGGAATTTCGCTAACTCCTCCGAAGGCTTTCGTTCCACCGGCACCACATTTGCTCAGGCCAATCTACACCCCGTGGCCATTAAAAGTTATCAAAATCATGACGCTGCACCCCAAGGTTTAGGTTCTAGGGGGCGCCAAAGATAACACTAAAATCCACATATTTAAAAGTCTTATAACTTTTTATTTTTGTCCTCACTAGCCTCCAAGTTTTCTAGGATGATGCAATGTCCAGCCATCAACACATTTGTGAAGGAATTTTTACTCCCCAAAAGAGCGCCCCCCCCATGGCAGGAGAAAAAAGTCCATTTTTTCTTGTCCCCTAAGGTGAAAATACACATTCTTGAGTGTCACGCCTATACGCTTTGTCAAAATGACACAAAAATTGACACACACATGTAACTCAATAAGATCTACAAAAAAGTCCATGCGCGCGTATCTGTCAAATGTACAGTTAAAGGGTTATTCCGCATTTTTTACCGATACGCACACATTGGAATTTCGCTAACTCCTCCGAAGGCTTTCGTTCCACCGGCACCACATTTGCTCAGGCCAATCTACACCCCATGGCCATTAAAAGTTATTCAAATCATGATGCTGCACCCCATGGTTTAGGTTCTAGGGGGCGCCAAAAATAACCCAAAAATCCACATTCTTAAATGTTTTATAACTTTTTATTTTTGTCCTCACTGGCCTCCAAGTTCTCTAGGATGATGCAATGTCCAGCCATCAACACATTTGTGAAGGAATTTTTACTCCCCAAAAGAGCGCCCCCCCATGGTAGGAGAAAAAAGTCCATTTTTTCTTGTCCCCTTACATGAAAATACACATTGTTGAGTGTCACGCCTGAACGCTTTGTCATATTGACACAAAAATTGACAATCATGTGTATCTCAATTAGATCTACGAAAAAGTCAAAGAGCGCGTATCTTTATAATGTACGGTTAAAGGGCTATTTTGCATTTTTTGCCGATTCGCACACATTGGAATGTGGCTATCTCCTCCTAAGGCTTTCGTCCCACCGATACCAAATTTGCTCAGGGCAATCTACACCCCATGCCCATTCAAAGTTGTAAAAATCATGACGCTGCACCCCACGGTTTACGTTCTAGGGGGCGCCAAAGATGACCCAAAAATCCACATTCTTAAAAGTCATTTTGGCCACTGCAGGAGTACAGAGTACTGCAGTTCTAGGGGGCGCCAAAGATGACCCAAAAATCCACATTCTTAAAAGGTTTTTTTGGCCACTGCAGGAGTACAGAGTACTGCAGGATACACACACATATACACACACGCCAACATACACACACACACAGACACACACACACACAGACACACACACACACTCAGAGTCTGTTTTTTAGCACCTGCAAAAACATGCTGTTTACATATTTGACAAGAATGCAGAGGCTTCCTTTTGCCCCTGAAAAAAATCAAATTTCAAACACAACTTGACTGTTCATTTCTCCAAAAGACAACCATGAAGCTCCATTTCAAACCTGAAGCAGATAGTTGGTGCATGTGTACAGTAACCTGAGGGGAGTGAGGTGACTATTTCTGAGGAGAACATGAGCAGTGAAGATTCACCTTGGAGCTAGAACAGGGACGTGCACATGATTATACAGGGGCAGGGGCTCAAGTTTTTTCCAGTCATTTATACAATATGGAAATTAATGTGAAATTAAACCACAAATATGTGTGATGAACTGTTTTTAAAACTTAAACTTCAAATAAAAATTGTAAACTTCAAAACATATGCAAATTTTTAACAAAGAACATAGTAATTTACCTCTATTTACATCAAAATGCAGGCAATGGCCCAGGCGTTCTTTGCAAAATTATTTACAAAACACTGTATAGTCTCACAAATGTCACTTTTTATTTATGCCACTACAAAAAAACATGATGTAAATGATGCATGATGTAAAACATGATGTAAAAAACTTGTGTAGATCCTCCTCTATGTCAGTCCATGTGTAATTTTTCCATAATTCTTTGTTTTTTGCAGCATTTTTGTTAGTGTAACTGCAGATTGTGCTGACAGTGTCTATGGCACAAAAAAAAAAAAAAATTAAAATGCCTCAACATGAACCCCTGGTGGTCTCTGAGGGTGAAACCTGCTAACTGCTGCAGCTCTGTCAGCTTCAGTCTCCCATGCAGAGCTCTGAGCGCATGTGTGGCTCTGCACCCTTAGCAGCGTTGCTAACTCCTCAGTAAGGAAAGCCTGCTTCATGTCAGAGTCTCTAAACTCCAGAAGAAGTCGATAAAAGTCCCTTTCTTTCTAAAAAAAAAAGTCGTTAGGGGGTCTGAAAAGTCATTGAATCTAACAACAAAGTCGCTAGGTTTGCAACTACGTGTCCCAGACTGCATCCCTGCTGAGAGTCCCTCCCTCCCTTCTCATGTTGCAGGAAGAACGTAAGCGCCCTCCCCTTGTCAATCAGTCACCATATAATTTTGGATTGGTTGTTGTGGTGAAGTTTTCCACCAATAGGAGAGATGTTGTGGTGTGTTTTTTTTTTCTTTTGGCAAGCCTTTTCCGCCTGTAAGACCTGTCGCTAATGTGTGCATGCTATGTTTTCCTGTCTCATACAGCGCGATCGAGCGCCGAACGTGATCAAAATAAGCAGAAAAAAAGTATCGCGGACATAATTTATCATAACTCTGGTTTTATTTGGCCTATCAACACAATTTAAAAACTGGTATATAGGTTGAGGTCCTCACTTTTGAGATAAGTTGAAACGGAGAGTCAACGAGGCTCCGTCTTGCAGCTACATCCGGTTAAATATGTCATGTGACTTGAACGCACACACAGACACACACACACGCACACACACACACACACACACACACACACACACACACACACACACACACACACACACTCAGAGTCTGGTTTTTAGCACCTGCAAAAACATGCTATTTACATATTTGACAAGAATGCAGAGGCTCCTTTTGCCCCTGAAAAAAAAATCAAATTTCAAACACAACTTGACTGGTCATTTCTCCAAAAGACAACCATGAAGCTCCATCCAAAGCTCCATCCGACAAGGCTCGGGCCCGCCAGTGCCCCAACGGGGTCCTAGTTATTTTTCCTCCCCTTTGAACTGGAAAATGGCCCACTTCCCACTGGCGAAAACTCATGAAATTTGGCAGGACGACCGGGCCTGGTGAAAAATTTGATATTCCGAAGTCGCCCAAACAAGAAAATGCAAAATGGCTCCATAGCGCCCCCTAAGGTGAAAATTCACACTATTCACTGTCACGCCGGTACGCTTTGTCCAAATGACACAAAAATTGACACACACATGTATCTCAATAAGATCTACAAAAAAGTCAGTGCGGGCGTATCTGTCAAATGTACGGTTAAAGGGTTATTTCGCATTTTTTGCCGATCCGCACACATTGGAATTTCGCTAACTCCTCCGAAGGCTTTCGTTCCACCGGCACCACATTTGCTCAGGCCAATCTACACCCCATGGCCATTAAAAGTTATTCAAATCATGACGCTGCACCCCACGGTTTAGGTTCTAGGGGGCGCCAAAGATAACCCTAAGATCCACATATTTAAAAGTCTTATAACTTTTTATTTTTGCCCTCACTGGCCTCCAAGTTTTCTAGGATGATGCAATGTCCAGCCATCAACACATTTGTGAAGGAATTTTTACTCCCCAAAAGAGCGCCCCCCCATGGCAGGAGAAAAAAGTCCATTTTTTCTTGTCCCCTAAGGTGAAAATACACATTGTTGAGTGTAACACCTGTACGCTTTGGCAAAATGACACAAAAATTGACACACACATGTATCTCAATAAGATCTACAAAAAAGTCAATGCGCGCGTATCTGTCAAATGTACGGTTAAAGGGTTATTCCGCATTTTTTGCCGATCCGCACACATTGGAATTTCGCTAACTCCTCCGAAGGCTTTTCGTTCCACCGGCACCACATTTGCTCAGGCCAATCTACACCCCATGGCCATTAAAAGTTATTCAAATCATGACGCTGCACCCCACGGTTTAGGTTCTAGGGGGCGCCAAAGATAACCCTAAGATCCACATATTTAAAAGTCTTATAACTTTTTATTTTTGCCCTCACTGGCCTCCAAGTTTTCTAGGATGATGCAATGTCCAGCCATCAACACATTTGTGAAGGAATTTTTACTCCCCAAAAGAGCGCCCCCCATGGCAGGAGAAAAAAGTCCATTTTTTCTTGTCCCCTAAGGTGAAAATACACATTGTTGAGTGTAACACCTGTACGCTTTGGCAAAATGACACAAAAATTGACACACACATGTATCTCAATAAGATCTACGAAAAAGTCAATGCGCGCGTATCTGTCAAATGTACGGTTAAAGGGTTATTCCGCATTTTTTGCCGATCCGCACACATTGGAATTTCGCTAACTCCTCCGAAGGCTTTCGTTCCACCGGCACCACATTTGCTCAGGCCAATCTACACCCCATGGCCATTAAAAGTTATTCAAATCATGACGCTGCACCCCACGGTTTAGGTTCTAGGGGGAGCCAAAGATAACCGTAAAATCCACATATTTAAAAGTCTTATAACTTTTTATTTTTGTCCCCACTGGCCTCCAAGTTTTCTAGGATGATGCAATGTCCAGCCATCAACACATTTGTGAAGGAATTTTTACTCGGCAAAAGAGCGCCCCCCCATGGCAGGAGAAAAAAGTCCATTTTTTCTTGTCCACTAAGGTGAAAATACACATTGTTGAGTGCTACGCCTGTATGTTTTGTCGTATTGACACAAAATTTTACATACACGTGTATTTCAATAAGATCTTCGAAAAAGTCAATGGCCACGTATCTGTAAAATGTACGGTTAAAGGGTTATTTCGCATTTTTTGCAGATTCGCACACATTGGAATTTCGCTAATTTCTCCGAAGGCTTTCGTTCCACCGGCACCACATTTGCTCAGGCCAATCTACACCCCATGGCCATTAAAAGTTATTCAAATCATGACGCTGCACCCCACGGTTTAGGTTCTAAGGGGCGCCAAAGATAACCCTAAAATCCACATATTTAAAAGTCTTATAAATTTTTATTTTTGTCCTCACTGGCCTCCATGTTTTCTAGGATGATGCAATGTCCAGCCATCAACACATTTGTGAAGGAGTTTTTTCTCTTTAAAAGAGCGCCCCCCATGGCAGGAGAATAAAGTCAAGTTTTTCCTGTTCATCATTCAATGGCTCAAACGCACTGCTCTCTCGGCAAAAGCGAAAGGAGGAGCAACTTGCCATTTGGATATATCTTAGCTGTGTTTGTGCCCTCACTCATGGTCCAGACTTTTTTCAAATAGGACATGGAGTTTTTCTGCAGCGAGCGTTTTGGTAGAAACTGCGCCTCCCGTTCATTATAATGGTAAATGACCACAAACAAGTGCGCACACCATCTTTGGACCTTGAGTGTGACGCGATCGGGTGGGGGAGGCGGTCGCGCTGGGGGCGGCGTGACACGGCTCGGGCCCGCCAGTGCCCCAACGGGGCCCTAGTTTCTTCTTTTTCCTCCCCTTTGAACTGGAAAATGGCCCACTTCCCACTGGCGAAAACTCATGAAATTTGGCAGGACGACCGGGCCTGGTGAAAAATTCGATATTCTGAAGTCGCCCAAACAATAAAATTCAAAATGGCTCCATAGCGCCCCCTAAGGTGGAAATTCACACTATTGACTGTCACGCCTGTACGCTTTGTCATATTGACACAAAAATTGACACACATATGTATCTCAATAAGATCTACAAAAAAGTCAGTGCGGCCGTATCTGTCAAAATTACGGTTAAAGGGTTATTTCGCATTTTTTGCCGATCCGCACACATTGGAATTTCGCTAACTCCTCCGAAGGCTTTCGTTCCACCGGCACCACATTTGCTCAGGCCAATCTACACCCCGTGGCCATTAAAAGTTATCAAAATCATGACGCTGCACCCCAAGGTTTAGGTTCTAGGGGGCGCCAAAGATAACACTAAAATCCACATATTTAAAAGTCTTATAACTTTTTATTTTTGTCCTCACTGGCCTCCAAGTTTTCTAGGATGATGCAATGTCCAGCCATCAACACATTTGTGAAGGAATTTTTACTCCCCAAAAGAGCGCCCCCCCATGGCAGGAGAAAAAAGTCCATTTTTTCTTGTCCCCTAAGGTGAAAATACACATTGTTGAGTGTCACGCCTATACGCTTTGTCAAAATGACACAAAAATTGACACACACATGTAACTCAATAAGATCTACAAAAAAGTCCAAGCGCGCGTATCTGTCAAATGTACAGTTAAAGGGTTATTCCGCATTTTTTGCCGATACGCACACATTGGAATTTCGCTAACTCCTCCGAAGGCTTTCGTTCCACCGGCACCACATTTGCTCAGGCCAATCTACACCCCATGGCCATTAAAAGTTATTCAAATCATGATGCTGCACCCCATGGTTTAGGTTCTAGGGGGCGCCAAAAATAACCCAAAAATCCACATTCTTAAATGTTTTATAACTTTTTATTTTTGTCCTCACTGGCCTCCAAGTTTTCTAGGATGATGCAATGTCCAGCCATCAACACATTTGTGAAGGAATTTTTACTCCCCAAAAGAGCGCCCCCCCATGGTAGGAGAAAAAAGTCAATTTTTTCTTGTCCCCTTACATAAAAATACACATTGTTGAGTGTCACGCCTGAACGCTTTGTCATATTGACACAAAAATTGACAATCATGTGTATCTCAATTAGATCTACGAAAAAGTCAAAGAGCGCGTATCTGTATAATGTACGGTTAAAGGGCTATTTTGCATTTTTTGCCGATTCGCACACATTGGAATGTGGCTATCTCCTCCTAATGCTTTCGTCCCACCGATACCAAATTTGCTCAGGGCAATCTACACCCCATGCCCATTCAAAGTTGTAAAAATCATGACGCTGCACCCCACGGTTTACGTTCTAGGGGGCGCCAAAAATGACCCAAAAATCCACATTCTTAAAAGTCATTTTGGCCACTGCAGGAGTACAGAGTACTGCAGTTCTAGGGGGCGCCAAAGATGACCCAAAAATCCACATTCTTAAAAGTCTTTTTGGCCACTGCAGGAGTACAGAGTACTGCAGGATACACACACATATACACACACGCCAACATACACACACACACACACACACACACACACACACACACAGACACACACACACACTCAGAGTCTGTTTTTTAGCACCTGCAAAAACATGCTGTTTACATATTTGACAAGAATGCAGAGGCTTCCTTTTGCCCCTGAAAAAAATCAAATTTCAAACACAACTTGACTGTTCATTTCTCCAAAAGACAACCATGAAGCTCCATTTCAAACCTGAAGCAGATAGTTGGTGCATGTGTACAGTAACCTGAGGGGAGTGAGGTGACTATTTCTGAGGAGAACATGAGCAGTGAAGATTCACCTTAGAGCTAGAACAGGGACGTGCACATGATTATACAGGGGCAGGGGCTCAAGTTTTTTCCAGTCATTTATACAATATGGAAATTAATGTGAAATTAAACCACAAATATGTGTGATGAACTGTTTTTAAAACTTAAACTTCAAATAAAAATTGTAAACTTCAAAACATATGCAAATTTTTAACAAAGAACATAGTAATTTACCTCTATTTACATCCAAATACAGGCAATGGCCCAGGCGTTCTTTGTAAAATTATTTACAAAACACTGTATAGTCTCACAAATGTCACTTTTTATTTATGCCACTACAAAAAAACATGATGTAAATGATGCATGATGTAAAACATGATGTAAAAAACTTGTGTAGATCCTCCTCTATGTCAGTCCATGTGTAATTTTTCCATAATTCTTTGTTTTTTGCAGCATTTTTGTTAGTGTAACTGCAGATTGTGCTGACAGTGTCTATGGCACAAAAAAAAAAAAAAATTAAAATGCCTCAACATGAACCCCTGGTGGTCTCTGAGGGTGAAACCTGCTAACTGCTGCAGCTCTGTCAGCTTCAGTCTCCCATGCAGAGCTCTGAGCGCATGTGTGGCTCTGCACCCTTAGCCGCGTTGCTAACTCCTCAGTAAGGAAAGCCTGCTTCATGTCAGAGTCTCTAAACTCCAGAAGAAGTCGATAAAAGTCCCTTTCTTTCTAAAAAAAAGTCGTTAGGGTGTCTGAAAAGTCATTGAATCTAACAACAAAGTCGCTAGGTTTGCAACTACGTGTCCCAGACTGCATCCCTGCTGAGAGTCCCTCCCTCCCTTCTCATGTTGCAGGAAGAACGTAAGCGCCCGCCCCTTGTCAATCAGTCACCATATAATTTTGGATTGGTTGTTGTGGTGAAGTTTTCCACCAATAGGAGAGATGTTGTGGTGTGTATTTTTTTCCTTTGGCAAGCCTTTTCCGCCTGTAAGACCTGTCGCTAATGTCTGCATGCTATGTTTTCCTGTCTCATACAGCGCGATCGAGCGCCGAACGTGATCAAAATAAGCAGAAAAAAAGTATCGCGGACATAATTTATCATAACTCTGGTTTTATTTGGCCTATCAACACAATTTAAAAACTGGTATATAGGTTGAGGTCCTCACTTTTGAGATAAGTTGAAATGGAGAGTCAACGAGGCTCCGTCTTGCAGCTACATCCGGTTAAATATGTCATGTGACTTGAACGCACACATAGACACACACACACGCACACACACGCACACACACACACACACACACACACACACACACACACACACACTCAGAGTCTGGTTTTTAGCACCTGCAAAAACATGCTATTTACATATTTGACAAGAATGCAGAGGCTCCTTTTGCCCCTGAAAAAAATCAAATTTCAAACACAACTTGACTGGTCATTTCTCCAAAAGACAACCATGAAGCTCCATCCAAACCTGAAGCAGGCAGTTGGTGCATGTGTACAGTAACCTGAGGGGAGTGAGGTGAGTGCTTCTGAGGAGAACATGAGCAGTGAAGATTCACCTTGGAGCTAGAACAGAGACATGCACATGATTATACAGGGGCAGGGGCTCAAGTTTTTTCCAGTCGTTTATACAATATGGAAATTAATGTGAAATTAAAACACAAAGTATTAATAGAAAGGTAATGACTGTCCTGTGTAGGTGACAGTGATATCCAATAGGCTAGGCACTCACGAGGCTGGCTGTGGCAAGTGTAAGTGAAAGCAACACGCACTGGCAGGAAGAACAGCAAACGCCGATGAAGGAAAAGGGTCTTTGCAGTGATGGGCACAAATGGGACGGGGAGGCAGCATGTTGGGGGGGGGGGGGAGACGCGACACGGCTCGGGCCCGCCAGTGCCCCAACGGGGTCCTAGTTAGGGCCCGAGCCAGCTGCAGAGCAGCCGGGCGTAGAGCCCTATTATTCCTGATGAGTTTTTCTTTCTTCTTTCTTTCTTTCTTTCTTTCTTTAGGGCCCGAGCGTAGCTGCTAAGCAGCTGCGAGAGCCCTCTTGTTCCTGCATGTTTCCTTCTTTCGTTATTATTTTTCCTCCGCTTTAAACTGGAAAATGGCCCACTTCCCACTGGCGAAAACTCAGGAAATTTGGCAGGACGACCGGGCCTGGTGAAAAATTCGATATTCTGAAGTCGCCCAAACAAGAAAATGCAAAATGGCTCCATAGCGCCCCCTAAGGTGAAAATTCACATGACAGCTGTACGCTTTGTCATATTGACACAACAATTGACACACACATGTATCTCAATAAGATCTACAAAAAAGTCAGTGCGGGCGTATCTGTCAAATGTACGGTTAATGGGTTTTTTTGCATTTTTTGCAGATCTGCACACATTGGAATTTCGCTAACTCCTCCGAAGGCTTTCGTTCGACCGGCACCACATTTGCGCAGGCCAATCTACCCCCCATGGCCATTAAAAGTTGTACAAATCATGACGCTGCACCCCACGGTTTACGTTCTAGGGGGCGCCAAAGATAACCCAAAATCCACATTCTTAAAAGTCTTATAACTTTTTATTTTTGTCCTCACTGCCCTCCAAGTTTTCTAGGATGATGCAATGTCCAGCCATCAACACATTTGTGAAGGAATTTTTACTCCCCAAAAGAGCGCCCCCCCATGGCAGGAGAAAAAAGTCAATTTTTTCTTGTCCCCTTACATGAAAATACACATTGTTGAGTGTCACGCCTGAACGCTTTGTCATATTGACACAAAAATTGACAATCATGTGTATCTCAATTAGATCTACGAAAAAGTCAAAAAGCGCGTGTCTGTATAATGTACGGTTAAAGGGCTATTTCGCATTTTTTGCCGATTCGCACACATTGGAATGTGGCTATCTCCTCCTAAGGCTTTCGTCCCACCGATACCAAATTTGCTCAGGGCAATCTACACCCCATGCCCATTCAAAGTTGTAAAAATCATGACGCTGCACCCCACGGTTTACGTTCTAGGGGGCGCCAAAGATGACCCAAAAATCCACATTCTTAAAAGTCATTTTGGCCACTGCAGGAGTACAGAGTACTGCAGTTCTAGGGGGCGCCAAAGATGACCCAAAAATCCACATTCTTAAAAGTCTTTTTGGCCACTGCAGGAGTACAGAGTACTGCAGGAACACACACACACACACACACACACACACACACACACACACACACACACACACACACACACACACACACACTCAGAGTCTGTTTTTTAGCACCTGCAAAAACATGCTGTTTACATATTTGACAAGAATGCAGAGGCTTCCTTTTGCCCCTGAAAAAAATCAGATTTCAAACACAACTTGACTGTTCATTTCTCCAAAAGACAACCATGAAGCTCCATCCAAACCTGAAGCAGATAGTTGGTGCATGTGTACAGTAACCTGAGGGGAGTGAGGTGACTATTTCTGAGGAGAACATGAGCAGTGAAGATTCACCTTGGAGCTAGAACAGGGACGTGCACATGATTATACAGGGGCAGGGGCTCAAGTTTTTTCCAGTCATTTATACAATATGGAAATTAATGTGAAATTAAACCACAAATATGTGTGATGAACTGTTTTTAAAACTTAAACTTCAAATAAAAATTGTAAACTTCAAAACATATGCAAATTTTTAACAAAGAACATAGTAATTTACCTCTATTTACATCAAAATGCAGGCAATGGCCCAGGCGTTCTTTGTAAAATTATTTACAAAACACTGTATAGTCTCACAAATGTCACTTTTTATGTATGCCACTACAAAAAAACATGATGTAAATGATGCATGATGTAAAACATGATGTAAAAAACTTGTGTAGATCCTCCTCTATGTCAGTCCATGTGTAATTTTTCCATAATTCTTTGTTTTTTGCAGCATTTTTGTTAGTGTAACTGCAGATTGTGCTGACAGTCTATGGCAAAAAAAACAAAAACTGAAAATGCCTCAGCATGAACCCCTGGTGGTCTCTGAGGGTGAAACCTGCTAACTGCTGCAGCTCTGTCAGCTTCAGTCTCCCATGCAGAGCTCGGAGCGCATGTGTGGCTCTGCACCCTTAGCAGCGTTGCTAACTCCTCAGTAAGGAAAGCCTGCTTCATGTCAGAGTCTCTAAACTCCAGAAGAAGTCGATAAAAGTCCCTTTCTTTCTAAAAAAAAGTCGTTAGGGGGTCTGAAAAGTAATTGAATCTAACAACAAAGTCGCTAGGTTTGCAACTACGTGTCCCAGACTGCATCCCTGCTGAGAGTCCCTCCCTCCCTTCTCATGTTGCAGGAAGAACGTAAGCGCCCGCCCCTTGTCAATCAGTCACCATATAATTTTGGATTGGTTGTTGTGGTGAAGTTTTCCACCAATAGGAGAGATGTTGTGGTGTGTTTTTTTTTTCTTTTGGCAAGCCTTTTCCGCCTGTAAGACCTGTCACTAATGTGTGCATGCTATGTTTTCCTGTCTCATACAGCGCGATCGAGCGCCGAACGTGATCAAAACAAGCAGAAAGGTTTAGGTTCTAGGGGGCGCCAAAGATAACCCTAAAATCCACATATTTAAAAGTCTTATAACTTTTTATTTTTGCCCTCACTGGCCTCCAAGTTTTCTAGGATGATGCGATGTCCAGCCATCAACACATTTGTGAAGGAATTTTTACTCCCCAAAAGAGCGCCCCCCCATGGCAGGAGAAAAAAGTCAATTTTTTCTTGTCCCATAAGGTGAAAATACACATTGTTTAGTGTCACGCCTGTACGCTTTGGCAAAATGACACAAAAATTGACACACACATGTATCTCAATAAGATCTACGAAAAAGTCAATGCGCGCGTATCTGTCAAATGTACGGTTAAAGGGTTATTGCGCATTTTTTGCCGATCCGCACACATTGGAATTTCGCTAACTCCTCCGAAGGCTTTCGTTCCACCGGCACCACATTTGCTCAGGCCAATCTACACCCCATGGCCATTAAAAGTTATTCAAATCATGACGCTGCACCCCACGGTTTAGGTTCTAGGGGGCGCCAAAGATAACCCTAAAATCCACATATTTAAAAGTCTTATAACTTTTTATTTTTGTCCTCTCTGGCCTCCAAGTTTTCTAGGATGATGCAATGTCCAGCCATCAACACATTTGTGAAGGAATTTTTACTCCCCAAAAGAGCGCCCCCCCATGGCAGGAGAAAAAAGTCCATTTTTTCTTGTCCCATAAGGTGAAAATACACATTGTTGACTGTCATACCTGTATGCTTTGTCATATTGACACAAAATTTGACACACACATGTATCTCAATAAGATCTACGAAAAAGTCAATGCGCGCGTATCTGTAAAATGTACGGTTAAAGGGCTATTTTGCATTTTTTGCCGATTAGCACACATTGGAATGTGGCTAACTCCTCCTAAGGCTTTCGTCCCACTGACACCAAATTTGCTCAGGCCAATCTACACCCCATGGCCATTCAAAGTTGTAAAAATCATGACGCTGCACCCCACGGTTTACGTTCTAGGGGGCGCCAAAGATGACCCAAATATCCACATTCTTAAAAGAATCCCCCCCCCCCATCCCCCATCCCCCATGGCAGGAGAAACAGTCAAGTTTTTCCTGCCCATCACTCAATGGCTCAATCGCATCGCTCTCCCGGCAACACCGTAACGAGGAGCAACTTGCCGTTTGGATATATCCTAGCTGTGTTTGTGCCCTCACTCATGGTCCAGACTTTTTTCAAATAGGACATGTAGTTTGTCTGCAGCGAGTGTTTTGGTAGAAACTGCGCCTCCTATTCATTATAATGGGAAATGACCACAGACAAGTGCGCACACCATCTTTGGACCTTGAGTGTGACGCGATCGGGAGGGGGAGGTGGTCGCACTGGGGGCGGCGCAACGAGGCTCGGGCCCGCCAGTGCCCCAACGGGGCCCTAGTTTCTTCTTCTTCTTATTAGGGCCCGAGCCAGCTGCAGAGCAGCCGGGCGTAGGCCCTATTATTCCCCAAGTGGTTTTTCTTTGTTTCTTTCTTTCTTTCTTTCTTTAGGGCCCGAGCGTAGCTGCTAAGCAGCTGCGAGAGCCCTCTTGTTCCTGTAGTTTCCTTCTTTTGTTATTATTAGGGCCCGAGCGTAGCTGCTAAGCAGCTGCGAGAGCCCTATTATTCCCCAAGTGGTTTTTCTTTGTTTCTTTTTTCTTTTTCCTCCCCTTTGAACTGGAAAATGGCCCACTTCCCACTGGCGAAAACTCATGAAATTTGGCAGGACGACCGGGCCTGGTGAAAAATTTGATATTCCGAAGTCGCCCAAACAATAAAATGCAAAATGGCTCCATAGCGCCCCCTAAGGTGAAAATTCACATGACGGCTGTACGCTTTGTCATATTGACACAAAAATTGACACACACATGTATCTCAATAAGATCTACAAAAAAGTCAGTGCGGGCGTATCTGTCAAATGTACGGTTAATGGGTTATTTTGCATTTTTTGCAGATCTGCACACATTGGAATTTCGCTAACTCCTCCGAAGGCTTTCGTTCCACCGGCACCACATTTGCTCAGGCCAATCTACACCCCATGGCCATTAAAAGTTATTCAAATCATGACGCTGCACCCCACGGTTTAGGTTCTAGGGGGCGCCAAAAATAACCCTAAAATCCACATATTTAAAAGTCTTATAACTTTTTATTTTTGTCCTCACTGGCCTCCAAGTTTTCTAGGATGATGCAATGTCCAGCCATCAACACATCTGTGAAGGAATTTTTACTCCCCAAAAGAGCGCCCCCCCATGGCAGGAGAAAAAAGTCCATTTTTTCTTGACCCCTAAGGTGAAAATACACATTGTTGAGTGTCACACCTTTACGCTTTGGCAAAATGACACAAAAATTGACACACACATGTATCTCAATAAGATCTACAAAAAAGTCTATGAGCGCGTATCTGTCAAATGTACGGTTAAAGGGTTATTCCGCATTTTTTGCCGATCCGCACACATTGGAATGTGGCTAACTCCTCCTAAGGCTTTCGTTCCACCGGCAACACATTTGCTCAGGCCAATCTACACCCCATGGCCATTAAAAGTTATTCAAATCATGACGCTGCACCCCACGGTTTAGGTTCTAGGGGGCGCCAAAGATAACCCTAAAATCCACATATTTAAAAGTCTTATAACTTTTTATTTTTGTCCTCACTGGCCTCCAAGTTTTCTAGGATGATGCAATGTCCAGCCATCAACACATTTGTGAAGGAATTTTTACTCCCCAAAAGAGCGCCCCCCATGGCAGGAGAAAAAAGTCCATTTTTTCTTGTCCCCTAAGGTGAAAATACATATTGTTGAGATTCACGCCTATACGCTTTGTCATATTGACACAAAATTTGACAATCACGTGCCTTGCCTGGTATCATTTTTTTCAGCACAACCTCACCTGTGCGAATATACAGTTATTTTATCATGTTGACATACTGAATTTACACAATGGACCCAAATTCACACACAAAACATAAAATCCGAGTGGAAAAAAGTAACATTTTTACTGTGAAAACCACAAATATGTGTGATGAACTGTTTTTAAAACTTAAACTTCAAATAAAAATTGTAAACTTCAAAACATATGCAAATTTTTAACAAAGAACATAGTGATTTACCTCTATTTACATCAAAATGCAGGCAATGGCCCAGGCGTTCTTTGTAAAATTATTTACAAAACACTGTATAGTCTCACAAATGTCACTTTTTATTTATGCCACTACAAAAAAACATGATGTAAATGATGCATGATGTAAAACATGATGTAAAAAACTTGTGTAGATCCTCCTCTATGTCAGTCCATGTGTAATTTTTCCATAATTCTTTGTTTTTTGCAGCATTTTTGTTAGTGTAACTGCAGATTGTGCTGACAGTGTCTATGGCACAAAAAAAAAAAAAAATTAAAATGCCTCAACATGAACCCCTGGTGGTCTCTGAGGGTGAAACCTGCTAACTGCTGCAGCTCTGTCAGCTTCAGTCTCCCATGCAGAGCTCTGAGCGCATGTGTGGCTCTGCACCCTTAGCAGCGTTGCTAACTCCTCAGTAAGGAAAGCCTGCTTCATGTCAGAGTCTCTAAACTCCAGAAGAAGTCGATAAAAGTCCCTTTCTTTCTAAAAAAAAAAGTCGTTAGGGGGTCTGAAAAGTCATTGAATCTAACAACAAAGTCGCTAGGTTTGCAACTACATGTCCCAGACTGCATCCCTGCTGAGAGTCCCTCCCTCGCTTCTCATGTTGCAGGAAGAACGTAAGCACCCGCCCCTTGTCAATCAGTCACCATATAATTTTGGATTGGTTGTTGTGGTGAAGTTTTCCACCAATAGGAGAGATGTTGTGGTGTGTTTTTTTTTTCTTTTGGCAAGCCTTTTCCGCCTGTAAGACCTGTCGCTAATGTCTGCATGCTATGTTTTCCTGTCTCATACAGCGCGATCGAGTGCCGAACGTGATCAAAATAAGCAGAAAAAAAGTATCACGGACATAATTTATCATAACTCTGGTTTTATTTGGCCTATCAACACAATTTAAAAACTGGTATATAGGTTGAGGTCCTCACTTTTGAGATAAGTTGAAACGGAGAGTCAACGAGGCTCCGTCTTGCAGCTACATCCGGTTAAATATGTCATGTGACTTGAACGCACACACAGACACACACACACGCACACACACACACACACACACACACACACACACACACACACACTCAGAGTCTGGTTTTTAGCACCTGCAAAAACATGCTATTTACATATTTGACAAGAATGCAGAGGCTCCTTTTGCCCCTGAAAAAAATCAAATTTCAAACACAACTTGACTGGTCATTTCTCCAAAAGACAACCATGAAGCTCCATCCAAACCTGAAGCAGGCAGTTGGTGCATGTGTACAGTAACCTGAGGGGAGTGAGGTGAGTGCTTCTGAGGAGAACATGAGCAGTGAAGATTCACCTTGGAGCTAGAACAGAGACATGCACATGATTATACAGGGGCAGGGGCTCAAGTTTTTTCCAGTCGTTTATACAATATGGAAATTAATGTGAAATTAAAACACAAAGTATTAATAGAAAGGTAATGACTGTCCTGTGTAGGTGACAGTGATATCCAATAGGCTAGGCACTCACGAGGCTGGCTGTGGCAAGTGTAAGTGAAAGCAACACGCACTGGCAGGAAGAACAGCAAACGCCGATGAAGGAAAAGGGTCTTTGCAGTGATGGGCGTTACCAGAGAGGGCGATGGCCAGAGGACACAAATGGGACGGGGAGGCAGCACGTTGGGGGGACGCGACACGGCTCGGGCCCGCCAGTGCCCCAACGGGGTCCTAGTTATTTTTCCTCCCCTTTGAACTGGAAAATGGCCCACTTCCCACTGGCGAAAAACTCATGAAATTTGGCAGGACGACCGGGCCTGGTGAAAAATTTGATATTCCGAAGTCGCCCAAACAAGAAAATGCAAAATGGCTCCATAGCGCCCCCTAAGGTGAAAATTCACACTATTGACTGTCACGCCTGTACGCTTTGTCAAAATGACACAAAAATTGACACACACATGTATCTCAATAAGATCTACAAAAAAGTCAGTGCGGGCGTATCTGTCAAATGTACGGTTAAAGGGTTATTTCGCATTTTTTGCCGATCCGCACACATTGGAATTTCGCTAACTCCTCCGAAGGCTTTCGTTCCACCGACACCACATTTGCTCAGGCCAATCTACACCCCATGGCCATTAAAAGTTATTCAAATCATGACGCTGCACCCCACGGTTTAGGTTCTAGGGGGCGCCAAAGATAACCCTAAGATCCACATATTTAAAAGTCTTATAACTTTTTATTTTTGCCCTCACTGGCCTCCAAGTTTTCTAGGATGATGCAATGTCCAGCCATCAACACATTTGTGAAGGAATTTTTACTCCCCAAAAGAGCGCCCCCCCATGGCAGGAGAAAAAAGTCCATTTTTTCTTGTCCCCTAAGGTGAAAATACACATTGTTGAGTGTAACACCTGTACGCTTTGGCAAAATGACACAAAAATTGACACACACATGTATCTCAATAAGATCTACGAAAAAGTCAATGCGCGCGTATCTGTCAAATGTACGGTTAAAGGGTTATTCCGCATTTTTTGCCGATCCGCACACATTGGAATTTCGCTAACTCCTCCGAAGGCTTTCGTTCCACCGGTACCACATTTGCTCAGGCCAATCTACACCCCATGGCCATTAAAAGTTATTCAAATCATGACGCTGCACCCCACGGTTTAGGTTCTAGGGGGCGCCAAAGATAACCGTAAAATCCACATATTTAAAAGTCTTATAACATTTTATTTTTGTCCCCACTGGCCTCCAAGTTTTCTAGGATGATGCAATGTCCAGCCATCAACACATTTGTGAAGGAATTTTTACTCCCCAAAAGAGCGCCCCCCCATGGCAGGAGAAAAAAGTCCATTTTTTCTTGTCCACTAAGGTGAAAATACACATTGTTGAGTGCTACGCCTGTATGTTTTGTCGTATTGACACAAAATTTTACATACACGTGTATTTCAATAAGATCTTCGAAAAAGTCAATGGCCACGTATCTGTAAAATGTACGGTTAAAGGGTTATTTTGCATTTTTTGCAGATTCGCACACATTGGAATTTCGCTAACTCCTCCGAAGGCTTTTGTTCCACCGGCACCACATTTGCTCAGGCCAATCTACACCCCATGGCCATTAAAAGTTATTCAAATCATGACGCTGCACCCCACGGTTTAGGTTCTAGGGGGCGCCAAAGATAACCCTAAAATCCACATATTTAAAAGTCTTATAACTTTTTATTTTTGTCCTCACTGGCCTCCATGTTTTCTAGGATGATGCAATGTCCAGCCATCAACACATTTGTGAAGGAGTTTTTTCTCGTTAAAAGAGCGCCCCCCCATGGCAGGAGAATAAAGTCAAGTTTTTCCTGTTCATCATTCAATGGCTCAAACACACTGCTCTCTCGGCAAAAGCGAAAGGAGGAGCAACTTGCCATTTGGATATATCTTAGCTGTGTTTGTGCCCTCACTCATGGTCCAGACTTTTTTCAAATAGGACATGGAGTTTTTCTGCAGCGAGCGCTTTGGTAGAAACTGCGCCTCCCGTTCATTATAATGGTAAATGACCACAAACAAGTGCGCACACCATCTTTGGACCTTGAGTGTGACGCGATCGGGTGGGGGAGGCGGTCGCGCTGGGGGCGGCGTGACACGGCTCGGGCCCGCCAGTGCCCCAACGGGGCCCTAGTTTGTTATTATTATTATTATTATTATTTTTCCTCCCCTTTGAACTGGAAAATGGCCCACTTCCCACTGGCGAAAACTCATGAAATTTGGCAGGACGACCGGGCCTGGTGAAAAATTTGATATTCCGAAGTCGCCCAAACAAGAAAAAGCAAAATGGCTCCATAGCGCCCCCTACGGTGAAAATTCACACTATTCACTGTCACGCCTGTACGCTTTGTCAAAATGACACAAAAATTGACACACACATGTATCTCAATAAGCTCTACAAAAAAGTCAGTGCGGGCGTATCTGTCAAATGTACGGTTAAAGGGTTATTTCGCATTTTTTGCCGATCCGCACACATTGGAATTTCGCTAACTCCTCCGAAGGCTTTCGTTCCACCGGCACCACATTTGCTCAGGCCAATCTACACCCCATGGCCATTAAAAGTTATTCAAATCATGACGCTGCACCCCACGGTTTACGTTCTAGGGGGCGCCAAAGATAACCCAAAAATCCACATTTTTAAAAGTCTTATAACTTTTTATTTTTGTCCTCACTGGCCTCCAAGTTTTCTAGGATGATGCAATGTCCAGCCATCAACACATTTGTGAAGGAATTTTTACTCCCCAAAAGAGCGCCCCCCCATGGCAGGAGAAAAAAGTCCATTTTTTCTTGTCCCCTAAGGTGAAAATTCACACTATTGACTGTCACGCCTGTACGCTTTGTCAAAATGACACAAAAATTGACACACACATGTATCTCAATAAGATCTACAAAAAAGTCCATGCGCGCGTATCTGTCTAATGTACGGTTAAAGGGTTATTTCGCATTTTTTGCCGATCCGCACACATTGGAATTTCGCTAACTCCTCCGAAGGCTTTCGTTCCACCGGCACCACATTTGCTCAGGCCAATCTACACCCCATGGCCATTAAAAGTTATTCAAATCATGACGCTGCACCCCACGGTTTACGTTCTAGGGGGCGCCAAAGATAACCCAAAAATCCACATTTTTAAAAGTCTTATAACTTTTTATTTTTGTCCTCACTGGCCTCCAAGTTTTCTAGGATGATACAATGTCCAGCCATCAACACATTTGTGAAGGAATTTTTACTCCCCAAAAGAGCGCCCCCCCATGGCAGGAGAAAAAAGTCCATTTTTTCTTGTCCCCTAAGGTGAAAATACACATTGTTGACTGTCACGCCTGTACGCTTTGGCAAAATGACACAAAAATTGACAATCATGTGTATCTCAATTAGATCTACGAAAAAGTCAAAGAGCGCGTATCTGTATAATGTACGGTAAAAGGGCTATTTTGCATTTTTTGCCGATTCGCACACATTGGAATTTCGCTAACTCCTCCTAAGGCTTTCGTCCCACTGACACCAAATTTGCTCAGGCCAATCTACACTCCATGGCCATTCAAAGTTGTAAAAATCATGACGCTGCACCCCACGGTTTACGTTTTAGGGGGCGCCAAAGATGACCCAAAAATCCACATTCTTAAAAGAATCCACATCCCCCCCCCATCCCCCATCCCCCATGGCAGGAGAAACAGTCAAGTTTTTCCTGCCCATCACTCAATGGCTCAATCGCATCGCTCTCCCGGCAACACCGTAAGGAGGAGCAATCTGCCATTTGGATATATCCTAGCTGTGTTTGTGCCCTCACTCATGGTCCAGACTTTTTTCAAATAGGACATGTAGTTTGTCTGCAGCGAGTGTTTTGGTAGAAACTGCGCCTCCCATTCATTTTAATGGGAAATGACCACAGACAAGTGCGCACACCATCTTTGGACCTTGAGTGTGACGCGATCGGGAGGGGGAGGCGGTCGCGCTGGGGGCGGCGCAACGCGGCTCGGGCCCGACAGTGCCCCACCGGGGCCCTAGTTCTTCTTTTTCCTCCCCTTTGAACTGGAAAATGGCCCACTTCCCACTGGCGAAAACTCATGAAATTTGGCAGGACGACCGGGCCTGGTGAAAAATTCGATATTCTGAAGTCGCCCAAACAATAAAATGCAAAATGGCTCCATAGCGCCCCCTAAGGTGGAAATTCACACTATTGACTGTCACGCCTGTACGCTTTGTCATATTGACACAAAAATTGACACACATATGTATCTCAATAAGATCTACAAAAAAGTCAGTGCGGCCGTATCTGTCAAATGTACGGTTAAAGGGTTATTTCGCATTTTTTGCCGATCCGCACACATTGGAATTTCGCTAACTCCTCCGAAGGCTTTCGTTCCACCGGCACCACATTTGCTCAGGCCAATCTACACCCCATGGCCATTAAAAGTTATTCAAATCATGATGCTGCACCCCATGGTTTAGGTTCTAGGGGGCGCCAAAAATAACCCAAAAATCCACATTCTTAAAAGTTTTATAACTTTTTATTTTTGTCCTCACTGGCCTCCAAGTTTTCTAGGATGATGCAATGTCCAGCCATCAACACATTTGTGAAGGAATTTTTACTCCCCAAAAGAGCGCCCCCCCATGGCAGGAGAAAAAAGTCCATTTTTTCTTGTCCCCTAAGGTGAAAATACACATTGTTGAGTGTCACGCCTATACGCTTTGTCAAAATGACACAAAAATTGACACACACATGTAACTCAATAAGATCTACAAAAAAGTCCATGCGCGCGTATCTGTCAAATGTACAGTTAAAGGGTTATTCCGCATTTTTTGCCGATACGCACACATTGGAATTTCGCTAACTCCTCCGAAGGCTTTCGTTCCACCGGCACCACATTTGCTTAGGCCAATCTACACCCCATGGCCATTAAAAGTTATTCAAATCATGATGCTGCACCCCATGGTTTAGGTTCTAGGGGGCGCCAAAAATAACCCAAAAATCCACATTCTTAAAAGTTTTATAACTTTTTATTTTTGTCCTCACTGGCCTCCAAGTTTTCTAGGATGATGCAATGTCCAGCCATCAACACATTTGTGAAGGAATTTTTACTCCCCAAAAGAGCGCCCCCCCATGGTAGGAGAAAAAAGTCAATTTTTTCTTGTCCCCTTACATAAAAATACACATTGTTGAGTGTCACGCCTGAACGCTTTGTCATATTGACACAAAAATTGACAATCATGTGTATCTCAATTAGATCTACGAAAAAGTCAAAGAGCGCGTATCTGTATAATGTACGGTTAAAGGGCTATTTTGCATTTTTTGCCGATTCGCACACATTGGAATGTGGCTATCTCCTCCTAAGGCTTTCGTCCCACCGATACCAAATTTGCTCAGGGCAATCTACACCCCATGCCCATTCAAAGTTGTAAAAATCATGACGCTGCACCCCACGGTTTACGTTCTAGGGGGCGCCAAAGATGACCCAAAAATCCACATTCTTAAAAGTCATTTTGGCCACTGCAGGAGTACAGAGTACTGCAGTTCTAGGGGGCGCCAAAGATGACCCAAAAATCCACATTCTTAAAAGTCTTTTTGGCCACTGCAGGAGTACAGAGTACTGCAGGATACACACACATATACACACACGCCAACATACACACACACACACACACACACACACACACACACACACACAGACACACACACACACTCAGAGTCTGTTTTTTAGCACCTGCAAAAACATGCTGTTTACATATTTGACAAGAATGCAGAGGCTTCCTTTTGCCCCTGAAAAAAATCAAATTTCAAACACAACTTGACTGTTCATTTCTCCAAAAGACAACCATGAAGCTCCATTTCAAACCTGAAGCAGATAGTTGGTGCATGTGTACAGTAACCTGAGGGGAGTGAGGTGACTATTTCTGAGGAGAACATGAGCAGTGAAGATTCACCTTGGAGCTAGAACAGGGACGTGCACATGATTATACAGGGGCAGGGGCTCAAGTTTTTTCCAGTCATTTATACAATATGGAAATTAATGTGAAATTAAACCACAAATATGTGTGATGAACTGTTTTTAAAACTTAAACTTCAAATAAAAATTGTAAACTTCAAAACATATGCAAATTTTTAACAAAGAACATAGTGATTTACCTCTATTTACATCAAAATGCAGGCAATGGCCCAGGCGTTCTTTGTAAAATTATTTACAAAACACTGTATAGTCTCACAAATGTCACTTTTTATTTATGCCACTACAAAAAAACATGATGTAAATGATGCATGATGTAAAACATGATGTAAAAAACTTGTGTAGATCCTCCTCTATGTCAGTCCATGTGTAATTTTTCCATAATTCTTTGTTTTTTGCAGCATTTTTGTTAGTGTAACTGCAGATTGTGCTGACAGTGTCTATGGCACAAAAAAAAAAAAAATTTAAAATGCCTCAACATGAACCCCTGGTGGTCTCTGAGGGTGAAACCTGCTAACTGCTGCAGCTCTGTCAGCTTCAGTCTCCCATGCAGAGCTCTGAGCGCATGTGTGGCTCTGCACCCTTAGCAGCGTTGCTAACTCCTCAGTAAGGAAAGCCTGCTTCATGTCAGAGTCTCTAAACTCCAGAAGAAGTCGATAAAAGTCCCTTTCTTTCTAAAAAAAAGTCGTTAGGGGGTCTGAAAAGTCATTGAATCTAACAACAAAGTCGCTAGGTTTGCAACTACGTGTCCCAGACTGCATCCCTGCTGAGAGTCCCTCCCTCCCTTCTCATGTTGCAGGAAGAACGTAAGCACCCTCCCCTTGTCAATCAGTCAACATATAATTTTGGATTGGTTGTTGTGGTGAAGTTTTCCACCAATAGGAGAGATGTTGTGGTGTGTTTTTTTTTTCTTTTGGCAAGCCTTTTCCGCCTGTAAGACCTGTCGCTAATGTCTGCATGCTATGTTTTCCTGTCTCATACAGCGCGATCGAGCGCCGAACGTGATCAAAATAAGCAGAAAAAAAGTATCGCGGACATAATTTATCATAACTCTGGTTTTATTTGGCCTATCAACACAATTTAAAAACTGGTATATAGGTTGAGGTCCTCACTTTTGAGATAAGTTGAAACGGAGAGTCAACGAGGCTCCGTCTTGCAGCTACATCCGGTTAAATATGTCATGTGACTTGAACGCACACACAGACACACACACAGGCACACACACACACACACACACACTCAGAGTCTGGTTTTTAGCACCTGCAAAAACATGCTATTTACATATTTGACAAGAATGCAGAGGCTCCTTTTGCCCCTGAAAAAAATCAAATTTCAAACACAACTTGACTGGTCATTTCTCCAAAAGACAACCATGAAGCTCCATCCAAACCTGAAGCAGGTAGTTGGTGCATGTGTACAGTAACCTGAGGGGAGTGAGGTGAGTGCTTCTGAGGAGAACATGAGCTGTGAAGATTCACCTTGGAGCTAGAACAGAGACATGCACATGATTATACAGGGGCAGGGGCTCAAGTTTTTTCCAGTCGTTTATACAATATGGAAATTAATGTGAAATTAAAACACAAAGTATTAATAGAAAGGTAATGACTGTCCTGTGTAAGTGACAGTGATATCCAATAGGCTAGGCACTCACGAGGCTGGCTGTGGCAAGTGTAAGTGAAAGCAACACGCACTGGCAAGAAGAACAGCAAACGCCGATGAAGGAAAAGGGTCTTTGCAGTGATGGGCGTTACCAGAGAGGGCGATGGCCAGAGGACACAAATGGGACGGGGAGGCAGCACGTTTGGGGGGGGGGGACGCGACACGGCTCGGGCCCGCCAGTGCCCCAACGGGGTCCTAGTTATTATTTTTCTGCCCCTTTGAACTGGAAAATGGCCCACTTCCCACTGGTGAAAAGTCATGAAATTTGGCAGGACGACCGGGCCTGGTGAAAAATTCGATATTCTGAAGTCGCCCAAAAAATCAAATGCAAAATGGCTCCATAGCGCCCCCTAAGGTGAAAAATTCACATGATTGAGTGTCACGCCTGTACGCTTTGTCAAAATGACACAAAATTTGACACACACGTGTATCTCAATAAGATCTACAAAAAAGTCAGTCCGGGCGTATCTGTCAAATGTACGGTTAAAGGGCTATTTCGCATTTTTTGCCGATCCGCACACATTGGAATTTCGCTAACTCCTCCGAAGGCTTTCGTTCCACCGGCACCAAATTTGCTCAGGCCAATCTACACCCCATGGCCATTAAAAGTTGTACAAATCATGATGCTGCATCCCACGGTTTACGTTCTAGGGGGCGCCAAAGATAACCCAGAAATCCACATTCTTAAAAGTCGTATAACTTTTTATTTTTGTCCTCACTGGCCTCCAAGTTTTCTAGGATGATGCAATGTCTAGCCATCAACACATTTGTGAAGGAATTTTTACTCCCCAAAAGAGCGCCCCCCCATGGCAGGAGAAAAAAGTCCAGTTTTTCTTCCCCCTAAGGTGAAAATTCACATTATTGAGTGTCACGCCTGTACGCTTTGTCATATTGTAACAAACTTTGACAATCACGTGTTTCTCAATAAGATCTACGAAATAGTCAATGGGCGCGTATCTGTAAAATGTACGGTTAAAGGGCTATTTCGCATTTTTGGTCGATTCGCACACATTGGAATGTGGCTAACTCCTCCTAAATATTTCGTTCCACTGACACCAAATTTACTCAGGCCAATCTACATTCCATGGCCATTCAAAGTTGTAAAAATCATGACGCTGCACCCCACGGTTTATGTTCTAGGGGGCGCCAAAGATAACCCAAAAATCCACATTCTTAAAAGTCTTATAACTTTTTATTTTTGTCCTCACTGGCCTCCAAGTTTTCTAGGATGATGCAATGTCTAGCCATCAACACATTTGTGAAGGAATTTTTACTCCCTAAAAGAGCGCCCCCCCATGGCAGGAGAAAAAGTCAAGTTTTTCCTGCCCATCGCTCAATGACTCAAACACATCGCTCTCTCGGCAAAACCGAAAGGAGGAGCAACTTGCCATTTGGATATATCCTAGCTGTGTTTGTGCCCTCACTCATGGTCCAGTCCTTTTCAAATAGGACACGTAGTTTGTCTGCGGCGAGCGTTTTGGTAGAAACTGCGCCTCCCATTCATTATAATTGTAAATGACCACAGACAAGTGCGCACACCATCTTTGGACCTTGAGTGTGACGCGATCGGTAGGGAGAGGCGGTCGTGTTGGGGGCGGCGCGACACGGCTCGGGCCCGCCAGTGCCCCAACGGGGCCCTAGTTCTTCTTATTTTTCCTCCCCTTTGAAGGGGAAAATGGCCCACTTCCCACTGGCGAAAACTCATGACATTTGGCAGGATGACCGGGCCTGGTGAAAAATTCGATATTCTGAAGTCGCCCAAACAATAAAATGCAAAATGGCTCCATAGCGCCCCCTAAGGTGAAAATTCACACTATTGACTGTCACGCCTGTACGCTTTGTCATATTGACACAAAAATTGACACACACATGTATCTCAATACGATCTACAAAAAAGTCAGTGTGGGCGTATCTGTCAAATGTACGGTTAAAGGGTTATTTCGCATTTTTTACCGATCCGCACACATTGGAATTTCGCTAACTCCTCCGAAGGCTTTCGTTCCACCGGCACCAAATTTGCTCAGGCCAATCTACACCCCATGGCCATTAAAAGTTGTACAAATCATGACGCTGCACCCCACGGTTTAGGTTCTAGGGGGCGCCAAAGATAACCCAAAAATCCACATTCTTAAAAGTCTTATAACTTTTTATTTTTGTCCTCACTGGCCTCCAAGTTCTCTAGGATGATGCAATGTCCAGCAATTAACACATTTGTGAAGGAATTTTTACTCGCCAAAAGAGCGCCCCCCCATGGCAGGAGAAAAAAGTCCATTTTTTTCTTGTCCCCTAAGGCGAATATACACATTGTTGAGTGTCACGCCTGTACGCTTTGTCATATTGACACAAAATTTGGCAATCACGTGTATCTCAATAAGATCTACGAAAAAGTCAATGTGCACGTATCTGTAAAATGTACGGTTAAAGGGCTATTTCGCATTTTTTGCCGATTCGCACACATTGGAATGTGGCTAACTCCTCCTAAGGCTTTCGTCCCACTGACACCAAATTTGCTCAGGCCAATCTAAACCCCATGGCCATTCAAAGTTGTAAATATCATGACGCTGCACCCCACGGTTTACGTTCTAGGGGGCGCCAAAGAGGACCCAAATATCCACATTTTTAAAAGTCTTATAACTTTATTTTTGTCCTCACTGGCCTCCAAGTTTTCTAGGATGATGCAATGTTCAGTCATCAACACATTTGTGAAGGAATTTTTTCTCCCCAAAAGAGCGCCCTCCCATGGCAGGAGAAAAAGTCAAGTTTTTCCTGCCCATCGCTCAATGGCTCAAACGCATCGCTCTCTCGGCAAAACCGAAAGGAGGAGCACCTTGCCATTTGGATATATCATAGCTGTGTTTGTGCCCTCACTCATGGTCCAGACTTTTTTCAAAAAGGACATGGAGTTTGTCTGCAGCGAGCGTTTTGGTAGAAACTGCGCCTCCCATTCATTATAATGGTAAATGACCACAGACAAGTGCGCACACCATCTTTGGACCTTGAGTGTGACGCGATCGGGAGGGGTAGGCGGTCGCGCTGGGGGCGGCGCGACACGGCTCGGGCCCGCCAGTGCCCCAACGGGGCCCTAGTTTTTTCTTTTTCCTCCCCTTTGAACTGGAAAATGGCCCACTTCCCACTGGCGAAAACTCAGGAAATTTGGCAGGACGACCGGGCCTGGTGAAAAATTTGATATTCCGAAGTCGCCCAAACAAGAAAATGCAAAATGGCTCCATAGCGCCCCCTAAGGTGAAAATTCACATGACGGCTGTACGCTTTGTCATATTGACACAAAAATTGACACACACATGTATCTCAATAAGATCTACAAAAAAGTCAGTGCGGGCGTATCTGTCAAATGTACGGTTAATGGGTTATTTTGCATTTTTTGCAGATCTGCACACATTGGAATTTCGCTAACTCCTCCGAAGGCTTTCGTTCCACCGGCACCACATTTGCTCAGGCCAATCTACACCCCATGGCCATTAAAAGTTATTCAAATCATGACGCTGCACCCCACGGTTTAGGTTCTAGGGGGCGCCAAAAATAACCCTAAAATCCACATATTTAAAAGTCTTATAACTTTTTATTTTTGTCCTCACTGGCCTCCAAGTTTTCTAGGATGATGCAATGTCCAGCCATCAACACATTTGTGAAGGAATTTTTACTCCCCAAAAGAGCGCCCCCCCATGGCAGGAGAAAAAAGTCCATTTTTTCTTGTCCCCTAAGGTGAAAATACACATTGTTGAGTGTCACGCCTTTACGCTTTGGCAAAATGACACAAAAATTTACACACACATGTATCTCTATAAGATCTACAAAAAAGTCTATGAGCGCGTATCTGTCAAATGTACGGTTAAAGGGTTATTCCGCATTTTTTGCCGATACGCACACATTGGAATGTGGCTAACTCCTCCGAAGGCTTTCGTTCCACCGGCACCACATTTGCTCAGGCCAATCTACACCCCATGGCCATTAAAAGTTATTCAAATCATGACGCTGCACCCCACGGTTTAGGTTCTAGGGGGCGCCAAAGATAACCCTAAAATCCACATTTTTAAAAGTCTTATAACTTTTTATTTTTGCCCTCACTGGCCTCCAAGTTTTCTAGGATGATGCAATGTCCAGCCATCAACACATTTGTGAAGGAATTTTTACTCCCCAAAAGAGCGCCCCCCCATGGCAGGAGAAAAAAGTCCATTTTTTTCTTGTCCCCTAAGGTGAAAATACACATTGTTGAGTGTCACGCCTGTACGCTTTGTCAAAATGACACAAAAATTGACACACACATGTATCTCAATAAGATCTACAAAAAAGTCAATGCGCGCGTATCTGTCTAATGTACGGTTAAAGGGTTATTCCGCATTTTTTGCCGATTCGCACACATTGGAATTTCGCTAACTCCTCCGAAGGCTTTCGTTCCACCGGCACCACATTTGCTCAGGCCAAATTACACCCCATGGCCATTAAAAGTTATTCAAATCATGACGCTGCACCCCACGGTTTACGTTCTAGGGGGCGCCAAAGATAACCCAAAAATCCACATTTTTAAAAGTCTTATAACTTTTTATTTTTGTCCTCACTGGCCTCCAAGTTTTCTAGGATGATGCAATGTCCAGCCATCAACACATTTGTGAAGGAATTTTTACTCCCCAAAAGAGCGCCCCCCATGGCAGGAGAAAAAAGTCCATTTTTTCTTGTCCCCTAAGGTGAAAATACACATTGTTGACTGTCACGCCTGTACGCTTTGGCAAAATGACACAAAAATTGACAATCATGTGTATCTCAATTAGATCTACGAAAAAGTCAAAGAGCGCGTATCTGTATAATGTACGGTAAAAGGGCTATTTTGCATTTTTTGCCGATTCGCACACATTGGAATTTCGCTAACTCCTCCTAAGGCTTTCGTCCCACTGACACCAAATTTGCTCAGGCCAATCTACACTCCATGGCCATTCAAAGTTGTAAAAATCATGACGCTGCACCCCACGGTTTACGTTTTAGGGGGCGCCAAAGATGACCCAAATATACATTACAGTAGACAAAGTAGTTTTGCCCACTGAGTGGCGGCAAAGGGACTTGTCTGTGGAGTCTGTGAGTCACTATTGGCCGTTTTTGACTACTTTAGATTTTACCTTTATATTTCCTCTTACAAAATTTTTACCTTGCCTTGCCTGGTATCATTTTTTTCAGCACAACCTCACCTGTGTCAATTTACAGTTATTTTATCATTTTGACATACTATATTTACACATTGGACCCAAATTCACACACAAAACATAAAATCCGAGTGGAAAAAAGTAACGTTTTTACTGTGAAAACCACAAATATGTGTGATGAACTGTTTTTAAAACTTAAACTTCAAATAAAAATTGTAAACTTCAAAACATATGCAAATTTTTAACAAAGAACATAGTAATTTACCTCTATTGACATCAAAATGCAGGCAATGGCCCAGGTGTTCTTTGTAAAATTATTTACAAAACACTGTATAGTCTCACAAATGTCACTTTTTATTTATGCCACTACAAAAAAACATGATGTAAATGATGCATGATGTAAAACATGATGTAAAAAACTTGTGTAGATCCTCCTCTATGTTAGTCCATGTGTAATTTTTCCATAATTCTTTGTTTTTTGCAGCATTTTTGTTAGTGTAACTGCAGATTGTGCTGACAGTGTCTATGGCAAAAAAAAAAAAAAAATTAAAATGCCTCAACATGAACCCCTGGTGGTCTCTGAAGGTGAAACCTGCTAACTGCTGCAGCTCTGTCAGCTTCAGTCTCCCATGCAGAGCTCGGAGCGCATGTGTGGCTCTGCACCCTTAGCAGCGTTGCTAACTCCTCAGTAAGGAAAGCCTGCTTCATGTCAGAGTCTCTAAACTCCAGAAGAAGTCGATAAAAGTCACTTTCTTTCTAAAAAAAAGTCGTTAGGGGGTCTGAAAAGTCATTGAATCTAACAACAAAGTCGCTAGGTTTGCAACTACGTGTCCCAGACTGCATCCCTGCTGAGAGTCCCTCCCTCCCTTCTCATATTGCAGGAAGAACGTAAGTTCCCGCCCCTTGTCAATCAGTCACCATATAATTTTGGATTGGTTGTTGTGGTGAAGTTTTCCACCAATAGGAGAGATGTTGTGGTGTGTTTTTTTTTCCTTTGGCAAGCCTTTTCCGCCTGTAAGACCTGTCGCTAATGTCTGCATGCTATGTTTTCCTGTCTCATACAGCGCGATCGAGCGCCGAACGTGATCAAAATAAGCAGAAAACAAGTATCGTGGACATAATTTATCATAACTCTGGTTTTATTTGGCCTATCAACACAATTTAAAAACTGGTATATAGGTTGAGGTCCTCACTTTTGAGATAAATTGAAACGGAGAGTCAACGAGGCTCCGTCTTGCAGCTACATCCGGTTAAATATGTCATGTGACTTGAACGCACACACACACACACACACACACACACACACACACACACAAACACACGCACACACACACACTCAGAGTCTGGTTTTTAGCACCTGCAAAAACATGCTATTTACATATTTGACAAGAATGCAGAGGCTCCTTTTGCCCCTGAAAAAAATCAAATTTCAAACACAACTTGACTGGTCATTTCTCCAAAAGACAACCATGAAGCTCCATCCAAACCTGAAGCAGGCAGTTGGTGCATGTGTACAGTAACCTGAGGGGAGTGAGGTGACTGCTTCTGAGGAGAACATGAGCAGTGAAGATTCACCTTAGAGCTAGAACAGAGACGTGCACATGATTATACAGGGGCAGGGGCTCAAGTTTTTTCCAGTTGTTTATACAATATGGAAATTAATGTGAAATTAAAAAACAAAGTATTAATAGAAAGGTAATGACTGTCCTGTGTAGGTGACAGTGATATCCAATAGGCTAGGCACTCACGAGGCTGGCTGTGGCAAGTGTAAGTGAAAGCAACACGCACTGGCAGGAAGAACAGCAAACGCCGATGAAGGAAAAGGGTCTTTGCAGTGATGGGCGTTACCAGAGAGGGCGATGGCCAGAGGACACAAATGGGACGGGGAGGCAGCGCGTTGGGGGGGGGACGCGACACAGCTCGGGCCCGCCAGTGCCCCAACGGGGTCCTAGTTAGGGCCCGAGCGTAGCTGCTAAGCAGCTGCGAGAGCCCTCTTGTTCCTGCATGTTTCCTTCTTTCGTTATTATTTTTCCTCCGCTTTAAACTGGAAAATGGCCCACTTCCCACTGGCGAAAACTCAGGAAATTTGGCAGGACGACCGGGCCTGGTGAAAAATTCGATATTCTGAAGTCGCCCAAACAATAAAATGCAAAATGGCTCCATAGCGCCCCCTAAGGTGAAAATTCACATGACGGCTGTACGCTTTGTCATATTGACACAAAAATTGACACACATATGTATCTCAATAAGATCTACAAAAAAGTCAGTGTGGGCGTATCTGTCAAATGTACGGTTAATGGGTTATTTTGCATTTTTTGCAGATCTGCACACATTGGAATTTCGCTAACTCCTCCGAAGGCTTTCGTTCGACCGGCACCACATTTGCGCAGGCCAATCTACCCCCCATGGCCATTAAAAGTTGTACAAATCATGTCGCTGCACCCCACGGTTTATGTTCTAGGGGGCGCCAAAGATAACCCAAAATCCACATTCTTAAAAGTCTTATAACTTTTTATTTTTGTCCTCACTGCCCTCCAAGTTTTCTAGGATGATGCAATGTCCAGCCAATAACACATTTGTGAAGGAATTTTTACTCCCCAAAAGAGCGCCCCCCCATGGCAGGAGAAAAAAGTCAATTTTTTCTTGTCCCCTTACATGAAAACACACATTGTTGAGTGTCACGCCTGAACGCTTTGTCATATTGACACAAAAATTGACAATCATGTGTATCTCAATTAGATCTACGAAAAAGTCAAAAAGCGCGTATCTGTATAATGTACGGTTAAAGGGCTATTTCGCATTTTTTGCCGATTCGCACACATTGGAATGTGGCTATCTCCTCCTAAGGCTTTCGTCCCACCGATACCAAATTTGCTCAGGGCAATCTACATCCCATGCCCATTCAAAGTTGTAAAAATCATGACGCTGCACCCCACGGTTTACGTTCTAGGGGGCGCCAAAGATGACCCAAAAATCCACATTCTTAAAAGTCATTTTGGCCACTGCAGGAGTACAGAGTACTGCAGTTCTAGGGGGCGCCAAAGATGACCCAAAAATCCACATTCTTAAAAGTCTTTTTGGCCACTGCAGGAGTACAGAGTACTGCAGGATACACACACATACACACACACACACACACACACACACACACACACACACACACACACACACACACACACACACTCAGAGTCTGTTTTTTAGCACCTGCAAAAACATGCTATTTACATATTTGACAAGAATGCAGAGGCTTCCTTTTGCCGCTGAAAAAAATCATATTTCAAACACAACTTGACTGTTCATTTCTCCAAAAGACAACCATGAAGCTCCATCCAAACCTGAAGCAGGCAGTTGGTGCATGTGTACAGTAACCTGAGGGGAGTGAGGTGAGTGCTTCTGAGGAGAACATGAGCAGTGAAGATTCACCTTGGAGCTAGAACAGAGACATGCACATGATTATACAGGGGCAGGGGCTCAAGTTTTTTCCAGTTGTTTATACAATATGGAAATTAATGTGAAATTAAAACACAAAGTATTAATAGAAAGGTAATGACTGTCCTGTGTAGGTGACAGTGATATCCAATAGGCTAGGCACTCACGAGGCTGGCTGTGGCAAGTGTAAGTGAAAGCAACACGCACTGGCAGGAAGAACAGCAAACGCCGATGAAGGAAAAGGGTCTTTGCAGTGATGGGCGTTACCAGAGAGGGCGATGGCCAGAGGACACAAATGGGACGGGGAGGCAGCACGTTGGGGGGGGGGACGCGACACGGCTCGGGCCCGCCAGTGCCCCAACGGGGTCCTAGTTATTATTAGGGCCCGAGCGTAGCTGCTAAGCAGCTGCGAGAGCCCTATTATTCCCCAAGTGGTTTTTCTTTGTTAGGGCCCGAGCGTAGCTGCTAAGCAGCTGCGAGAGCCCTATTATTCCTGATGGATTCTTCTTTCTTCTTCTTCTTATTAGGGCCCGAGCCAGCTGCAGAGCAGCCGGGCGTAGGCCCTATTATTCCCCAAGTGGTTTTTCTTTGTTTCTTTCTTTCTTTCTTTCTTTCTTCTTTTTCCTCCCCTTTGAACTGGAAAATGGCCCACTTCCCACTGGCGAAAACTCATGAAATTTGGCAGGACGACCGGGCCTGGTGAAAAATTTGATATTCTGAAGTCGCCCAAACATTAAAATGCAAAATGGCTCCATAGCGCCCCCTAAGGTGGAAATTCACACTATTGACTGTCACGCCTGTACGCTTTGTCATATTGACACAAAAATTGACACACATATGTATCTCAATAAGATCTACAAAAAAGTCAGTGCGGCCGTATCTGTCAAAATTACGGTTAAAGGGTTATTTCGCATTTTTTGCCGATCCGCACACATTGGAATTTCGCTAACTCCTCCGAAGGCTTTCGTTCCACCAGCACCACATTTGCTCAGGCCAATCTACACCCCGTGGCCATTAAAAGTTATCAAAATCATGACGCTGCACCCCAAGGTTTAGGTTCTAGGGGGCGCCAAAGATAACACTAAAATCCACATATTTAAAAGTCTTATAACTTTTTATTTTTGTCCTCACTGGCCTCCAAGTTTTCTAGGATGATGCAATGTCCAGCCATCAACACATTTGTGAAGGAATTTTTACTCCCCAAAAGAGCGCCCCCCCATGGCAGGAGAAAAAAGTCCATTTTTTCTTGTCCCCTAAGGTGAAAATACACATTGTTGAGTGTCACGCCTATACGCTTTGTCAAAATGACACAAAAATTGACACACACATGTAACTCAATAAGATCTACAAAAAAGTCCATGCGCGCGTATCTGTCAAATGTACAGTTAAAGGGTTATTCCGCATTTTTTGCCGATACGCACACATTGGAATTTCGCTAACTCCTCCGAAGGCTTTCGTTCCACCGGCACCACATTTGCTCAGGCCAATCTACACCCCATGGCCATTAAAAGTTATTCAAATCATGATGCTGCACCCCACGGTTTAGGTTCTAGGGGGCGCCAAAGATAACCCAAAAATCCACATTCTTAAATGTTTTATAACTTTTTATTTTTGTCCTCACTGGCCTCCAAGTTTTCTAGGATGATGCAATGTCCAGCCATCAACACATTTGTGAAGGAATTTTTACTCCCCAAAAGAGCGCCCCCCCATGGTAGGAGAAAAAAGTCAATTTTTTCTTGTCCCCTTACATAAAAATACACATTGTTGAGTGTCACGCCTGAACGCTTTGTCATATTGACACAAAAATTGACAATCATGTGTATCTCAATTAGATCTACGAAAAAGTCAAAGAGCGCGTATCTGTATAATGTACGGTTAAAGGGCTATTTTGCATTTTTTGCCGATTCGCACACATTGGAATGTGGCTATCTCCTCCTAAGGCTTTCGTCCCACCGATACCAAATTTGCTCAGGGCAATCTACACCCCATGCCCATTCAAAGTTGTAAAAATCATGACGCTGCACCCCACGGTTTACGTTCTAGGGGGCGCCAAAGATGACCCAAAAATCCACATTCTTAAAAGTCATTTTGGCCACTGCAGGAGTACAGAGTACTGCAGTTCTAGGGGGCGCCAAAGATGACCCAAAAATCCACATTCTTAAAAGTCTTTTTGGCCACTGCAGGAGTACAGAGTACTGCAGGATACACACACATATACACACACGCCAACATACACACATACACACACACACACACACACACACACACAGACACACACACACACTCAGAGTCTGTTTTTTAGCACCTGCAAAAACATGCTGTTTACATATTTGACAAGAATGCAGAGGCTTCCTTTTGCCCCTGAAAAAAATCAAATTTCAAACACAACTTGACTGTTCATTTCTCCAAAAGACAACCATGAAGCTCCATTTCAAACCTGAAGCAGATAGTTGGTGCATGTGTACAGTAACCTGAGGGGAGTGAGGTGACTATTTCTGAGGAGAACATGAGCAGTGAAGATTCACCTTGGAGCTAGAACAGGGACGTGCACATGATTATACAGGGGCAGGGGCTCAAGATTTTTCCAGTCATTTATACAATATGGAAATTAATGTGAAATTAAACCACAAATATGTGTGATGAACTGTTTTTAAAACTTAAACTTCAAATAAAAATTGTAAACTTCAAAACATATGCAAATTTTTAACAAAGAACATAGTAATTTACCTCTATTTACATCAAAATGCAGGCAATGGCCCAGGCGTTCTTTGTAAAATTATTTACAAAACACTGTATAGTCTCACAAATGTCACTTTTTATTTATGCCACTACAAAAAAACATGATGTAAATGATGCATGATGTAAAACATGATGTAAAAAACTTGTGTAGATCCTCCTCTATGTCAGTCCATGTGTAATTTTTCCATAATTATTTGTTTTTTGCAGCATTTTTGTTAGTGTAACTGCAGATTGTGCTGACAGTGTCTATGGCACAAAAAAAAAAAAAATTAAAATGCCTCAACATGAACCCCTGGTGGTCTCTGAGGGTGAAACCTGCTAACTGCTGCAGCTCTGTCAGCTTCAGTCTCCCATGCAGAGCTCTGAGCGCATGTGTGGCTCTGCACCCTTAGCAGCGTTGCTAACTCCTCAGTAAGGAAAGCCTGCTTCATGTCAGAGTCTCTAAACTCCAGAAGAAGTCGATAAAAGTCCCTTTCTTTCTAAAAAAGTCGTTAGGGTGTCTGAAAAGTCATTGAATCTAACAACAAAGTCGCTAGGTTTGCAACTACGTGTCCCAGACTGCATCCCTGCTGAGAGTCCCTCCCTCCCTTCTCATGTTGCAGGAAGAACGTAAGCGCCCGCCCCTTGTCAATCAGTCACCATATAATTTTGGATTGGTTGTTGTGGTGAAGTTTTCCACCAATAGGAGAGATGTTGTGGTGTGTTTTTTTTTTCTTTTGGCAAGCCTTTTCCGCCTGTAAGACCTGTCGCTAATGTCTGCATGCTATGTTTTCCTGTCTCATACAGCGCGATCGAGCGCCGAACGTGATCAAAATAAGCAGAAAAAAAGTATCGCGGACATAATTTATCATAACTCTGGTTTTATTTGGCCTATCAACACAATTTAAAAACTGGTATATAGGTTGAGGTCCTCACTTTTGAGATAAGTTGAAACGGAGAGTCAACGAGGCTCCGTCTTGCAGCTACATCCGGTTAAATATGTCATGTGACTTGAACGCACACATAGACACACACACACGCACACACACACACACACACACACACACACACACACACACACACACACACACACACACACTCAGAGTCTGGTTTTTAGCACCTGCAAAAACATGCTATTTACATATTTGACAAGAATGCAGAGGCTCCTTTTGCCCCTGAAAAAAATCAAATTTCAAACACAACTTGACTGGTCATTTCTCCAAAAGACAACCATGAAGCTCCATCCAAACCTGAAGCAGGCAGTTGGTGCATGTGTACAGTAACCTGAGGGGAGTGAGGTGAGTGCTTCTGAGGAGAACATGAGCAGTGAAGATTCACCTTGGAGCTAGAACAGAGACATGCACATGATTATACAGGGGCAGGGGCTCAAGTTTTTTCCAGTCGTTTATACAATATGGAAATTAATGTGAAATTAAAACACAAAGTATTAATAGAAAGGTAATGACTGTCCTGTGTAGGTGACAGTGATATCCAATAGGCTAGGCACTCACGAGGCTGGCTGTGGCAAGTGTAAGTGAAAGCAACACGCACTGGCAGGAAGAACAGCAAACGCCGATGAAGGAAAAGGGTCTTTGCAGTGATGGGCGTTAACAGAGAGGGCGATGGCCAGAGGACACAAATGGGACGGGGAGGCAGCACGTTGGGGGGTGGGGGGGTGGGGGGGGGGAGACGCGACACGGCTCGGGCCCGCCAGTGCCCCAACGGGGTCCTAGTTATTTTTCTGCCCCTTTGAACTGGAAAATGGCCCACTTCCCACTGGTGAAAACTCATGAAATTTGGCAGGACGACCGGGCCTGGTGAAAAATTCGATATTCTGAAGTCATCCAAACAATCAAATGCAAAATGGCTCCATAGCGCCCCCTAAGGTGAAAAATTCACATGATTGAGTGTCACGCCTGTACGCTTTGTCAAAATGACACAAAATTTGACACACACGTGTATCTCAATAAGATCTACAAAAAAGTCAGTGCGGGCGTATCTGTCAAATGTACGGTTAAAGGGCTATTTCGCATTTTTTGCCGATCCACACACATTGGAATTTCGCTAACTCCTCCGAAGGCTTTCGTTCCAAAGGCACCACATTTGCTCAGGCCAATCTACACCCCATGGCCATTAAAAGTTGTACAAATCATGACGCTGCACCCCACGGTTTACGTTCTAGGGGGCGCCAAAGATAACCCAAAAATCCACAGTCTTAAAAGTCTTATAACTTTTTATTTTTGTCCTCACTGGCCTCCAAGTTCTCTAGGATGATGCAATGTCCAGCCATCAACACATTTGTGAAGGAATTTTTACTCGCCAAAGAGCGCCCCCCCATGGCAGGAGAAAAAAGTCCATTTTTTCTTGTCTCCTAAGGCGAAAATTCACACTATTGAGTGTCACGCCTATACGCTTTGTCATATTGACACAAAAATTGACACACACATGTATCTCAATAAGATCTACAAAAAAGTCAGTGCGGGCGTATCTGTCAAATGTACGGTTAAAGGGCTATTTCGCATTTTTTGCCGATCCGCACACATTGGAATTTCGCTAACTCCTCCGAAGGCTTTCGTTCCAAAGGCACCACATTTGCTCAGGCCAATCTACACCCCATGGCCATTAAAAGTTGTACAAATCATGACGCTGCACCCCACGGTTTACGTTCTAGGGGGCGCCAAAGATAACCCAAAAATCCACAGTCTTAAAAGTCTTATAACTTTTTATTTTTGTCCTCACTGGCCTCCAAGTTCTCTAGGATGATGCAATGTCCAGCCATCAACACATTTGTGAAGGAATTTTTACTCGCCAAAAGAGCGCCCCCCCATGGCAGGAGAAAAAAGTCCATTTTTTCTTGTCTCCTAAGGCGAAAATACACATTGTTGACTGTCACGCCTTTACGCTTTGTCAAAATGACACAAAATTTGACAAACACATGTATCTCAATAAGATCTACGAAAAAGTCAATGTGAGCGTATCTGTTCAATGTACGGTTAAAGGGCTATTTCGCATTTTTGGCCGATTCGCACACATTGGAATGTGGCTAACTCCTCCTAAATCTTTTGTCCCATCGGCTTCAAATTTGCTCAGGTCAATCTACACCCCATGGCCATTCAAAGTTGTACAAATCATGACACTGCACCCCACAGTTTACGTTCTAGGGGGCGCCAAAGAGGACCCAAATATCCACATTTTTAAAAGTCTTATAACTTTTTATTTTTGTCCTCACTGGCCTCCAAGTTTTCTAGGATGATGCAATGTCCAGCCATCAACACATTTGTGAAGGAATTTTTTCTCCCCAAAAGAGCGCCCCCCCATGGCAGGAGAAAAAGTCAAGTTTTCCTGCCCATCGCTCAATGGCTCAAACGCATCGCTCTCTCGGCAAAACCGAAAGGAGGAGCAACTTGCCATTTGGATATATACTAGCTGTGTTTGTGCCCTCACTTATGGTCCAGACTTTTTTCAAAAAGGACATGGAGTTTGTCTGCAGCGAGCGTTTTGGTAGAAACTGCGCCTCCCATTCATTATAATGGTAAATGACCACAGACAAGTGCGCACACCATCTTTGGACCTTGAGTGTGACGCGATCGGGAGGGGTAGGCGGTCGCGCTGGGGGCGGCACGACACGGCTCGGGCCCGCCAGTGCCCCAACGGGGCCCTAGTTAGGGCCCGAGCGTAGCTGCTAAGCAGCTGCGAGAGCCCTCTTGTTCCTGATGGATTCTTCTTTCGTTATTTTTCCTCCGCTTTAAACTGGAAAATGGCCCACTTCCCACTGGCGAAAACTCAGGAAATTTGGCAGGACGACCGGGCCTGGTGAAAAATTTGATATTCTGAAGTCGTCCAAACAAAAAAATGAAAAATGGCTCCATAGCGCCCCCTATGGTGAAAACTCACCTGATGCCTGTACGCTTTGTCAAAATGACACAAAATTTGACACACATGTGTATTTCAATAAGATCTACGAAAAAGTCAGTGCGGGCGTATCTGCCAAATGTACGGTTAAAGGGCTATTTCGCTTTTTTTGCCGATCCGCACACATTGGAATTTCGCTAACTCCTCCGAAGGCTTTCGTTCCACCGGCACCACATTTGCTCAGGCCAATCTACACCCCATGGCCATTAAAAGTTGTACAAATCATGATGCTGCACCCCACGGTTTACTTTCTAGGGGGCGCCAAAGATAACACAAAAATCCACATTCTTAAAAGTCTTATAACTTTTTATTTTTGTCCTCACTGGCCTCCAAGTTTTCTAGGATGATGCAATGTCCAGCCATCAACACATTTGTGAAGGAATTTTTACTCCCCAAAAGAGCGCCCCCCCATGGCAGGAGAAAAAAGTCCATTTTTTCTTGTCTCCTAAGGTAAAAATACACATTGTTGAGTGTCACGCCTATACACTTTGTCATATTGACACACAATTTGACAATCACGTGTATCTCAATAAGATCTACAAAAAAGTCAATAGGCACGTATCTGTCAAATGTATGGTTAAAGGGCTATTTCGCATTTTTTGCCGATTCGCACACATTGGAATGTGGCTATCTCCTCCTAAGGCTTTCGTCCCACCGATACCAAATTTGCTCAGGGCAATCTACACCCCATGGCCATTCAAAGTTGTAGAAATCATGACGCTGCACCCCACGGTTTACGTTCTAGGGGGCGCCAAAGATGACCCAAAAATCCACATTCTTAAAAGTCATTTTGGCCACTGCAGGAGTACAGAGTACTGCAGTTCTAGGGGGCGCCAAAGATGACCCAAAAATCCACATTCTTAAAAGTCTTTTTGGCCACTGCAGGAGTACAGAGTACTGCCGGACACACACACATATACACACACGCCACACACACACACACACACACACACACACACACACACACACACACACACACACTCAGAGTCTGTTTTTTAGCACCTGCAAAAACATGCTGTTTACATATTTGACAAGAATGCAGAGGCTTCCTTTTGCCCCTGAAAAAAATCAAATTTCAAACACAACTTGACTGTTCATTTCTCCAAAAGACAACCATGAAGCTCCATCCAAACCTGAAGCAGATAGTTGGTGCATGTGTACAGTAACCTGAGGAGAGTGAGGTGACTACTTCTGAGGAGAACATGAGCAGTGAAGATTCACCTTGGAGCTAGAACAGGGACGTGCACATGATTATACAGGGGCAGGGGCTCAAGTTTTTTCCAGTCATTTATACAATATGGAAATTAATGTGAAATTAAACCACAAATATGTGTGATGAACTGTTTTTAAAACTTAAACTTCAAATAAAAATTGTAAACTTCAAAACATATGCAAATTTTTAACAAAGAACATAGTAATTTACCTCTATTTACATCAAAATGCAGGCAATGGCCCAGGCGTTCTTTGTAAAATTATTTACAAAACACTGTATAGTCTCACAAATGTCACTTTTTATTTATGCCACTACAAAAAAACATGATGTAAATGATGCATGATGTAAAACATGATGTAAAAAACTTGTGTAGATCCTCCTCTATGTCAGTCCATGTGTAATTTTTCCATAATTCTTTGTTTTTTGCAGCATTTTTGTTAGTGTAACTGCAGATTGTGCTGACAGTGTCTATGGCAAAAAAAAAAAAAAAACTGAAAATGCCTCAACATGAACTCCTGGTGGTCTCTGAGGGTGAAACCTGCTAACTGTGCAGCTCTCTCAGCTCTAGTCTCCCATGCAGAGCTCGGAGCGCATGTGTGGCTCTGCACCCTTAGCAGCGTTGCTAACTCCTCAGTAAGGAAAGCCTGCTTCATGTCAGAGTCTCTAAACTCCAGAAGAAGTCGATAAAAGTCCCTTTCTTTCTAAAAAAAAGTCGTTAGGGGGTCTGAAAAGTAATTGAATCTAACAACAAAGTCGCTAGGTTTGCAACTACGTGTCCCAGACTGCATCCCTGCTGAGAGTCCCTCCCTCCCTTCTCATGTTGCAGGAAGAACGTAAGCGCCCGCCCCTTGTCAATCAGTCACCATATAATTTTGGATTGGTTGTTGTGGTGAAGTTTTCCACCAATAGGAGAGATGTTGTGGTGTGTTTTTTTTTTCTTTTGGCATGCCTTTTCCGCCTGTAAGAGCTGTCGCTAATGTCTGCATGCTATGTTTTCCTGTCTCATACAGCGTGATCGAGCGCCGAACGTGATCAAAATAAGCAGAAAAAAAGTATCGCGGACATAATTTATCATAACTCTAGTTTTATTTGGCCTATCAACACAATTTAAAAACTGGTATATAGTTTGAGGTCCTCACTTTTGAGATAAGTTGAAACGGAGGGTGAACGAGGCTCCCTCTTGCAGCTACATCCGGTTAAATATGTCATGTGACTTGAACGCTGGGGAGCGTCAATCGACTGCAGAGCCAGCAGACAAAGTAGTTATGCCACTAAGAGGCACACATTTGTCATATGCTATAATCCTAACATATTTTAATGCTTTTTCTATTTAAACCTAATGGATCTAAGGTTTGACCTTCAAAATTTAGGAAGAATATTTTTTTGCAGTAATGACCCCCTTAAACAACCAGAGGTCCTTTCCTAAAGATTATGGAAATTTTAGTGAAGGCCTTGGTTTCTTTCCTTGCAAAATGTATAGAAATAATAAAGCTAAATACCATAAAATGGTCTTGGCGTATTAGCAGTGATATAAAATAGTGGTTTGAATATGAATGAACAACAAAAAAAAACATCAACAGAGCCTTTTTGAGTTGGGATTCTTTCATTATCACACAAAAACAGACATAGACAGACATCTAAAGGGTAAGGGAATGATCAGCCCTCCTAACTCTCAGATGAATCTTCAAAATTCACCGCAGAAATATGCTTATTATTCTTCTCAGAGTACTGCAAGATATATACAAACACACACAGACACACACACACACACACACACACACACACACACACACACACTCAGAGTCTGTTTTTTAGCACCTGCAAAAACATGCTATTTACATATTTGACAAGAATGCAGAGGCTCCTTTTGCCCCTGAAAAAAATCAAATTTCAAACACAACTTGACTGCTCATTTCTCCAAAAGACAACCATGAAGCTCCATCCAAACCTGAAGCAGGCAGTTGGTGCATGTGTACAGTAACCTGAGGGGAGTGAGGTGACTGCTTCTGAGGAGAACATGAGCAGTGAAGATTCACCTTGGAGCTAGAACAGGGACGTGCACATGATTATACAGGGGCAGGGGCTCAAGTTTTTTCCAGTCATTTATACAATATGGAAATTAATGTGAAATTAAAAAACAAAGTATTAATAGAAAGGTAATGACTGTCCTGTGTAGATGACAGTGATATCCAATAGGCTAGGCACTCACGAGGCTGGCTGTGGCAAGTGTAAGTGAAAGCAACACGCACTGGCAGGAAGAACAGCAAACGCCGATGAAGGAAAAGGGTCTTTGCAGTGATGGGCGTTACCAGAGAGGGCGATGGCCAGAGGACACGAATGGGACGGGGAGGCAGCGCGTTGGGGGGGGGGGCGGCGCGACACGGCTCGGGCCCGCCAGTGCCCCAACGGGGCCCTAGTTAGGGCCCGAGCGTAGCTGCTAAGCAGCTGCGAGAGCCCTCTTGTTCCTGTAGTTTCCTTCTTTTGTTATTATTATTATTATTATTATTTTTCCTCCCCTTTGAACTGGAAAATGGCCCACTTCCCACTGGCGAAAACTCATGAAATTTGGCAGGACGACCGGGCCTGGTGAAAAATTTGATATTCCGAAGTCGCCCAAACCAGAAAATTCAAAATGGCTCCATAGCGCCCCCTAAGGTGAAAATTCACACTATTCACTGTCACGCCTGTACGCTTTGTCAAAATGACACAAAAATTGACACACACATGTATCTCAATAAGATCTACAAAAAAGTCAGTGCGGGCGTATCTGTCAAATGTACGGTTAAAGGGTTATTTCGCATTTTTTGCCGATCCGCACACATTGGAATTTCGCTAACTCCTCCGAAGGCTTTCGTTCCACCGGCACCACATTTGCTCAGGCCAATCTACACCCCATGGCCATTAAAAGTTATTCAAATCATGACGCTGCACCCCACGGTTTAGGTTCTAGGGGGCGCCAAAGATAACCCTAAGATCCACATATTTAAAAGTCTTATAACTTTTTATTTTTGCCCTCACTGGCCTCCAAGTTTTCTAGGATGATGCAATGTCCAGCCATCAACACATTTGTGAAGGAATTTTTACTCCCCAAAAGAGCGCCCCCCCATGGCAGGAGAAAAAAGTCCATTTTTTCTTGTCCCCTAAGGTGAAAATACACATTGTTGAGTGTAACACCTGTACGCTTTGGCAAAATGACACAAAAATTGACACACACATGTATCTCAATAAGATCTACGAAAAAGTCAATGCGCGCGTATCTGTCAAATGTACGGTTAAAGGGTTATTCCGCATTTTTTGCCGATCCGCACACATTGGAATTTCGCTAACTCCTCCGAAGGCTTTCGTTCCACCGGCACCACATTTGCTCAGGCCAATCTACACCCCATGGCCATTAAAAGTTATTCAAATCATGACGCTGCACCCCACGGTTTAGGTTCTAGGGGGAGCCAAAGATAACCGTAAAATCCACATATTTAAAAGTCTTATAACTTTTTATTTTTGTCCCCACTGGCCTCCAAGTTTTCTAGGATGATGCAATGTCCAGCCATCAACACATTTGTGAAGGAATTTTTACTCGGCAAAAGAGCGCCCCCCCATGGCAGGAGAAAAAAGTCAATTTTTTCTTGTCCACTAAGGTGAAAATACACATTGTTGAGTGCTACGCCTGTATGTTTTGTCGTATTGACACAAAATTTTACATACACGTGTATTTCAATAAGATCTTCGAAAAAGTCAATGGCCACGTATCTGTAAAATGTACGGTTAAAGGGTTATTTCGCATTTTTTGCCGATCCGCACACATTGGAATTTCGCTAACTCCTCCGAAGGCTTTCGTTCCACCGGCACCACATTTGCTCAGGCCAATCTACACCCCATGGCCATTAAAAGTTATTCAAATCATGACGCTGCACCCCACGGTTTAGGTTCTAGGGGGCGCCAAAGATAACCCTAAGATCCACATATTTAAAAGTCTTATAACTTTTTATTTTTGCCCTCACTGGCCTCCAAGTTTTCTAGGATGATGCAATGTCCAGCCATCAACACATTTGTGAAGGAATTTTTACTCCCCAAAAGAGCGCCCCCCCATGGCAGGAGAAAAAAGTCCATTTTTTCTTGTCCCCTAAGGTGAAAATACACATTGTTGAGTGTAACACCTGTACGCTTTGGCAAAATGACACAAAAATTGACACACACATGTATCTCAATAAGATCTACGAAAAAGTCAATGCGCGCGTATCTGTCAAATGTACGGTTAAAGGGTTATTCCGCATTTTTTGCCGATCCGCACACATTGGAATTTCGCTAACTCCTCCGAAGGCTTTCGTTCCACCGGCACCACATTTGCTCAGGCCAATCTACACCCCATGGCCATTAAAAGTTATTCAAATCATGACGCTGCACCCCACGGTTTAGGTTCTAGGGGGAGCCAAAGATAACCGTAAAATCCACATATTTAAAAGTCTTATAACTTTTTATTTTTGTCCCCACTGGCCTCCAAGTTTTCTAGGATGATGCAATGTCCAGCCATCAACACATTTGTGAAGGAATTTTTACTCGGCAAAAGAGCGCCCCCCCATGGCAGGAGAAAAAAGTCAATTTTTTCTTGTCCACTAAGGTGAAAATACACATTGTTGAGTGCTACGCCTGTATGTTTTGTCGTATTGACACAAAATTTTACATACACGTGTATTTCAATAAGATCTTCGAAAAAGTCAATGGCCACGTATCTGTAAAATGTACGGTTAAAGGGTTATTTCGCATTTTTTGCAGATTCGCACACATTGGAATTTCGCTAATTCCTCCGAAGGCTTTCGTTCCACCGGCACCACATTTGCTCAGGCCAATCTACACCCCATGGCCATTAAAAGTTATTCAAATCATGACGCTGCACCCCACGGTTTAGGTTCTAGGGGGCGCCAAATATAACCCTAAAATCCACATATTTAAAAGTCTTATAACTTTTTATTTTTGTCCTCACTGGCCTCCATGTTTTCTAGGATGATGCAATGTCCAGCCATCAACACATTTGTGAAGGAGTTTTTTCTCTTTAAAAGAGCGCCCCCCATGGCAGGAGAATAAAGTCAAGTTTTTCCTGTTCATCATTCAATGGCTCAAACGCACTGCTCTCTCGGCAAAAGCGAAAGGAGGAGCAACTTGCCATTTGGATATATCTTAGCTGTGTTTGTGCCCTCACTCATGGTCCAGACTTTTTTCAAATAGGACATGGAGTTTTTCTGCAGCGAGCGTTTTGGTAGAAACTGCGCCTCCCGTTCATTATAATGGTAAATGACCACAAACAAGTGCGCACACCATCTTTGGACCTTGAGTGTGACGCGATCGGGTGGGGGAGGCGGTCGCGCTGGGGGCGGCGTGACACGGCTCGGGCCCGCCAGTGCCCCAACGGGGCCCTAGTTCTTTCTTTCTTTCTTCTTTTTCCTCCCCTTTGAACTGGAAAATGGCCCACTTCCCACTGGCGAAAACTCATGAAATTTGGCAGGACGATCGGGCCTGGTGAAAAATTCGATATTCTGAAGTCGCCCAAACAATAAAATGCAAAATGGCTCCATAGCGCCCCCTAAGGTGGAAATTCACACTATTGACTGTCACGCCTGTACGCTTTGTCATATTGACACAAAAATTGACACACATATGTATCTCAATAAGATCTACAAAAAAGTCAGTGCGGCCGTATCTGTCAAAATTACGGTTAAAGGGTTATTTTGCATTTTTTGCCGATCCGCACACATTGGAATTTCGCTTACTCCTCCGAAGGCTTTCGTTCCACCGGCACCACATTTGCTCAGGCCAATCTACACCCCGTGGCCATTAAAAGTTATCAAAATCATGACGCTGCACCCCAAGGTTTAGGTTCTAGGGGGCGCCAAAGATAACACTAAAATCCACATATTTAAAAGTCTTATAACTTTTTATTTTTGTCCTCACTGGCCTCCAAGTTTTCTAGGATGATGCAATGTCCAGCCATCAACACATTTGTGAAGGAATTTTTACTCACCAAAAGAGCGCCCCCCCATGGCAGGAGAAAAAAGTCCATTTTTTCTTGTCCCCTAAGGTGAAAATACACATCGTTGAGATTCACGCCTATACGCTTTGTCAAAATGACACAAAAATTGACACACACATGTAACTCAATAAGATCTACGAAAAAGTCAACGCGCGCGTATCTGTCAAATGTACGGTTAAAGGGTTATTCCGCATTTTTTGCCGATCCGCACACATTGGAATGTGGCTAACTCCTCCTAAGGCTTTCGTTCCACCGGCACCACATTTGCTCAGGCCAATCTACACCCCATGGCCATTAAAAGTTGTACAAATCATGACGCTGCACCCCACGGTTTAGGTTCTAGGGGGCGCCAAAGATAACCCTAAAATCCACATATTTAAAAGTCTTATAACTTTTTATTTTTGTCCTCACTGGCCTCCAAGTTTTCTAGGATGATGCAATGTCCAGCCATCAACACATTTGTGAAGGAATTTTTACTCCCCAAAAGAGCGCCCCCCCATGGCAGGAGAAAAAAGTCAATTTTTTCTTGTCCCCTAAGGTGAAAATACATATTGTTGAGATTCACGCCTATACGCTTTGTCATATTGACACAAAATTTGACAATCACGTGCCTTGCCTGGTATCATTTTTTTCAGCACAACCTCACCTGTGCGAATTTACAGTTATTTTATCATGTTGACATACTGAATTTACACAATGGACCCAAATTCACACACAAAACATAAAATCCGAGTGGAAAAAAGTAACATTTTTACTGTGAAAACCACAAATATGTGTGATGAACTGTTTTTAAAACTTAAACTTCAAATAAAAATTGTAAACTTCAAAACATATGCAAATTTTTAACAAAGAACATAGTGATTTACCTCTATTTACATCAAAATGCAGGCAATGGCCCAGGCGTTCTTTGTAAAATTATTTACAAAACACTGTAAAGTCTCACAAATGTCACTTTTTATTTATGCCACTACAAAAAAACATGATGTAAATGATGCATGATGTAAAACATGATGTAAAAAACTTGTGTAGATCCTCCTCTATGTCAGTCCATGTGTAATTTTTCCATAATTCTTTGTTTTTTGCAGCATTTTTGTTAGTGTAACTGCAGATTGTGCTGACAGTGTCTATGGCACAAAAAAAAAAAAAAAATTAAAATGCCTCAACATGAACCCCTGGTGGTCTCTGAGGGTGAAACCTGCTAACTGCTGCAGCTCTGTGAGGTTCAGTTTCCCATGCAGAGCTCTGAGCGCATGTGTGGCTCTGCACCCTTAGCAGCGTTGCTAACTCCTCAGTAAGGAAAGCCTGCTTCATGTCAGAGTCTCTAAACTCCAGAAGAAGTCGATAAAAGTCCCTTTCTTTCTAAAAAAAAGTCGTTAGGGGGTCTGAAAAGTCATTGAATCTAACAACAAAGTCGCTAGGTTTGCAACTACGTGTCCCAGACTGCATCCCTGCTGAGAGTCCCTCCCTCCCTTCTCATGTTGCAGGAAGAACGTAAGCGCCCGCCCCTTGTCAATCAGTCACCATATAATTTTGGATTGGTTGTTGTGGTCAAGTTTTCCACCAATAGGAGAGATGTTGTGTGTTTTTTTTTTCTTTTGGCAAGCCTTTTCCGCCTGTAAGACCTGTCGCTAATGTCTGCATGCTATGTTTTCCTGTCTCATACAGCGCGATCGAGCGCCGAACGTGATCAAAATAAGCAGAAAAAAAGTATCGCGGACATAATTTATCATAACTCTGGTTTTATTTGGCCTATCAACACAATTTAAAAACTGGTATATAGGTTGAGGTCCTCACTTTTGAGATAAGTTGAAACGGAGAGTCAACGAGGCTCCGTCTTGCAGCTACATCCGGTTAAATATGTCATGTGACTTGAACGCACACACAGACACACACACACGCACACACACACACACACACACACACACACACACACACACACACACACACACACACACACACACTCAGAGTCTGGTTTTTAGCACCTGCAAAAACATGCTATTTACATATTTGACAAGAATGCAGAGGCTCCTTTTGCCCCTGAAAAAAATCAAATTTCAAACACAACTTGACTGGTCATTTCTCCAAAAGACAACCATGAAGCTCCATCCAAACCTGAAGCAGGCAGTTGGTGCATGTGTACAGTAACCTGAGGGGAGTGAGGTGAGTGCTTCTGAGGAGAACATGAGCAGTGAAGATTCACCTTGGAGCTAGAACAGAGACATGCACATGATTATACAGGGGCAGGGGCTCAAGTTTTTTCCAGTCGTTTATACAATATGAAAATTAATGTGAAATTAAAACACAAAGTATTAATAGAAAGGTAATGACTGTCCTGTGTAGGTGACAGTGATATCCAATAGGCTAGGCACTCACGAGGCTGGCTGTGGCAAGTGTAAGTGAAAGCAACACGCACTGGCAGGAAGAACAGCAAACGCCGATGAAGGAAAAGGGTCTTTGCAGTGATGGGCGTTACCAGAGAGGGCGATGGCCAGAGGACACGAATGGGACGGGGAGGCAGCGCGTTGGGGGGGGGGGGGGTGCGACACGGCTCGGGCCCGCCAGTGCCCCAACGGGGTCCTAGTGTTATTATTAGGGCCCGAGCGTAGCTGCTAAGCAGCTGCGAGAGCCCTATTATTCCCCAAGTGGTTTTTTAGGGCCCGAGCGTAGCTGCTAAGCAGCTGCGAGAGCCCTATTATTCCCCAAGTGGTTTTTCTTTGTTTCTTTCTTTCTTTAGGGCCCGAGCGTAGCTGCTAAGCAGCTGCGAGAGCCCTATTATTCCCCAAGTGGTTTTTCTTTGTTTCTTTTTTCTTTTTCCTCCCCTTTGAACTGGAAAATGGCCCACTTCCCACTGGCGAAAACTCATGAAATTTGGCAGGACGACCGGGCCTGGTGAAAAATTTGATATTCCGAAGTCGCCCAAACAATAAAATGCAAAATGGCTCCATAGCGCCCCCTAAGGTGAAAATTCACATGACGGCTGTACGCTTTGTCATATTGACACAAAATTTGACACACACATGTATCTCAATAAGATCTACAAAAAAGTCAGTGCGGGCGTATCTGTCAAATGTACGGTTAATGGGTTATTTTGCATTTTTTGCAGATCTGCACACATTGGAATTTCGCTAACTCCTCCGAAGGCTTTCGTTCCACCGGCACCACATTTGCTCAGGCCAATCTACACCCCATGGCCATTAAAAGTTATTCAAATCATGACGCTGCACCCCACGGTTTAGGTTCTAGGGGGCGCCAAAAATAACCCTAAAATCCACATATTTAAAAGTCTTATAACTTTTTATTTTTGTCCTCACTGGCCTCCAAGTTTTCTAGGATGATGCAATGTCCAGCCATCAACACATTTGTGAAGGAATTTTTACTCCCCAAAAGAGCGCCCCCCCATGGCAGGAGAAAAAAGTCCATTTTTTCTTGTCCCCTAAGGTGAAAATACATATTGTTGAGATTCACGCCTATACGCTTTGTCATATTGACACAAGATTTGACAATCACGTGCCTTGCCTGGTATCATTTTTTTCAGCACAACCTCACCTGTGCGAATTTACAGTTATTTTATCATGTTGACATACTGAATTTACACAATGGACCCAAATTCACACACAAAACATAAAATCCGAGTGGAAAAAAGTAACATTTTTACTGTGAAAACCACAAATATGTGTGATGAACTGTTTTTAAAACTTAAACTTCAAATAAAAATTGTAAACTTCAAAACATATGCAAATTTTTAACAAAGAACATAGTGATTTACCTCTATTTACATCAAAATGCAGGCAATGGCCCAGGCGTTCTTTGTAAAATTATTTACAAAACACTGTATAGTCTCACAAATGTCACTTTTTATTTATGCCACTACAAAAAAACATGATGTAAATGATGCATGATGTAAAACATGATGTAAAAAACTTGTGTAGATCCTCCTCTATGTCAGTCCATGTGTAATTTTTCCATAATTCTTTGTTTTTTGCAGCATTTTTGTTAGTGTAACTGCAGATTGTGCTGACAGTGTCTATGGCACAAAAAAAAAAAAAAATTTAAAATGCCTCAACATGAACCACTGGTGGTCTATTAGGGTGAAACCTGCTAACTGCTGCAGCTCTGTCAGCTTCAGTCTCCCATGCAGAGCTCTGAGCGCATGTGTGGCTCTGCACCCTTAGCAGCGTTGCTAACTCCTCAGTAAGGAAAGCCTGCTTCATGTCAGAGTCTCTAAACTCCAGAAGAAGTCGATAAAAGTCCCTTTCTTTCTAAAAAAAGTCGTTAGGGGGTCTGAAAAGTCATTGAATCTAACAACAAAGTCGCTAGGTTTGCAACTACGTGTCCCAGACTGCATCCCTGCTGAGAGTCCCTCCCTCGCTTCTCATGTTGCAGGAAGAACGTAAGCGCCCGCCCCTTGTCAATCAGTCACCATATAATTTTGGATTGGTTGTTGTGGTGAAGTTTTCCACCAATAGGAGAGATGTTGTGGTGTGTTTTTTTTTTCTTTTGGCAAGCCTTTTCCGCCTGTAAGACCTGTCGCTAATGTCTGCATGCTATGTCTTCCTGTCTCATACAGCGCGATCGAGCGCCGAACGTGATCAAAATAAGCAGAAAAAAAGTATCGCGGACATAATTTATCATAACTCTGGTTTTATTTGGCCTATCAACACAATTTAAAAACTGGTATATAGGTTGAGGTCCTCACTTTTGAGATAAGTTGAAACGGAGAGTCAACGAGGCTCCGTCTTGCAGCTACATCCGGTTAAATATGTCATGTGACTTGAACGCACACACAGACACACACACACGCACACACACACACACACACACACACACTCAGAGTCTGGTTTTTAGCACCTGCAAAAACATGCTATTTACATATTTGACAAGAATGCAGAGGCTCCTTTTGCCCCTGAAAAAAATCAAATTTCAAACACAACTTGACTGGTCATTTCTCCAAAAGACAACCATGAAGCTCCATCCAAACCTGAAGCAGGTAGTTGGTGCATGTGCACAGTAACCTGAGGGGAGTGAGGTGAGTGCTTCTGAGGAGAACATGAGCTGTGAAGATTCACCTTGGAGCTAGAACAGAGACATGCACATGATTATACAGGGGCAGGGGCTCAAGTTTTTTCCAGTCGTTTATACAATATGGAAATTAATGTGAAATTAAAACACAAAGTATTAATAGAAAGGTAATGACTGTCCTGTGTAGGTGACAGTGATATCCAATAGGCTAGGCACTCACGAGGCTGGCTGTGGCAAGTGTAAGTGAAAGCAACACGCACTGGCAAGAAGAACAGCAAACGCCGATGAAGGAAAAGGGTCTTTGCAGTGATGGGCGTTACCAGAGAGGGCGATGGCCAGAGGACACAAATGGGACGGGGAGGCAGCACGTTTGGGGGGGGGACGCGACACGGCTCGGGCCCGCCAGTGCCCCAACGGGGTCCTAGTTAGGGCCCGAGCGTAGCTGCTAAGCAGCTGCGAGAGCCCTCTTGTTCCTGTAGTTTCCTTCTTTTGTTAGGGCCCGAGCCAGCTGCAGAGCAGCCGGGCGTAGGCCCTATTATTCCCCAAGTGGTTTTTCTTTGTTTCTTTCTTTCTTTCTTTAGGGCCCGAGCCAGCTGCAGAGCAGCCGGGCGTAGGCCCTGTTATTCCTGTAGGGGTTTTTCTTTGTTAGGGCCCGAGCGTAGCTGCTAAGCAGCTGCGAGAGCCCTATTATTCCCCAAGTGGTTTTTCTTTGTTTCTTTCTTTCTTTCTTTCTTTCTTTCTTCTTTTTCCTCCCCTTTGAACTGGAAAATGGCCCACTTCCCACTGGCGAAAACTCATGAAATTTGGCAGGACGACCGGGCCTGGTGAAAAATTCGATATTCTGAAGTCACCCAAACAATAAAATGCAAAATGGCTCCATAGCGCCCCCTAAGGTGGAAATTCACACTATTGACTGTCACGCCTGTACGCTTTGTCATATTGACACAAAAATTGACACACATATGTATCTCAATAAGATCTACAAAAAAGTCAGTGCGGCCGTATCTGTCAAAATTACGGTTAAAGGGTTATTTTGCATTTTTTGCCGATCCGCACACATTGGAATTTCGCTAACTCCTCCGAAGGCTTTCGTTCCACCGGCACCACATTTGCTCAGGCCAATCTACACCCCGTGGCCATTAAAAGTTATCAAAATCATGACGCTGCACCCCAAGGTTTAGGTTCTAGGGGGCGCCAAAGATAACACTAAAATCCACATATTTAAAAGTCTTATAACTTTTTATTTTTGTCCTCACTGGCCTCCAAGTTTTCTAGGATGATGCAATGTCCAGCCATCAACACATTTGTGAAGGAATTTTTACTCCCCAAAAGAGCGCCCCCCCATGGCAGGAGAAAAAAGTCCATTTTTTCTTGTCCCCTAAGGTGAAAATACACATTGTTGAGTGTCACGCCTATACGCTTTGTCATATTGACACAAAAATTGACACACATATGTATCTCAATAAGATCTACAAAAAAGTCAGTGCGGCCGTATCTGTCAAAATTACGGTTAAAGGGTTATTTTGCATTTTTTGCCGATCCGCACACATTGGAATTTCGCTAACTCCTCCGAAGGCTTTCGTTCCACCGGCACCACATTTGCTCAGGCCAATCTACACCCCGTGGCCATTAAAAGTTATCAAAATCATGACGCTGCACCCCAAGGTTTAGGTTCTAGGGGGCGCCAAAGATAACACTAAAATCCACATATTTAAAAGTCTTATAACTTTTTATTTTTGTCCTCACTGGCCTCCAAGTTTTCTAGGATGATGCAATGTCCAGCCATCAACACATTTGTGAAGGAATTTTTACTCCCCAAAAGAGCGCCCCCCCATGGCAGGAGAAAAAAGTCCATTTTTTCTTGTCCCCTAAGGTGAAAATACACATTGTTGAGTGTCACGCCTATACGCTTTGTCATATTGACACAAAATTTGACAATCACGTGCCTTGCCTGGTATCATTTTTTTTCAGCACAATCTCACCTGTGCGAATTTACAGTTATTTTATCATGTTGACATACTGAATTTACACAATGGACCCAAATTCACACACAAAACATAAAATCCGAGTGGAAAAATGTAACATTTTTACTGTGAAAACCACAAATATGTGTGATGAACTGTTTTTAAAACTTAAACTTCAAATAAAAATTGTAAACTTCAAAACATATGCAAATTTTTAACAAAGAACATAGTGATTTACCTCTATTTACATCAAAATGCAGGCAATGGCCCAGGCGTTCTTTGTAAAATTATTTACAAAACACTGTATAGTTTCACAAATGTCACTTTTTATTTATGCCACTACAAAAAAACATGATGTAAATGATGCATGATGTAAAACATGATGTAAAAAACTTGTGTAGATCCTCCTCTATGTCAGTCCATGTGTAATTTTTCCATAATTCTTTGTTTTTTGCAGCATTTTTGTTAGTGTAACTGCAGATTGTGCTGACAGTGTCTATGGCACAAAAAAAAAAAAAAATTTAAAATGCCTCAACATGAACCACTGGTGGTCTATTAGGGTGAAACCTGCTAACTGCTGCAGCTCTGTCAGCTTCAGTCTCCCATGCAGAGCTCTGAGCGCATGTGTGGCTCTGCACCCTTAGCAGCGTTGCTAACTCCTCAGTAAGGAAAGCCTGCTTCATGTCAGAGTCTCTGAACTCCAGAAGAAGTCGATAAAAGTCCCTTTCTTTCTAAAAAAAAGTCGTTAGGGGGTCTGAAAAGTCATTGAATCTAACAACAAAGTCGCTAGGTTTGCAACTACGTGTCCCAGACTGCATCCCTGCTGAGAGTCCCTCCCTCCCTTCTCATGTTGCAGGAAGAACGTAAGCGCCCGCCCCTTGTCAATCAGTCACCATATAATTTTGGATTGGTTGTTGTGGTGAAGTTTTCCACCAATAGGAGAGATGTTGTGGTGTGTTTTTTTTTTCTTTTGGCAAGCCTTTTCCGCCTTTAAGACCTGTCGCTAATGTCTGCATGCTATGTTTTCCTGTCTCATACAGTGCGATCGAGCGCCGAACGTGATCAAAATAAGCAGAAAAAAAGTATCGCGGACATAATTTATCATAACTCTGGTTTTATTTGGCCTATCAACACAATTTAAAAACTGGTATATAGGTTGAGGTCCTCACTTTTGAGATAAGTTGAAACGGAGAGTCAACGAGGCTCCGTCTTGCAGCTACATCCGGTTAAATATGTCATGTGACTTTAACGCACACACAGACACACACACACGCACACACACACACACACACACACACACACACACACACACACACACACACACACACACACACTCAGAGTCTGGTTTTTAGCACCTGCAAAAACATGCTATTTACATATTTGACAAGAATGCAGAGGCTCCTTTTGCCCCTGAAAAAAATCAAATTTCAAACACAACTTGACTGGTCATTTCTCCAAAAGACAACCATGAAGCTCCATCCAAACCTGAAGCAGGCAGTTGGTGCATGTGTACAGTAACCTGAGGGGAGTGAGGTGAGTGCTTCTGAGGAGAACATGAGCAGTGAAGATTCACCTTGGAGCTAGAACAGAGACATGCACATGATTATACAGGGGCAGGGGCTCAAGTTTTTTCCGGGTCGTTTATACAATATGGAAATTAATGTGAAATTAAAACACAAAGTATTAATAGAAAGGTAATGACTGTCCTGTGTAGGTGACAGTGATATCCAATAGGCTAGGCACTCACGAGGCTGGCTGTGGTAAGTGTAAGTGAAAGCAACACGCACTGGCAAGAAGAACAGCAAACGCCGATGAAGGAAAAGGGTCTTTGCAGTGATGGGCGTTACCAGAGAGGGCGATGGCCAGAGGACACAAATGGGACAGGGAGGCAGCACGTTGGGAGGGGGACGCGACACGGCTCGGGCCCGCCAGTGCCCCAACGGGGTCCTAGTTTCTTTCTTTCTTCTTTTTCCTCCCCTTTGAACTGGAAAATGGCCCACTTCCCACTGGCGAAAACTCAGGAAATTTGGCAGGACGACCGGGCCTGGTGAAAAATTTGATATTCCGAAGTCGCCCAAACAAGAAAATGCAAAATGGCTCCATAGCGCCCCCTAAGGTGAAAATTCACACTATTGACTGTCACGCCTGTACGCTTTGTCAAAATGACACAAAAATTGACACACACATGTATCTCAATAAGATCTACAAAAAAGTCAGTGCGGGCGTATCTGTCAAATGTACGGTTAAAGGGTTATTTCGCATTTTTTGCCGATCCGCACACATTGGAATTTCGCTAACTCCTCCGAAGGCTTTCGTTCCACCGGCACCACATTTGCTCAGGCCAATCTACACCCCGTGGCCATTAAAAGTTATCAAAATCATGACGCTGCACCCCAAGGTTTAGGTTCTAGGGGGCGCCAAAGATAACACTAAAATCCACATATTTAAAAGTCTTATAACTTTTTATTTTTGTCCTCACTGGCCTCCAAGTTTTCTAGGATGATGCAATGTCCAGCCATCAACACATTTGTGAAGGAATTTTTACTCCCCAAAAGAGCGCCCCCCCATGGCAGGAGAAAAAAGTCCATTTTTTCTTGTCCCCTAAGGTGAAAATACACATTGTTGAGTGTCACGCCTATACGCTTTGTCAAAATGACACAAAAATTGACACACACATGTAACTCAATAAGATCTACGAAAAAGTCAATGCGCGCGTATCTGTCAAATGTACGGTTAAAGGGTTATTCCGCATTTTTTGCCGATTCGCACACATTGGAATTTCGCTAACTCCTCCGAAGGCTTTCGTTCCACCGGCACCACATTTGCTCAGGCCAATCTACACCCCATGGCCATTAAAAGTTATTCAAATCATGACGCTGCACCCCACGGTTTACGTTCTAGGGGGCGCCAAAGATAACCCAAAAATCCACATTTTTAAAAGTCTTATAACTTTTTATTTTTGTCCTCACTGGCCTCCAAGTTTTCTAGGATGATGCAATGTCCAGCCATCAACACATTTGTGAAGGAATTTTTACTCCCCAAAAGAGCGCCCCCCCATGGCAGGAGAAAAAAGTCCATTTTTTCTTGTCCCCTAAGTTGAAAATACACATTGTTGACTGTCACGCCTGTACGCTTTGGCAAAATGACACAAAAATTGACAATCATGTGTATCTCAATTAGATCTACGAAAAAGTCAAAGAGCGCGTATCTGTATAATGTACGGTAAAAGGGCTATTTTGCATTTTTTGCCGATTCGCACACATTGGAATGTGGCTAACTCCTCCTAAGGCTTTCGTCCCACTGACACCAAATTTGCTCAGGCCAATCTACACTCCATGGCCATTCAAAGTTGTAAAAATCATGACGCTGCACCCCACGGTTTACGTTTTAGGGGGCGCCAAAGATGACCCAAATATACATTACAGTAGACAAAGTAGTTTTGCCCACTGAGTGGCGCCAAAGGGACTTGTCTGTGGAGTCTGTGAGTCACTATTGGCCGTTTTTGACTACTTTAGATTTTACCTTTATATTTCCTCTTACAAAATTTTTACCTTGCCTTGCCTGGTATCATTTTTTTCAGCACAACCTCACCTGTGTCAATTTACAGTTATTTTATCATTTTGACATACTATATTTACACATTGGACCCAAATTCACACACAAAACATAAAATCCGAGTGGAAAAAAGTAACGTTTTTACTGTGAAAACCACAAATATGTGTGATGAACTGTTTTTAAAACTTAAACTTCAAATAAAAATTGTAAACTTCAAAACATATGCAAATTTTTAACAAAGAACATAGTAATTTACCTCTATTTACATCAAAATGCAGGCAATGGCCCAGGTGTTCTTTGTAAAATTATTTACAAAACACTGTAAAGTCTCACAAATGTCACTTTTTATTTATGCCACTACAAAAAAACATGATGTAAATGATGCATGATGTAAAACATGATGTAAAAAACTTGTGTAGATCCTCCTCTATGTTAGTCCATGTGTAATTTTTCCATAATTCTTTGTTTTTTGCAGCATTTTTGTTAGTGTAACTGCAGATTGTGCTGACAGTGTCTATGGCACAAAAAAAAAAAAACTGAAAATGCCTCAACATGAACCCCTGGTGGTCTCTGAGGGTGAAACCTGCTAACTGCTGCAGCTCTGTCAGCTTCAGTCTCCCATGCAGAGCTCTGAGCACATGTGTGGCTCTGCACCCTTAGCAGCGTTGCTAACTCCTCAGTAAGGAAAGCCTGCTTCATGTCAGAGTCTCTAAACTCCAGAAGAAGTCGATAAAAGTCACTTTCTTTCTAAAAAAAAGTCGTTAGGGGGTCTGAAAAGTCATTGAATCTAACAACAAAGTCGCTAGGTTTGCAACTACGTGTCCCAGACTGCATCCCTGCTGAGAGTCCCTCCCTCCCTTCTCATGTTGCAGGAAGAACGTAAGCGCCCGCCCCTTGTCAATCAGTCACCATATAATTTTGGATTGGTTGTTGTGGTGAAGTTTTCCACCAATAGGAGAGATGTTGTGGTGTGTTTTTTTTTCTTTTGGCAAGCCTTTTCCGCCTGTAAGACCTGTCGCTAATGTCTGCATGCTATGTTTTCCTGTCTCATACAGCGCGGTCGAGCGCCAAACGTGATCAAAATAAGCAGAAGAAAAGTATCGCGGACATAATTTATCATAACTCTGGTTTTATTTGGCCTATCAACACAATTTAAAAACTGGTATATAGGTTGAGGTCCTCACTTTTGAGATAAGTTGAAACGGAGAGTCAACGAGGCTCCGTCTTGCAGCTACATCCGGTTAAATATGTCATGTGACTTGAACGCACACACAGACACACACACGCACACACACACACACACACACACACACACACACACACACACACACACACACACTCAGAGTCTGGTTTTTAGCACCTGCAAAAACATGCTATTTACATATTTGACAAGAATGCAGAGGCTCCTTTTGCCCCTGAAAAAAATCAAATTTCAAACACAACTTGACTGGTCATTTCTCCAAAAGACAACCATGAAGCTCCATCCAAACCTGAAGCAGGCAGTTGGTGCATGCAGTAGCGGTTCGAGGCACGGGCGAACAGGGCAGCCGCCCGGGGCGGCATTTGTGTTATGACTCATGGGGGGCGGCACGAGCACTTCTAAAAAATAAAATAAAAGATAATGATAATAAATCTTAACCGCAAAGAGGTTTTGTATCAACTCTTGTTGTCAAATTGGCGCCCCCCCCCCCCCCCCCCGCTGCTGTAGGCGCCCCTGCTTGCTCCGAAGGTGCTGCACAGAGGCTGACAGACTGTGTGAGATGAGGTGGGGAGAGAGTCGCGGGGGCGACAGCTCTCCTCTGTGTACGCATGTCAGCATATCAGCGGGAGCGCGGCTGCGCATTTTTACTCTGCCGGGAGCGCGGACACGTCATTTTGTAACATTCTGTAGTTTTTTAATCATTTCTGGAGTCTTGGTGAATGAAATCACCGTACCCGTCTGCCTTTGATAGGCGAATAAAGCGCTCGGGTTCATGCTCGGATCTTGCTACGTGCTTGATGAGCTTCATGAGTGAAGTAAACAATGACGGAGGCAGAGAGCAGCTTAAGAGGAGAAACATCCAGCAGTGTGAACAAACTCTTCATATAGAGTGCTTTGGCTCACACTATCAGTGTTTTCTGTGAGTGTTGAATGACTTTGGGTGAGAACAGAGATAAACACACTGTCAGCCACGTATTTATTTATTCATTTTTTAGTTTTTAGTTCTGCTTTTGTACTGGCACTATACTGGGGCAGCTGTATACCCTTTCAACACCTTATTTTCTATATTTACATTTGTATTGAATGGACACTTTATCATGACTGCCACTTTATTTTACAGAAAGCAAATTATTTGTCATTCTCCAGTGCAGAGCCTTTACTTTTATTTATACAGCCGCTTCATTTCATTTAAGTTTGTTTGTTCAAGGTTTTCAAAAATGTGATGAAGGTTCGCAAAACTAAAAGAGAGCTTTCTTGAAAGCCACATGTATAAGCTCTCAAATACTTTTTCAATTTTGTTTCTATCTACTACAGAGGCCGAGATAGCAGCTTTTTTGTAAACCTTAACACGTCAGAAAAGCTCAGGATCTGGGGGCCCTTCTCAAAATGGCCCTCAGGATTGTGTTTTTTTCTATTGAAGGATTTCTGCAATTGAGAAATTATTTTTGTTGTTATAATCATAAAAATACTACATAATAATACAAAACTCTCTTTTTGTGTTTGTGTGTTGGGGGGGGGGGGGCAGGCACTTGGAGGGGTGCTCGCCCGGGGAGTAATTTGGTCTAGAACCGCCACTGGGTGCATGTGTACAGTAACCTGAGGGGAGTGAGGTGAGTGCTTCTGAGGAGAACATGAGCAGTGAAGATTCACCTTGGAGCTAGAACAGAGACATGCACATGATCATACAGGGGCAGGGGCTCAAGTTTTTTCCAGTCGTTTATACAATATGGAAATTAATGTGAAATTAAAACACAAAGTATTAATAGAAAGGTAATGACTGTCCTGTGTAGGTGACAGTGATATCCAATAGGCTAGGCACTCACGAGGCTGGCTGTGGCAAGTGTAAGTGAAAGCAACATGCACTGGCAGGATGAACAGCAAACGCCGATGAAGGAAAAGGGTCTTTGCAGTGATGGGCGTTACCAGAGAGGGCGATGGCCAGAGGACACAAATGGGACGGGGAGGCAGCACGTTGGGGGGGGGACGCGACACGGCTCGGGCCCGCCAGTGCCCCAACGGGGTCCTAGTTAGGGCCCGAGCGTAGCTGCTAAGCAGCTGCGAGAGCCCTATTATTCCCCAAGTGGTTTTTCTTTGTTTCTTTCTTTCTTTAGGGCCCGAGCGTAGCTGCTAAGCAGCTGCGAGAGCCCTCTTGTTCCTGCATGTTTCCTTCTTTCGTTATTATTTTTCCTCCGCTTTAAACTGGAAAATGGCCCACTTCCCACTGGCGAAAACTCAGGAAATTTGGCAGGACGACCGGGCCTGGTGAAAAATTCGATATTCTGAAGTCGCCCAAACAATAAAATGCAAAATGGCTCCATAGCGCCCCCTAAGGTGAAAATTCACATGACGGCTGTACGCTTTGTCATATTGACACAAAAATTGACACACACATGTATCTCAATAAGATCTACAAAAAAGTCAGTGCGGGCGTATCTGTCAAATGTACGGTTAATGGGTTATTTTGCATTTTTTGCAGATCTGCACACATTGGAATTTCGCTAACTCCTCCGAAGGCTTTCGTTCGACCGGCACCACATTTGCGCAGGCCAATCTACCCCCCATGGCCATTAAAAGTTGTACAAATCATGACGCTGCACCCCACGGTTTACGTTCTAGGGGGCGCCAAAGATAACCCAAAATCCACATTCTTAAAAGTCTTATAACTTTTTATTTTTGTCCTCACTGCCCTCCAAGTTTTCTAGGATGATGCAATGTCCAGCCATCAACACATTTGTGAAGGAATTTTTACTCCCCAAAAGAGCGCCCCCCCATGGCAGGAGAAAAAAGTCAATTTTTTCTTGTCCCCTTACATGAAAATACACATTGTTGAGTGTCACGCCTGAACGCTTTGTCATATTGACACAAAAATTGACAATCATGTGTATCTCAATTAGATCTACGAAAAAGTCAAAAAGCGCGTATCTGTATAATGTACGGTTAAAGGGCTATTTCGCATTTTTTGCCGATTCGCACACATTGGAATGTGGCTATCTCCTCCTAAGGCTTTCGTCCCACCGATACCAAATTTGCTCAGGGCAATCTACACCCCATGCCCATTCAAAGTTGTAAAAATCATGACGCTGCACCCCACGGTTTACGTTCTAGGGGGCGCCAAAGATGACCCAAAAATCCACATTCTTAAAAGTCATTTTGGCCACTGCAGGAGTACAGAGTACTGCAGTTCTAGGGGGCGCCAAAGATGACCCAAAAATCCACATTCTTAAAAGTCTTTTTGGCCACTGCAGGAGTACAGAGTACTGCAGGATACACACACATACACACACACACACACACACACACACACACACACACACACACACACACACACACACATTTTTCCATAATTCTTTGTTTTTTGCAGCATTTTTAGGGCCCGAGCGTAGCTGCTAAGCAGCTGCGAGAGCCCTCTTGTTCCTGCATGTTTCCTTCTTTCGTTATTATTTTTCCTCCGCTTTAAACTGGAAAATGGCCCACTTCCCACTGGCGAAAACTCAGGAAATTTGGCAGGACGACCGGGCCTGGTGAAAAATTCGATATTCTGAAGTCGCCCAAACAATAAAATGCAAAATGGCTCCATAGCGCCCCCTAAGGTGAAAATTCACATGACGGCTGTACGCTTTGTCATATTGACACAAAAATTGACACACACATGTATCTCAATAAGATCTACAAAAAAGTCAGTGCGGGCGTATCTGTCAAATGTACGGTTAATGGGTTATTTTGCATTTTTTGCAGATCTGCACACATTGGAATTTCGCTAACTCCTCCGAAGGCTTTCGTTCGACCGGCACCACATTTGCGCAGGCCAATCTACCCCCCATGGCCATTAAAAGTTGTACAAATCATGACGCTGCACCCCACGGTTTACGTTCTAGGGGGCGCCAAAGATAACCCAAAATCCACATTCTTAAAAGTCTTATAACTTTTTATTTTTGTCCTCACTGCCCTCCAAGTTTTCTAGGATGATGCAATGTCCAGCCATCAACACATTTGTGAAGGAATTTTTACTCCCCAAAAGAGCGCCCCCCATGGCAGGAGAAAAAAGTCAATTTTTTCTTGTCCCCTTACATGAAAATACACATTGTTGAGTGTCACGCCTGAACGCTTTGTCATATTGACACAAAAATTGACAATCATGTGTATCTCAATTAGATCTACGAAAAAGTCAAAAAGCGCGTATCTGTATAATGTACGGTTAAAGGGCTATTTCGCATTTTTTGCCGATTCGCACACATTGGAATGTGGCTATCTCCTCCTAAGGCTTTCGTCCCACCGATACCAAATTTGCTCAGGGCAATCTACACCCCATGCCCATTCAAAGTTGTAAAAATCATGACGCTGCACCCCACGGTTTACGTTCTAGGGGGCGCCAAAGATGACCCAAAAATCCACATTCTTAAAAGTCATTTTGGCCACTGCAGGAGTACAGAGTACTGCAGTTCTAGGGGGCGCCAAAGATGACCCAAAAATCCTCTCGCAGCTAAGCAGCTGCGAGAGCCCTCTTGTTCCTGCATGTTTCCTTCTTTCGTTATTATTTTTCCTCCGCTTTAAACTGGAAAATGGCCCACTTCCCACTGGCGAAAACTCAGGAAATTTGGCAGGACGACCGGGCCTGGTGAAAAATTCGATATTCTGAAGTCGCCCAAACAATAAAATGCAAAATGGCTCCATAGCGCCCCCTAAGGTGAAAATTCACATGACGGCTGTACGCTTTGTCATATTGACACAAAAATTGACACACACATGTATCTCAATAAGATCTACAAAAAAGTCAGTGCGGGCGTATCTGTCAAATGTACGGTTAATGGGTTATTTTGCATTTTTTGCAGATCTGCACACATTGGAATTTCGCTAACTCCTCCGAAGGCTTTCGTTCGACCGGCACCACATTTGCGCAGGCCAATCTACCCCCCATGGCCATTAAAAGTTGTACAAATCATGACGCTGCACCCCACGGTTTACGTTCTAGGGGGCGCCAAAGATAACCCAAAATCCACATTCTTAAAAGTCTTATAACTTTTTATTTTTGTCCTCACTGCCCTCCAAGTTTTCTAGGATGATGCAATGTCCAGCCATCAACACATTTGTGAAGGAATTTTTACTCCCCAAAAGAGCGCCCCCCCATGGCAGGAGAAAAAAGTCAATTTTTTCTTGTCCCCTTACATGAAAATACACATTGTTGAGTGTCACGCCTGAACGCTTTGTCATATTGACACAAAAATTGACAATCATGTGTATCTCAATTAGATCTACGAAAAAGTCAAAAAGCGCGTATCTGTATAATGTACGGTTAAAGGGCTATTTCGCATTTTTTGCCGATTCGCACACATTGGAATGTGGCTATCTCCTCCTAAGGCTTTCGTCCCACCGATACCAAATTTGCTCAGGGCAATCTACACCCCATGCCCATTCAAAGTTGTAAAAATCATGACGCTGCACCCCACGGTTTACGTTCTAGGGGGCGCCAAAGATGACCCAAAAATCCACATTCTTAAAAGTCATTTTGGCCACTGCAGGAGTACAGAGTACTGCAGTTCTAGGGGGCGCCAAAGATGACCCAAAAATCCACATTCTTAAAAGTCTTTTTGGCCACTGCAGGAGTACAGAGTACTGCAGGATACACACACATACACACACACACACACACACACACACACACACACACACACACACACTCAGAGTCTGTTTTTTAGCACCTGCAAAAACATGCTGTTTACATATTTGACAAGAATGCAGAGGCTTCCTTTTGCCCCTGAAAAAAATCAGATTTCAAACACAACTTGACTGTTCATTTCTCCAAAAGACAACCATGAAGCTCCATCCAAACCTGAAGCAGATAGTTGGTGCATGTGTACAGTAACCTGAGGGGAGTGAGGTGACTATTTCTGAGGAGAACATGAGCAGTGAAGATTCACCTTGGAGCTAGAACAGGGACGTGCACATGATTATACAGGGGCAGGGGCTCAAGTTTTTTCCAGTCATTTATACAATATGGAAATTAATGTGAAATTAAACCACAAATATGTGTGATGAACTGTTTTTAAAACTTAAACTTCAAATAAAAATTGTAAACTTCAAAACATATGCAAATTTTTAACAAAGAACATAGTAATTTACCTCTATTTACATCAAAATGCAGGCAATGGCCCAGGCGTTCTTTGTAAAATTATTTACAAAACACTGTATAGTCTCACAAATGTCACTTTTTATTTATGCCACTACAAAAAAACATGATGTAAATGATGCATGATGTAAAAAACTTGTGTAGATCCTCCTCTATGTCAGTCCATGTGTAATTTTTCCATAATTCTTTGTTTTTTGCAGCATTTTTAGGGCCCGAGCGTAGCTGCTAAGCAGCTGCGAGAGCCCTCTTGTTCCTGCATGTTTCCTTCTTTCGTTATTATTTTTCCTCCGCTTTAAACTGGAAAATGGCCCACTTCCCACTGGCGAAAACTCAGGAAATTTGGCAGGACGACCGGGCCTGGTGAAAAATTCGATATTCTGAAGTCGCCCAAACAATAAAATGCAAAATGGCTCCATAGCGCCCCCTAAGGTGAAAATTCACATGACGGCTGTACGCTTTGTCATATTGACACAAAAATTGACACACACATGTATCTCAATAAGATCTACAAAAAAGTCAGTGCGGGCGTATCTGTCAAATGTACGGTTAATGGGTTATTTTGCATTTTTTGCAGATCTGCACACATTGGAATTTCGCTAACTCCTCCGAAGGCTTTCGTTCGACCGGCACCACATTTGCGCAGGCCAATCTACCCCCCATGGCCATTAAAAGTTGTACAAATCATGACGCTGCACCCCACGGTTTACGTTCTAGGGGGCGCCAAAGATAACCCAAAATCCACATTCTTAAAAGTCTTATAACTTTTTATTTTTGTCCTCACTGCCCTCCAAGTTTTCTAGGATGATGCAATGTCCAGCCATCAACACATTTGTGAAGGAATTTTTACTCCCCAAAAGAGCGCCCCCCCATGGCAGGAGAAAAAAGTCAATTTTTTCTTGTCCCCTTACATGAAAATACACATTGTTGAGTGTCACGCCTGAACGCTTTGTCATATTGACACAAAAATTGACAATCATGTGTATCTCAATTAGATCTACGAAAAAGTCAAAAAGCGCGTATCTGTATAATGTACGGTTAAAGGGCTATTTCGCATTTTTTGCCGATTCGCACACATTGGAATGTGGCTATCTCCTCCTAAGGCTTTCGTCCCACCGATACCAAATTTGCTCAGGGCAATCTACACCCCATGCCCATTCAAAGTTGTAAAAATCATGACGCTGCACCCCACGGTTTACGTTCTAGGGGGCGCCAAAGATGACCCAAAAATCCACATTCTTAAAAGTCATTTTGGCCACTGCAGGAGTACAGAGTACTGCAGTTCTAGGGGGCGCCAAAGATGACCCAAAAATCCACATTCTTAAAAGTCTTTTTGGCCACTGCAGGAGTACAGAGTACTGCAGGATACACACACATACACACACACACACACACACACACACACACACACACACACACACACACACACACACACTCAGAGTCTGTTTTTTAGCACCTGCAAAAACATGCTGTTTACATATTTGACAAGAATGCAGAGGCTTCCTTTTGCCCCTGAAAAAAATCAGATTTCAAACACAACTTGACTGTTCATTTCTCCAAAAGACAACCATGAAGCTCCATCCAAACCTGAAGCAGATAGTTGGTGCATGTGTACAGTAACCTGAGGGGAGTGAGGTGACTATTTCTGAGGAGAACATGAGCAGTGAAGATTCACCTTGGAGCTAGAACAGGGACGTGCACATGATTATACAGGGGCAGGGGCTCAAGTTTTTTCCAGTCATTTATACAATATGGAAATTAATGTGAAATTAAACCACAAATATGTGTGATGAACTGTTTTTAAAACTTAAACTTCAAATAAAAATTGTAAACTTCAAAACATATGCAAATTTTTAACAAAGAACATAGTAATTTACCTCTATTTACATCAAAATGCAGGCAATGGCCCAGGCGTTCTTTGTAAAATTATTTACAAAACACTGTATAGTCTCACAAATGTCACTTTTTATTTATGCCACTACAAAAAAACATGATGTAAATGATGCATGATGTAAAAAACTTGTGTAGATCCTCCTCTATGTCAGTCCATGTGTAATTTTTCCATAATTCTTTGTTTTTTGCAGCATTTTTAGGGCCCGAGCGTAGCTGCTAAGCAGCTGCGAGAGCCCTCTTGTTAGGGCCCGAGCGTAGCTGCTAAGCAGCTGCGAGAGCCCTCTTGTTCCTGATGGATTCTTCTTTCGTTATTTTTCCTCCGCTTTAAACTGGAAAATGGCCCACTTCCCACTGGCGAAAACTCAGGAAATTTGGCAGGACGACCGGGCCTGGTGAAAAATTCGATATTCTGAAGTCGCCCAAACAAAAAAATGAAAAATGGCTCCATAGCGCCCCCTATGGTGAAAACTCACCTGACGCCTGTACGCTTTGTCAAAATGACACAAAATTTGACACACATGTGTATCTCAATAAGATCTACAAAAAAGTCAGTGCGGGCGTATCTGTCAAATGTACCGTTAAAGGGCTATTTCGCATTTTTTGCCGATCCGCACACATTGGAATTTCGCTAACTCCTCCGAAGGCTTTCGTTCCACCGGCACCAAATTTGCTCAGGACAATCTACACCCCATGGCCATTAAAAGTTGTACAAATAATGACGCTGCACCCCACGGTTTACATTCTAGGGGGCGCCAAAGATAACCCAAAAATCCACATTCTTAAAAGTCTTATAACTTTTTATTTTTGTCCTCACTGGCCTCCAAGTTTTCTAGGATGATGCAATGTCCAGCCATCAACACATTTGTGAAGAAATTTTTACTCCCCAAAAGAGCGCCCCCCCATGGCAGGAGAAAAAATCCATTTTTTCTTGTCCCCTAAGGTGAAAATACACATTGTTGAGTGCCACGCCTGAACGCTTTGTCATATTGACACAAAATTTGACAATCACGTGTATCTCAATAAGATCTATGAAAAAGTCAATGCACAAATATCTGTAAAATGTACGGTTAAAGGGCTATTTTGCATTTTTTGCCGATTCACACACATTGGAATGTGGCTAACTCCTCCTAAGGCTTTCGTCCCACTGACACCAAATTTGCTCAGGCCAATCTACACCCCATGGCCATTCAAAGTTGTAAAAATCATGACGCTGCACCCCACGGTTTACGTTCTAGGGGGCGCCAAAGATGACCCAAATATCCACATTCTTAAAAGAATCCACACCCCCCCCCCCCTCCCCCCATGGCAGGAGAAAAAGTCAAGTTTTTCCTGCCCATCGCTCAATGGCTCAATCGCATCGCTCTTTCGGCAAAAGCGAAAGGAGGGGCAACTTGCCATTTGGATATATCCTAGCTGTGTTCGTGCCCTCACTCATGGTCCAGACTTTTTTCAAATAGGACATGAAGTTTCTCTGCAGCGAGTGTTTTGGTAGAAACTGCGCCTCCCATTCATTATAATGGGAAATGACCACAGACAAGTGCGCACTCCATCTTTGGACCTTGAGTGTGACGCGATCGGGAGGTGGAGGCGGTCGCGCTGGGGGCGGCGCGACGCGGCGCGACGCGGCTCGGGCCCGACAGTGCCCCACCGGGGCCCTAGTTAGGGCCCGAGCGTAGCTGCTAAGCAGCTGCGAGAGCCCTCTTGTTCCTGCATGTTTCCTTCTTTCGTTATTATTTTTCCTCCGCTTTAAACTGGAAAATGGCCCACTTCCCACTGGCGAAAACTCATGAAATTTGGCAGGACGACCGGGCCTGGTGAAAAATTCGATATTCTGAAGTTGCCCAAACAATAAAATGCAAAATGGCTCCATAGCGCCCCCTAAGGTGAAAATTCACATGACGGCTGTACGCTTTGTCATATTGACACAAAAATTGACACACACATGTATCTCAATAAGATCTACAAAAAAGTCAGTGCGGGCGTATCTGTCAAATGTACGGTTAATGGGTTATTTTGCATTTTTTGCAGATCTGCACACATTGGAATTTCGCTAACTCCTCCGAAGGCTTTCGTTCGACCGGCACCACATTTGCGCAGGCCAATCTACCCCCCATGGCCATTAAAAGTTGTACAAATCATGACGCTGCACCCCACGGTTTACGTTCTAGGGGGCGCCAAAGATAACCCAAAATCCACATTCTTAAAAGTCTTATAACTTTTTATTTTTGTCCTCACTGCCCTCCAAGTTTTCTAGGATGATGCAATGTCCAGCCATCAACACATTTGTGAAGGAATTTTTACTCCCCAAAAGAGCGCCCCCCCATGGCAGGAGAAAAAAGTCAATTTTTTCTTGTCCCCTTACATGAAAATACACATTGTTGAGTGTCACGCCTGAACGCTTTGTCATATTGACACAAAAATTGACAATCATGTGTATCTCAATTAGATCTACGAAAAAGTCAAAAAGCGCGTATCTGTATAATGTACGGTTAAAGGGCTATTTCGCATTTTTTTCCGATTTGCACACATTGGAATGTGGCTATCTCCTCCTAAGGCTTTCGTCCCACCGATACCAAATTTGCTCAGGGCAATCTACACCCCATGGCCATTCAAAGTTGTAAAAATCATGACGCTGCACCCCACGGTTTACGTTCTAGGGGGCGCCAAAGATGACCCAAAAATCCACATTCTTAAAAGTCATTTTGGCCACTGCAGGAGTACAGAGTACTGCAGTTCTAGGGGGCGCCAAAGATGACCCAAAAATCCACATTCTTAAAAGTCTTTTTGGCCACTCCAGGAGTACAGAGTACTGCAGGATACACACACATATACACACACACACACACACACACACACACACACACACACACACACACACACACACACTCAGAGTCTGTTTTTTAGCACCTGCAAAAACATGCTGTTTACATATTTGACAAGAATGCAGAGGCTTCCTTTTGCCCCTGAAAAAAATCAGATTTCAAACACAACTTGACTGGTCATTTCTCCAAAAGACAACCATGAAGCTCCATCCAAACCTGAAGCAGATAGTTGGTGCATGTGTACAGTAACCTGAGGGGAGTGAGGTGACTATTTCTGAGGAGAACATGAGCAGTGAAGATTCACCTTGGAGCTAGAACAGGGACGTGCACATGATTATACAGGGGCAGGGGCTCAAGTTTTTTCCAGTCGTTTATACAATATGGAAATTAATGTGAAATTAAAAAAACAAAGTATTAATAGAAAGGTAATGACTGTCCTGTGTAGGTGACAGTGATATCCAATAGGCTAGGCACTCACGAGGCTGGCTGTGGCAAGTGTAAGTGAAAGCAACACGCACTGGCAGGAAGAACAGCAAACGCCGATGAAGGAAAAGGGTCTTTGCAGTGATGGGCGTTACCAGAGAGGACGATGGCCAGAGGACGCGAATGGGACGGGGAGGCAGCGCGTTGGGGGGGGGGGGGGGGCGACACAGCTCGGGCCCGCCAGTGCCCCAACGGGACCCTAGTTCTTTCTTTCTTTCTTCTTTTTCCTCCCCTTTGAACTGGAAAATGGCCCACTTCCCACTGGCGAAAACTCATGAAATTTGGCAGGACGACCGGGCCTGGTGAAAAATTCGATATTCTGAAGTCGCCCAAACAATAAAATGCAAAATGGCTCCATAGCGCCCCCTAAGGTGGAAATTCACACTATTGACTGTCACGCCTGTACGCTTTGTCATATTGACACAAAAATTGACACACATATGTATCTCAATAAGATCTACAAAAAAGTCAGTGCGGCCGTATCTGTCAAAATTACGGTTAAAGGGTTATTTCGCATTTTTTGCCGATCCGCACACATTGGAATTTCGCTAACTCCTCCGAAGGCTTTCGTTCCACCGGCACCACATTTGCTCAGGCCAATCTACACCCCGTGGCCATTAAAAGTTATCAAAATCATGACGCTGCACCCCAAGGTTTAGGTTCTAGGGGGCGCCAAAGATAACACTAAAATCCACATATTTAAAAGTCTTATAACTTTTTATTTTTGTCCTCACTGCCCTCCAAGTTTTCTAGGATGATGCAATGTCCAGCCATCAACACATTTGTGAAGGAATTTTTACTCCCCAAAAGAGCGCCCCCCCATGGCAGGAGAAAAAAGTCAATTTTTTCTTGTCCCCTTACATGAAAATACACATTGTTGAGTGTCACGCCTGAACGCTTTGTCATATTGACACAAAAATTGACAATCATGTGTATCTCAATTAGATCTACGAAAAAGTCAAAAAGCGCGTATCTGTATAATGTACGGTTAAAGGGCTATTTCGCATTTTTTGCCGATTCGCACACATTGGAATTTCGCTAACTCCTCCGAAGGCTTTCGTTCGACCGGCACCACATTTGCGCAGGCCAATCTACCCCCCATGGCCATTAAAAGTTGTACAAATCATGACGCTGCACCCCACGGTTTACGTTCTAGGGGGCGCCAAAGATAACCCAAAATCCACATTCTTAAAAGTCTTATAACTTTTTATTTTTGTCCTCACTGGCCTCCAAGTTTTCTAGGATGATGCAATGTCCAGCCATCAACACATTTGTGAAGGAATTTTTACTCCCCAAAAGAGCGCCCCCCCATGGCAGGAGAAAAAAGTCCATTTTTTCTTGTCCCCTAAGGTGAAAATACACATTGTTGAGTGTTACGCCTGTACGCTTTGGCAAAATGACACAAAAATTGACACACACATGTAACTCAATAAGATCTACAAAAAAGTCAATGCGCGCGTATCTGTCAAATGTACGGTTAAAGGGTTATTCCGCATTTTTTGCCGATTCGCACACATTGGAATTTCGCTAACTCCTCCGAAGGCTTTCGTTCCACCGGCACCACATTTGCTCAGGCCAAATTACACCCCATGGCCATTAAAAGTTATTCAAATCATGACGCTGCACCCCACGGTTTAAGTTCTAGGGGGCGCCAAAGATAACCCAAAAATCCACATTTTTAAAAGTCTTTTAACTTTTTATTTTTGTCCTCACTGGCCTCCAAGTTTTCTAGGATGATGCAATGTCCAGCCATCAACACATTTGTGAAGGAATTTTTACTCCCTAAAAGAGCGCCCCCCCATGGCAGGAGAAAAAAGTCCATTTTTCTTGTCCCCTAAGGTGAAAATACACATTGTTGACTGTCACGCCTGTACGCTTTGGCAAAATGACACAAAAATTGACAATCATGTGTATCTCAATTAGATCTACGAAAAAGTCAAAGAGCGCGTATCTGTATAATGTACGGTAAAAGGGCTATTTTGCATTTTTTTCCAATTCGCACACATTGGAATTTCGCTAACTCCTCCTAAGGCTTTCGTCCCACTGACACCAAATTTGCTCAGGCCAATCTACACTCCATGGCCATTCAAAGTTGTAAAAATCATGACGCTGCACCCCACGGTTTACGTTTTAGGGGGCGCCAAAGATGACCCAAATATACATTACAGTAGACAAAGTAGTTTTGCCCACTGAGTGGCGCCAAAGGGACTTGTCTGTGGAGTCTGTGAGTCACTATTGGCCGTTTTTGACTACTTTAGATTTTACCTTTATATTTCCTCTGACAAAATTTTTACCTTGCCTTGCCTGGTATCATTTTTTTCAGCACAACCTCACCTGTGTCAATTTACAGTTATTTTATCATTTTGACATACTATATTTACACATTGGACCCAAATTCACACACAAAACATAAAATCCGAGTGGAAAAAAGTAACGTTTTTACTGTGAAAACCACAAATATGTGTGATGAACTGTTTTTAAAACTTAAACTTCAAATAAAAATTGTAAACTTCAAAACATATGCAAATTTTTAACAAAGAACATAGTAATTTACCTCTATTGACATCAAAATGCAGGCAATGGCCCAGGTGTTCTTTGTAAAATTATTTACAAAACACTGTATAGTCTCACAAATGTCACTTTTTATTTATGCCACTACAAAAAAACATGATGTAAATGATGCATGATGTAAAACATGATGTAAAAAACTTGTGTAGATCCTCCTCTATGTTAGTCCATGTGTAATTTTTCCATAATTCTTTGTTTTTTGCAGCATTTTTGTTAGTGTAACTGCAGATTGTGCTGACAGTGTCTATGGCAAAAAAAAAAAAAACTGAAAATGCCTCAACATGAACTCCTGGTGGTCTCTGAGGGTGAAACCTGCTAACTGCTGCAGCTCTGTCAGCTTCAGTCTCCCATGCAGAGCTCGGAGCGCATGTGTGGCTCTGCACCCTTAGCAGTGTTGCTAACTCCTCAGTAAGGAAAGCCTGCTTCATGTCAGAGTCTCTAAACTCCAGAAGAAGTCGATAAAAGTCACTTTCTTTCTAAAAAAGTCGTTAGGGGGTCTGAAAAGTCATTGAATCTAACAACAAAGTCGCTAGGTTTGCAACTACGTGTCCCAGACTGCATCCCTGCTGAGAGTCCCTCCCTCCCTTCTCATATTGCAGGAAGAACGTAAGTTCCCGCCCCTTGTCAATCAGTCACCATATAATTTTGGATTGGTTGTTGTGGTGAAGTTTTCCACCAATAGGAGAGATGTTGTGGTGTGTTTTTTTTTCCTTTGGCAAGCCTTTTCCGCCTGTAAGACCTGTCGCTAATGTCTGCATGCTATGTTTTCCTGTCTCATACAGCGCGATCGAGCGCCGAACGTGATCAAAATAAGCAGAAAAAAAGTATCGCGGACATAATTTATCATAACTCTGGTTTTATTTGGCCTATCAACACAATTTAAAAACTGGTATATAGGTTGAGGTCCTCACTTTTGAGATAAATTGAAACGGAGAGTCAACGAGGCTCCGTCTTGCAGCTACATCCGGTTAAATATGTCATGTGACTTGAACGCACACACACACACACACACACACACACACACACAGACACACACACACACGCACACACACACACACTCAGAGTCTGGTTTTTAGCACCTGCAAAAACATGCTATTTACATATTTGACAAGAATGCAGAGGCTCCTTTTGCCCCTGAAAAAAATCAAATTTCAAACACAACTTGACTGGTCATTTCTCCAAAAGACAACCATGAAGCTCCATCCAAACCTGAAGCAGGCAGTTGGTGCATGTGTACAGTAACCTGAGGGGAGTGAGGTGACTGCTTCTGAGGAGAACATGAGCAGTGAAGATTCACCTTAGAGCTAGAACAGAGACGTGCACATGATTATACAGGGGCAGGGGCTCAAGTTTTTTCCAGTTGTTTATACAATATGGAAATTAATGTGAAATTAAAAAACAAAGTATTAATAGAAAGGTAATGACTGTCCTGTGTAGGTGACAGTGATATCCAATAGGCTAGGCACTCACGAGGCTGGCTGTGGCAAGTGTAAGTGAAAGCAACACGCACTGGCAGGAAGAACAGCAAACGCCGATGAAGGAAAAGGGTCTTTGCAGTGATGGGCGTTACCAGAGAGGGCGACGGCCAGAGGACGCGAATGGGACGGGGAGGCAGCGCGTTGGGGGGGGGACGCGACACAGCTCGGGCCCGCCAGTGCCCCAACGGGGTCCTAGTTAGGGCCCGAGCCAGCTGCAGAGCAGCCGGGCGTAGGCCCTATTATTCCCCAAGTGGTTTTTCTTTGTTTCTTTCTTTCTTTCTTTCTTTCTTCTTTTTCCTCCCCTTTGAACTGGAAAATGGCCCACTTCCCACTGGCGAAAACTCATGAAATTTGGCAGGACGACCGGGCCTGGTGAAAAATTTGATATTCTGAAGTCGCCCAAACATTAAAATGCAAAATGGCTCCATAGCGCCCCCTAAGGTGGAAATTCACACTATTGACTGTCACGCCTGTACGCTTTGTCATATTGACACAAAAATTGACACACATATGTATCTCAATAAGATCTACAAAAAAGTCAGTGCGGCCGTATCTGTCAAAATTACGGTTAAAGGGTTATTTCGCATTTTTTGCCGATCCGCACACATTGGAATTTCGCTAACTCCTCCGAAGGCTTTCGTTCCACCAGCACCACATTTGCTCAGGCCAATCTACACCCCGTGGCCATTAAAAGTTATCAAAATCATGACGCTGCACCCCAAGGTTTAGGTTCTAGGGGGCGCCAAAGATAACACTAAAATCCACATATTTAAAAGTCTTATAACTTTTTATTTTTGTCCTCACTGGCCTCCAAGTTTTCTAGGATGATGCAATGTCCAGCCATCAACACATTTGTGAAGGAATTTTTACTCCCCAAAAGAGCGCCCCCCCATGGCAGGAGAAAAAAGTCCATTTTTTCTTGTCCCCTAAGGTGAAAATACACATTGTTGAGTGTCACGCCTATACGCTTTGTCAAAATGACACAAAAATTGACACACACATGTAACTCAATAAGATCTACAAAAAAGTCCATGCGCGCGTATCTGTCAAATGTACAGTTAAAGGGTTATTCCGCATTTTTTGCCGATACGCACACATTGGAATTTCGCTAACTCCTCCGAAGGCTTTCGTTCCACCGGCACCACATTTGCTCAGGCCAATCTACACCCCATGGCCATTAAAAGTTATTCAAATCATGATGCTGCACCCCACGGTTTAGGTTCTAGGGGGCGCCAAAGATAACCCAAAAATCCACATTCTTAAATGTTTTATAACTTTTTATTTTTGTCCTCACTGGCCTCCAAGTTTTCTAGGATGATGCAATGTCCAGCCATCAACACATTTGTGAAGGAATTTTTACTCCCCAAAAGAGCGCCCCCCCATGGTAGGAGAAAAAAGTCAATTTTTTCTTGTCCCCTTACATAAAAATACACATTGTTGAGTGTCACGCCTGAACGCTTTGTCATATTGACACAAAAATTGACAATCATGTGTATCTCAATTAGATCTACGAAAAAGTCAAAGAGCGCGTATCTGTATAATGTACGGTTAAAGGGCTATTTTGCATTTTTTGCCGATTCGCACACATTGGAATGTGGCTATCTCCTCCTAAGGCTTTCGTCCCACCGATACCAAATTTGCTCAGGGCAATCTACACCCCATGCCCATTCAAAGTTGTAAAAATCATGACGCTGCACCCCACGGTTTACGTTCTAGGGGGCGCCAAAGATGACCCAAAAATCCACATTCTTAAAAGTCATTTTGGCCACTGCAGGAGTACAGAGTACTGCAGTTCTAGGGGGCGCCAAAGATGACCCAAAAATCCACATTCTTAAAAGTCTTTTTGGCCACTGCAGGAGTACAGAGTACTGCAGGATACACACACATATACACACACGCCAACATACACACACACACACACACACACACACACACACACACAGACACACACACACACTCAGAGTCTGTTTTTTAGCACCTGCAAAAACATGCTGTTTACATATTTGACAAGAATGCAGAGGCTTCCTTTTGCCCCTGAAAAAAATCAAATTTCAAACACAACTTGACTGTTCATTTCTCCAAAAGACAACCATGAAGCTCCATTTCAAACCTGAAGCAGATAGTTGGTGCATGTGTACAGTAACCTGAGGGGAGTGAGGTGACTATTTCTGAGGAGAACATGAGCAGTGAAGATTCACCTTGGAGCTAGAACAGGGACGTGCACATGATTATACAGGGGCAGGGGCTCAAGATTTTTCCAGTCATTTATACAATATGGAAATTAATGTGAAATTAAACCACAAATATGTGTGATGAACTGTTTTTAAAACTTAAACTTCAAATAAAAATTGTAAACTTCAAAACATATGCAAATTTTTAACAAAGAACATAGTAATTTACCTCTATTTACATCAAAATGCAGGCAATGGCCCAGGCGTTCTTTGTAAAATTATTTACAAAACACTGTATAGTCTCACAAATGTCACTTTTTATTTATGCCACTACAAAAAAACATGATGTAAATGATGCATGATGTAAAACATGATGTAAAAAACTTGTGTAGATCCTCCTCTATGTCAGTCCATGTGTAATTTTTCCATAATTATTTGTTTTTTGCAGCATTTTTGTTAGTGTAACTGCAGATTGTGCTGACAGTGTCTATGGCACAAAAAAAAAAAAAATTAAAATGCCTCAACATGAACCCCTGGTGGTCTCTGAGGGTGAAACCTGCTAACTGCTGCAGCTCTGTCAGCTTCAGTCTCCCATGCAGAGCTCTGAGCGCATGTGTGGCTCTGCACCCTTAGCAGCGTTGCTAACTCCTCAGTAAGGAAAGCCTGCTTCATGTCAGAGTCTCTAAACTCCAGAAGAAGTCGATAAAAGTCCCTTTCTTTCTAAAAAAAGTCGTTAGGGTGTCTGAAAAGTCATTGAATCTAACAACAAAGTCGCTAGGTTTGCAACTACGTGTCCCAGACTGCATCCCTGCTGAGAGTCCCTCCCTCCCTTCTCATGTTGCAGGAAGAACGTAAGCGCCCGCCCCTTGTCAATCAGTCACCATATAATTTTGGATTGGTTGTTGTGGTGAAGTTTTCCACCAATAGGAGAGATGTTGTGGTGTGTTTTTTTTTTCTTTTGGCAAGCCTTTTCCGCCTGTAAGACCTGTCGCTAATGTCTGCATGCTATGTTTTCCTGTCTCATACAGCGCGATCGAGCGCCGAACGTGATCAAAATAAGCAGAAAAAAAGTATCGCGGACATAATTTATCATAACTCTGGTTTTATTTGGCCTATCAACACAATTTAAAAACTGGTATATAGGTTGAGGTCCTCACTTTTGAGATAAGTTGAAACGGAGAGTCAACGAGGCTCCGTCTTGCAGCTACATCCGGTTAAATATGTCATGTGACTTGAACGCACACATAGACACACACACACGCACACACACACACACACACACACACACACACACACACACACACACACACACACACACTCAGAGTCTGGTTTTTAGCACCTGCAAAAACATGCTATTTACATATTTGACAAGAATGCAGAGGCTCCTTTTGCCCCTGAAAAAAATCAAATTTCAAACACAACTTGACTGGTCATTTCTCCAAAAGACAACCATGAAGCTCCATCCAAACCTGAAGCAGGCAGTTGGTGCATGTGTACAGTAACCTGAGGGGAGTGAGGTGAGTGCTTCTGAGGAGAACATGAGCAGTGAAGATTCACCTTGGAGCTAGAACAGAGACATGCACATGATTATACAGGGGCAGGGGCTCAAGTTTTTTCCAGTCGTTTATACAATATGGAAATTAATGTGAAATTAAAACACAAAGTATTAATAGAAAGGTAATGACTGTCCTGTGTAGGTGACAGTGATATCCAATAGGCTAGGCACTCACGAGGCTGGCTGTGGCAAGTGTAAGTGAAAGCAACACGCACTGGCAGGAAGAACAGCAAACGCCGATGAAGGAAAAGGGTCTTTGCAGTGATGGGCGTTAACAGAGAGGGCGATGGCCAGAGGACACAAATGGGACGGGGAGGCAGCACGTTGGGGGGTGGGGGGTGGGGGGGGGAGACGCGACACGGCTCGGGCCCGCCAGTGCCCCAACGGGGTCCTAGTTATTATTTTTCCTCCCCTTTGAACTGGAAAATGGCCCACTTCCCACTGGCGAAAACTCATGAAATTTGGCAGGACGACCGGGCCTGGTGAAAAATTTGATATTCCGAAGTCGCCCAAACAAGAAAATGCAAAATGGCTCCATAGCGCCCCCTAAGGTGAAAATTCACACTATTCACTGTCACGCCTGTACGCTTTGTCAAAATGACACAAAAATTGACACACACATGTATCTCAATAAGATCTACAAAAAAGTCAGTGCGGGCGTATCTGTCAAATGTACGGTTAAAGGGTTATTTCGCATTTTTTGCCGATCCGCACACATTGGAATTTCGCTAACTCCTCCGAAGGCTTTCGTTCCACCGGCACCACATTTGCTCAGGCCAATCTACACCCCATGGCCATTAAAAGTTATTCAAATCATGACGCTGCACCCCACGGTTTAGGTTCTAGGGGGCGCCAAAGATAACCCTAAGATCCACATATTTAAAAGTCTTATAACTTTTTATTTTTGCCCTCACTGGCCTCCAAGTTTTCTAGGATGATGCAATGTCCAGCCATCAACACATTTGTGAAGGAATTTTTACTCCCCAAAAGAGCGCCCCCCCATGGCAGGAGAAAAAAGTCCATTTTTTCTTGTCCCCTAAGGTGAAAATACACATTGTTGAGTGTAACACCTGTACGCTTTGGCAAAATGACACAAAAATTGACACACACATGTATCTCAATAAGATCTACGAAAAAGTCAATGCGCGCGTATCTGTCAAATGTACGGTTAAAGGGTTATTCCGCATTTTTTGCCGATCCGCACACATTGGAATTTCGCTAACTCCTCCGAAGGCTTTCGTTCCACCGGCACCACATTTGCTCAGGCCAATCTACACCCCATGGCCATTAAAAGTTATTCAAATCATGACGCTGCACCCCACGGTTTAGGTTCTAGGGGGAGCCAAAGATAACCGTAAAATCCACATATTTAAAAGTCTTATAACTTTTTATTTTTGTCCCCACTGGCCTCCAAGTTTTCTAGGATGATGCAATGTCCAGCCATCAACACATTTGTGAAGGAATTTTTACTCGCCAAAAGAGCGCCCCCCATGGCAGGAGAAGAAAGTCAATTTTTTCTTGTCCACTAAGGTGAAAATACACATTGTTGAGTGCTACGCCTGTATGTTTTGTCGTATTGACACAAAATTTTACATACACGTGTATTTCAATAAGATCTTCGAAAAAGTCAATGGCCACGTATCTGTAAAATGTACGGTTAAAGGGTTATTTCGCATTTTTTGCAGATTGGCACACATTGGAATTTCGCTAATTCCTCCGAAGGCTTTCGTTCCACCGGCACCACATTTGCTCAGGCCAATCTACACCCCATGGCCATTAAAAGTTATTCAAATCATGACGCTGCACCCCACGGTTTAGGTTCTAGGGGGCGCCAAATATAACCCTAAAATCCACATATTTAAAAGTCTTATAACTTTTTATTTTTGTCCTCACTGGCCTCCATGTTTTCTAGGATGATGCAATGTCCAGCCATCAACACATTTGTGAAGGAGTTTTTTCTCTTTAAAAGAGCGCCCCCCATGGCAGGAGAATAAAGTCAAGTTTTTCCTGTTCATCATTCAATGGCTCAAACGCACTGCTCTCTCGGCAAAAGCGAAAGGAGGAGCAACTTGCCATTTGGATATATCTTAGCTGTGTTTGTGCCCTCACTCATGGTCCAGACTTTTTTCAAATAGGACATGGAGTTTTTCTGCAGCGAGCGTTTTGGTAGAAACTGCGCCTCCCGTTCATTATAATGGTAAATGACCACAAACAAGTGCGCACACCATCTTTGGACCTTGAGTGTGACGCGATCGGGTGGGGGAGGCGGTCGCGCTGGGGGCGGCGTGACACGGCTCGGGCCCGCCAGTGCCCCAACGGGGCCCTAGTTCTTCTTTTTCCTCCCCTTTGAACTGGAAAATGGCCCACTTCCCACTGGCGAAAACTCATGAAATTTGGCAGGACGACCGGGCCTGGTGAAAAATTCGATATTCTGAAGTCGCCCAAACAATAAAATTCAAAATGGCTCCATAGCGCCCCCTAAGGTGGAAATTCACACTATTGACTGTCACGCCTGTACGCTTTGTCATATTGACACAAAAATTGACACACATATGTATCTCAATAAGATCTACAAAAAAGTCAGTGCGGCCGTATCTGTCAAAATTACGGTTAAAGGGTTATTTCGCATTTTTTGCCGATCCGCACACATTGGAATTTCGCTAACTCCTCCGAAGGCTTTCGTTCCACCGGCACCACATTTGCTCAGGCCAATCTACACCCCGTGGCCATTAAAAGTTATCAAAATCATGACGCTGCACCCCAAGGTTTAGGTTCTAGGGGGCGCCAAAGATAACACTAAAATCCACATATTTAAAAGTCTTATAACTTTTTATTTTTGTCCTCACTGGCCTCCAAGTTTTCTAGGATGATGCAATGTCCAGCCATCAACACATTTGTGAAGGAATTTTTACTCCCCAAAAGAGCGCCCCCCCATGGCAGGAGAAAAAAGTCCATTTTTTCTTGTCACCTAAGGTGAAAATACACATTGTTGAGTGTAACACCTGTACGCTTTGGCAAAATGACACAAAAATTGACACACACATGTATCTCAATAAGATCTACGAAAAAGTCAATGCGCGCGTATCTGTCAAATGTACGGTTAAAGGGTTATTCCGCATTTTTTGCCGATCCGCACACATTGGAATTTCGCTAACTCCTCCGAAGGCTTTCGTTCCACCGGCACCACATTTGCTCAGGCCAATCTACACCCCATGGCCATTAAAAGTTATTCAAATCATGACGCTGCATCCCACGGTTTAGGTTCTAGGGGGCGCCAAAGATAACCCTAAAATCCACATATTTAAAAGTCTTATAACTTTTTATTTTTGTCCTCACTGGCCTCCAAGTTTTCTAGGATGATGCAATGTCCAGCCATCAACACATTTGTGAAGGAATTTTTACTCCCCAAAAGAGCGCCCCCCCATGGCAGGAGAAAAAAGTCAATTTTTTCTTGTCCCCTAAGGTGGAAATTCACACTATTGACTGTCACGCCTGTACGCTTTATCATATTGACACAAAAATTGACACACATATGTATCTCAATAAGATCTACAAAAAAGTCAATTCGCGCGTATCTGTCAAATGTACGGTTAAAGGGCTATTTTTCATTTTTTGCCGATTCGCACACATTGGAATGTGGCTAACTCCTCCTAAGGCTTTCGTCCCACTGACACCAAATTTGCTCAGGCCAATCTACACCCCATGGCCATTCAAAGTTGTAAAAATCATGACGCTGCACCCCACGGTTTAGGTTCTAGGGGGCGCCAAAGAGGACCCAAAAATCCACATTCTTAAAAGAATCCACATCCCCCCCCCTATGGCAGGAGAAAAAGTCAAGTTTTTCCTGCCCATCGCTCAATGGCTCAATCGCATCGCTCTCCAGGCAACACCGTAAGGAGGAGCAACCTGGCATTTCGATATATCATAGCTGTGTTTGTGCCCTCACTCATGGTCCAGACTTTTTTCAAATAGGACATGAAGTTTGTCTGCAGCGAGTGTTTTGGTAGAAACTGCGCCTCCCATTCATTATAATGGGAAATGACCACAGACAAGTGCGCACACCATCTTTGGTTCTTGAGTGTGACGCGATCGGGACGGGGAGGCGGTCGCACTGGGGGCGGCGCGACGCGGCTCGGGCCCGACAGTGCCCCACCGGGGCCCTAGTTCTTTCTTTCTTTCTTCTTTTTCCTCCCCTTTGAACTGGAAAATGGCCCACTTCCCACTGGCGAAAACTCATGAAATTTGGCAGGACGACCGGGCCTGGTGAAAAATTCGATATTCTGAAGTCGCCCAAACAATAAAATGCAAAATGGCTCCATAGCGCCCCCTAAGGTGGAAATTCACACTATTGACTGTCACGCCTGTACGCTTTGTCATATTGACACAAAAATTGACACACATATGTATCTCAATAAGATCTACAAAAAAGTCAGTGCGGCCGTATCTGTCAAAATTACGGTTAAAGGGTTATTTCGCATTTTTTGCCGATCTGCACACATTGGAATTTCGCTAACTCCTCCGAAGGCTTTCGTTCCACCGGCACCACATTTGCTCAGGCCAATCTACACCCCGTGGCCATTAAAAGTTATCAAAATCATGACGCTGCACCCCAAGGTTTAGGTTCTAGGGGGCGCCAAAGATAACACTAAAATCCACATATTTAAAAGTCTTATAACTTTTTATTTTTGTCCTCACTGGCCTCCAAGTTTTCTAGGATGATGCAATGTCCAGCCATCAACACATTTGTGAAGGAATTTTTACTCCCCAAAAGAGCGCCCCCCCATGGCAGGAGAAAAAAGTCCATTTTTTCTTGTCCCCTAAGGTGAAAATACACATTGTTGAGTGTCACGCCTATACGCTTTGTCAAAATGACACAAAAATTGACACACACATGTAACTCAATAAGATCTACGAAAAAGTCAATGCGCGCGTATCTGTCAAATGTACGGTTAAAGGGTTATTTCGCATTTTTTGCCGATCCGCACACATTGGAATTTCGCTAACTCCTCCGAAGGCTTTCGTTCCACCGGCACCACATTTGCTCAGGCCAATCTACACCCCGTGGCCATTAAAAGTTATCAAAATCATGACGCTGCACCCCACGGTTTACGTTCTAGGGGGCGCCAAAGATAACCCTAAAATCCACATATTTAAAAGTCTTATAACTTTTTATTTTTGTCCTCACTGGCCTCCAAGTTTTCTAGGATGATGCAATGTCCAGCCATCAACACATTTGTGAAGGAATTTTTACTCCCCAAAAGAGCGCCCCCCCATGGCAGGAGAAAAAAGTCCATTTTTTCTTGTCCCCTAAGGTGAAAATACATATTGTTGAGATTCACGCCTATACGCTTTGTCATATTGACACAAAATTTGACAATCACATGTATCTCAATCAGATCTACGAAAAAGTCTATGCGCGCGTATCTGTAAAATGTACGGTTAAAGGGCTATTTTGCATTTTTTGCCGATTCGCACACATTGGAATGTGGCTAACTCCTCCTAAGGCTTTCGTCCCACTGACACCAAATTTGCTCAGGCCAATCTACACCCCATGGCCATTCAAAGTTGTAAAAATCATGACGCTGCACCCCACGGTTTACGTTCTAGGGGGCGCCAAAGATGACCCAAATATCCACATTCTTAAAAGAATCCACATCCCCCCCATCCCCCATCCCCCATGGCAGGAGAAACAGTCAAGTTTTTCCTGCCCATCACTCAATGGCTCATTCGCATCACTCTCCCGGCAACACCGTAACGAGGAGCAACTTGCCGTTTGGATATATCCTAGCTGTGTTTGTGCCCTCACTCATGGTCCAGACTTTTTTCAAATAGGACATGTAGTTTGTCTGCAGCGAGTGTTTTGGTAGAAACTGCGCCTCCCATTCATTATAATGGGAAATGACCACAGACAAGTGCGCACACCATCTTTGGACCTTGAGTGTGACGCGATCGGGAGGGGTAGGCGGTCGCGCTGGGGGCGGCGCAACGCGGCTCGGGCCCGACAGTGCCCCACCGGGGTCCTAGTTAGGGCCCGAGCGTAGCTGCTAAGCAGCTGCGAGAGCCCTATTATTCCCCAAGGGGTTTTTAGGGCCCGAGCGTAGCTGCTAAGCAGCTGCAAGAGCCCTCTTGTTCCTGTAGTTTCCTTCTTTAGGGCCCGAGCGTAGCTGCTAAGCAGCTGCGAGAGCCCTATTATTCCTGATGGATTCTTCTTTCTTCTTCTTCTTCTTCTTATTATTTTTCTGCCCCTTTGAACTGGAAAATGGCCCACTTCCCACTGGTGAAAAGTCATGAAATTTGGCAGGACGACCGGGCCTGGTGAAAAATTCGATATTCTGAAGTCGCCCAAAAAATCAAATGCAAAATGGCTCCATAGCGCCCCCTAAGGTGAAAAATTCACATGATTGAGTGTCACGCCTGTACGCTTTGTCAAAATGACACAAAATTTGACACACACGTGTATCTCAATAAGATCTACAAAAAAGTCAGTGCGGGCGTATCTGTCAAATGTACGGTTAAAGGGCTATTTCGCATTTTTTGCCGATCCGCACACATTGGAATTTCGCTAACTCCTCCGAAGGCTTTCGTTCCACCGGCACCAAATTTGCTCAGGCCAATCTACACCCCATGGCCATTAAAAGTTGTACAAATCATGACGCTGCATCCCACGGTTTACGTTCTAGGGGGCGCCAAAGATAACCCAGAAATCCACATTCTTAAAAGTCGTATAACTTTTTATTTTTGTCCTCACTGGCCTCCAAGTTTTCTAGGATGATGCAATGTCCAGCCATCAACACATTTGTGAAGGAATTTTTACTCCCCAAAAGAGCGCCCCCCCATGGCAGGAGAAAAAAGTCCATTTTTTCTTGTCTCCTAAGGCGAAAATTCACACTATTGACTGTCACGCCTTTACGCTTTGTCATATTGACACAAAAAATGACACACACATGTATCTCAATAAGATCTACAAAAAAGTCAGTGCGGGCGTATCTGTCAAATGTACGGTGAAAGGGCTATTTCGCATTTTTTGCCGATCCGCACACATTGGAATTTCGCTAACTCCTCCGAAGGCTTTCGTTCCAAAGGCACCACATTTGCTCAGGCCAATCTACACCCCATGGCCATTAAAAGTTGTACAAATCATGACGCTGCACCCCACGGTTTACGTTCTAGGGGGCGCCAAAGATAACCCAAAAATCCACAGTCTTAAAAGTCTTATAACTTTTTATTTTTGTCCTCACTGGCCTCCAAGTTCTCTAGGATGATGCAATGTCCAGCCATCAACACATTTGTGAAGGAATTTTTACTCGCCAAAAGAGCGCCCCCCCATGGCAGGAGAAAAAAGTCCATTTTTTCTTGTCTCCTAAGGCGAAAATACACATTGTTGACTGTCACGCCTTTACGCTTTGTCAAAATGACACAAAATTTGACACACACATGTATCTCAATAAGATCTACAAAAAAGTCAGTGCGGGCGTATCTGTCAAATGTACGGTTAAAGGGTTATTTCGCATTTTTTGCCGATCCGCACACATTGGAATTTCGCTAACTCCTCCTAAATCTTTTGTCCCATCGGCTTCAAATTTGCTCAGGTCAATCTACACCCCATGGCCATTCAAAATTGTACAAATCATGACGCTGCACCCCACAGTTTACGTTCTAGGGGGCGCCAAAGAGGACCCAAATATCCACATTTTTAAAAGTCTTATAACTTTTTATTTTTGTCCTCACTGGCCTCCAAGTTTTCTAGGATGATGCAATGTCCAGCCATCAACACATTTGTGAAGGAATTTTTTCTCCCCAAAAGAGGGCCCCCCCATGGCAGGAGAAAAAGTCAAGTTTTTCCTGCCCATCGCTCAATGGCTCAAACGCATCGCTCTCTCTGCAAAACCGAAAGGAGGAGCAACTTGCCATTTGGATATATACTAGCTGTGTTTGTGCCCTCACTCATGGTCCAGACTTTTTTCAAATAGGACATGTAGTTTGTCTGCAGCGAGCGTTTTGGTAGAAACTGCGCCTCCCATTCATTATAATGGGAAATGACCACAGACAAGTGCGCACACCATCTTTGGACCTTGAGTGTGACGCGATCGGGAGGGGGAGGCGGTCGCGCTGGGGGCGGCGCGACGCGGCTCGGGCCCGACAGTGCCCCACCGGGGCCCTAGTTCTTCTTCTTCTTCTTCTTATTATTTTTCTGCCCCTTTGAACTGGAAAATGGCCCACTTCCCACTGGTGAAAAGTCATGAAATTTGGCAGGACGACCGGGCCTGGTGAAAAATTCGATATTCTGAAGTCGCCCAAAAAATCAAATGCAAAATGGCTCCATAGCGCCCCCTAAGGTGAAAAATTCACATGATTGAGTGTCACGCCTGTACGCTTTGTCAAAATGACACAAAATTTGACACACACGTGTATCTCAATAAGATCTACAAAAAAGTCAGTGCGGCCGTATCTGTCAAATGTACGGTTAAAGGGCTATTTCGCATTTTTTGCCGATCCGCACACATTGGAATTTCGCTAACTCCTCCGAAGGCTTTCGTTCCACCGGCACCAAATTTGCTCAGGCCAATCTACACCCCATGGCCATTAAAAGTTGTACAAATCATGACGCTGCATCCCACGGTTTACGTTCTAGGGGGCGCCAAAGATAACCCAGAAATCCACATTCTTAAAAGTCGTATAACTTTTTATTTTTGTCCTCACTGGCCTCCAAGTTTTCTAGGATGATGCAATGTCCAGCCATCAACACATTTGTGAAGGAATTTTTACTCCCCAAAAGAGCGCCCCCCCATGGCAGGAGAAAAAAGTCCATTTTTTCTTGTCTCCTAAGGCGAAAATTCACACTATTGACTGTCACGCCTTTACGCTTTGTCATATTGACACAAAAATTGACACACACATGTATCTCAATAAGATCTACAAAAAAGTCAGTGCGGGCGTATCTGTCAAATGTACGGTGAAAGGGCTATTTCGCATTTTTTGCCGATCCGCACACATTGGAATTTCGCTAACTCCTCTGAAGGCTTTCGTTCCAAAGGCACCACATTTGCTGAGGCCAATCTACACCCCATGGCCATTAAAAGTTGTACAAATCATGATGCTGCACCCCACGGTTTACGTTCTAGGGGGCGCCAAAGATAACCCAAAAATCCACAGTCTTAAAAGTCTTATAACTTTTTATTTTTGTCCTCACTGGCCTCCAAGTTCTCTAGGATGATGCAATGTCCAGCCATCAACACATTTGTGAAGGAATTTTTACTCGCCAAAAGAGCGCCCCCCATGGCAGGAGAAAAAAGTCCATTTTTTCTTGTCTCCTAAGGCGAAAATACACATTGTTGACTGTCACGCCTTTACGCTTTGTCAAAATGACACAAAATTTGACACACACATGTATCTCAATAAGATCTACAAAAAAGTCAGTGCGGGCGTATCTGTCAAATGTACGGTTAAAGGGTTATTTCGCATTTTTTGCCGATCCGCACACATTGGAATTTCGCTAACTCCTCCTAAATCTTTTGTCCCATCGGCTTCAAATTTGCTCAGGTCAATCTACACCCCATGGCCATTCAAAGTTGTACAAATCATGACGCTGCACCCCACAGTTTACGTTCTAGGGGGCGCCAAAGAGGACCCAAATATCCACATTTTTAAAAGTCTTATAACTTTTTATTTTTGTCCTCACTGGCCTCCAAGTTTTCTAGGATGATGCAATGTCCAGCCATCAACACATTTGTGAAGGAATTTTTTCTCCCCAAAAGAGCGCCCCCCCATGGCAGGAGAAAAAGTCAAGTTTTTCCTGCCCATCGCTCAATGGCTCAAACGCATCGCTCTCTCTGCAAAACCGAAAGGAGGAGCAACTTGCCATTTGGATATATACTAGCTGTGTTTGTGCCCTCACTCATGGTCCAGACTTTTTTCAAATAGGACATGTAGTTTGTCTGCAGGAAGCGTTTTGGTAGAAACTGCGCCTCCCATTCATTATAATGGGAAATGACCACAGACAAGTGCGCACACCATCTTTGGACCTTGAGTGTGACGCAATCGGGAGGGGGAGGCGGTCGCGCTGGGGGCGGCGCGACGCGGCTCGGGCCCGACAGTGCCCCACCGGGGCCCTAGTTTGTTATTATTATTATTATTTTTCCTCCCCTTTGAACTGGAAAATGGCCCACTTCCCACTGGCGAAAACTCATGAAATTTGGCAGGACGACCGGGCCTGGTGAAAAATTTGATATTCCGAAGTCGCCCAAACAAGAAAATGCAAAATGGCTCCATAGCGCCCCCTAAGGTGAAAATTCACACTATTCACTGTCACGCCGGTACGCTTTGTCAAAATGACACAAAAATTGACACACACATGTATCTCAATAAGATCTACAAAAAAGTCAGTGCGGGCGTATCTGTCAAATGTACGGTTAAAGGGTTATTTCGCATTTTTTGCCGATCCGCACACATTGGAATTTCGCTAACTCCTCCGAAGGCTTTCGTTCCACCGGCACCACATTTGCTCAGGCCAATCTACACCCCATGGCCATTAAAAGTTATTCAAATCATGACGCTGCACCCCACGGTTTAGGTTCTAGGGGGCGCCAAAGATAACCCTAAGATCCACATATTTAAAAGTCTTATAACTTTTTATTTTTGCCCTCACTGGCCTCCAAGTTTTCTAGGATGATGCAATGTCCAGCCATCAACACATTTGTGAAGGAATTTTTACTCCCCAAAAGAGCGCCCCCCATGGCAGGAGAAAAAAGTCCATTTTTTCTTGTCCCCTAAGGTGAAAATACACATTGTTGAGTGTAACACCTGTACGCTTTGGCAAAATGACACAAAAATTGACACACACATGTATCTCAATAAGATCTACGAAAAAGTCAATGCGCGCGTATCTGTCAAATGTACGGTTAAAGGGTTATTCCGCATTTTTTGCCGATCCGCACACATTGGAATTTCGCTAACTCCTCCGAAGGCTTTCGTTCCACCGGCACCACATTTGCTCAGGCCAATCTACACCCCATGGCCATTAAAAGTTATTCAAATCATGACGCTGCACCCCACGGTTTAGGTTCTAGGGGGCGCCAAAGATAACTGTAAAATCCACATATTTAAAAGTCTTATAACTTTTTATTTTTGTCCCCACTGGCCTCCAAGTTTTCTAGGATGATGCAATGTCCAGCCATCAACACATTTGTGAAGGAATTTTTACTCGCCAAAAGAGCGCCCCCCATGGCAGGAGAAAAAAGTCCATTTTTTCTTGTCCACTAAGGTGAAAATACACATTGTTGAGTGCTACGCCTGTATGTTTTGTCGTATTGACACAAAATTTTACATACACGTGTATTTCAATAAGATCTTCGAAAAAGTCAATGGCCACGTATCTGTAAAATGTACGGTTAAAGGGTTATTTCGCATTTTTTGCAGATTCGCACACATTGGAATTTCGCTAACTCCTCCGAAGGCTTTCGTTCCACCGGCACCACATTTGCTCAGGCCAATCTACACCCCATGGCCATTAAAAGTTATTCAAATCATGACGCTGCACCCCACGGTTTAGGTTCTAGGGGGCGCCAAAGATAACCCTAAAATCCACATATTTAAAAGTCTTATAACTTTTTATTTTTGTCCTCACTGGCCTCCATGTTTTCTAGGATGATGCAATGTCCAGCCATCAACACATTTGTGAAGGAGTTTTTTCTCTTTAAAAGAGCGCCCCCCATGGCAGGAGAATAAAGTCAAGTTTTTCCTGTTCATCATTCAATGGCTCAAACGCACTGCTCTCTCGGCAAAAGCGAAAGGAGGAGCAACTTGCCATTTGGATATATCTTAGCTGTGTTTGTGCCCTCACTCATGGTCCAGACTTTTTTCAAATAGGACATGGAGTTTTTCTGCAGCGAGCGTTTTGGTAGAAACTGCGCCTCCCGTTCATTATAATGGTAAATGACCACAAACAAGTGCGCACACCATCTTTGGACCTTGAGTGTGACGCGATCGGGTGGGGGAGGCGGTCGCGCTGGGGGCAGCGTGACACGGCTCGGGCCCGCCAGTGGCCCAACGGGGCCCTAGTTCTTTGTTTCTTTCTTTCTTTCTTTCTTCTTTTTCCTCCCCTTTGAACTGGAAAATGGCCCACTTCCCACTGGCGAAAACTCAGGAAATTTGGCAGGACGACCGGGCCTGGTGAAAAATTCGATATTCTGAAGTCGCCCAAACAATAAAATGCAAAATGGCTCCATAGCGCCCCCTAAGGTGGAAATTCACACTATTGACTGTCACGCCTGTACGCTTTGTCATATTGACACAAAAATTGACACACATATGTATCTCAATAAGATCTACAAAAAAGTCAGTGCGGCCGTATCTGTCAAATGTACGGTTAAAGGGTTATTTTGCATTTTTTTCCGATCCGCACACATTGGAATTTCGCTAACTCCTCCGAAGGCTTTCGTTCCACCGGCACCACATTTGCTCAGGCCAATCTACACCCCGTGGCCATTAAAAGTTATCAAAATCATGACGCTGCACCCCAAGGTTTAGGTTCTAGGGGGCGCCAAAGATAACACTAAAATCCACATATTTAAAAGTCTTATAACTTTTTATTTTTGTCCTCACTGGCCTCCAAGTTTTCTAGGATGATGCAATGTCCAGCCATCAACACATTTGTGAAGGAATTTTTACTCCCCAAAAGAGCGCCCCCCATGGCAGGAGAAAAAAGTCCATTTTTTCTTGTCCCCTAAGGTGAAAATACACATTGTTGACTGTCACGCCTTTACGCTTTGTCAAAATGACACAAAAATTGACACACACATGTAACTCAATAAGATCTACGAAAAAGTCAACGCGCGCGTATCTGTCAAATGTACGGTTAAAGGGTTATTCCGCATTTTTTGCCGATCCGCACACATTGGAATTTCGCTAACTCCTCCGAAGGCTTTCTGTCCACCGGCACCACATTTGCTCAGGCCAATCTACACCCCATGGCCATTAAAAGTTATTCAAATCATGACGCTGCACCCCACGGTTTAGGTTCTAGGGGGCGCCAAAGACAACCCTAAAATCCACATATTTAAAAGTCTTATAACTTTTTATTTTTGTCCTCACTGGCCTCCAAGTTTTCTAGGATGATGCAATGTCCAGCCATCAACACATTTGTGATGCCATCAACACATTGTGATCAACACGTTTGATTCACGCCTATACGCTTTGTCATATTGACACAAAATTTGACAATCACGTGCCTTGCCTGGTATCATTTTTTTTCAGCACAACCTCACCTGTGCGAATTTACAGTTATTTTATCATGTTGACATACTGAATTTACACAATGGACCCAAATTCACACACAAAACATAAAATCCGAGTGGAAAAAAGTAACATTTTTACTGTGAAAACCACAAATATGTGTGATGAACTGTTTTTAAAACTTAAACTTCAAATAAAAATTGTAAACTTCAAAACATATGCAAATTTTTAACAAAGAACATAGTAATTTACCTCTATTTACATCAAAATGCAGGCAATGGCCCAGGTGTTCTTTGTAAAATTATTTACAAAACACTGTATAGTCTCACAAATGTCACTTTTTATTTATGCCACTACAAAAAAACATGATGTAAATGATGCATGATGTAAAACATGATGTAAAAAACTTGTGTAGATCCTCCTCTATGTCAGTCCATGTGTAATTTTTCCATAATTCTTTGTTTTTTGCAGCATTTTTGTTAGTGTAACTGCAGATTGTGCTGACAGTGTCTATGGCACAAAAAAAAAAAAAAATTTAAAATGCATCAACATGAACCCCTGGTGGTCTCTGAGGGTGAAACCTGCTAACTGCTGCAGCTCTGTCAGCTTCAGTCTCCCATGCAGAGCTCTGAGCGCATGTGTGGCTCTGCACCCTTAGCAGCGTTGCTAACTCCTCAGTAAGGAAAGCCTGCTTCATGTCAGAGTCTCTAAACTCCAGAAGAAGTCGATAAAAGTCCCTTTCTTTCTAAAAAAAAGTCGTTAGGGGGTCTGAAAAGTCATTGAATCTAACAACAAAGTCGCTAGGTTTGCAACTACGTATCCCAGACTGCATCCCTGCTGAGAGTCCCTCCCTCCCTTCTCATGTTGCAGGAAGAACGTAAGCGCCCGCCCCTTGTCAATCAGTCACCATATAATTTTGGATTGGTTGTTGTGGTGAAGTTTTCCACCAATAGAAGAGATGTTGTGGTGTGTTTTTTTTTTCTTTTGGCAAGCCTTTTCCGCCTGTAAGACCTGTCGCTAATGTCTGCATGCTATGTTTTCCTGTCTCATACAGCGCGATCGAGCGCCGAACGTGATGCAGCTACATCCGGTTAAATATGTCATGTGACTTGAACGCACACACAGACACACACACGCACACACACACACACACACACACACACTCAGAGTCTGGTTTTTAGCACCTGCAAAAACATGCTATTTACATATTTGACAAGAATGCAGAGGCTCCTTTTGCCCCTGAAAAAAATCAAATTTCAAACACAACTTGACTGGTCATTTCTCCAAAAGACAACCATGAAGCTCCATCCAAACCTGAAGCAGGCAGTTGGTGCATGTGTACAGTAACCTGAGGGGAGTGAGGTGACTGCTTCTGAGGAGAACATGAGCAGTGAAGATTCACCTTGGAGCTAGAACAGAGACATGCACATGATTATACAGGGGCAGGGGCTCAAGTTTTTTCCAGTCGTTTATACAATATGGAAATTAATGTGAAATTAAAACACAAAGTATTAATAGAAAGGTAATGACTGTCCTGTGTAGGTGACAGTGATATCCAATAGGCTAGGCACTCACGAGGCTGGCTGTGGCAAGTGTAAGTGAAAGCAACACGCACTGGCAGGAAGAACAGCAAACGCCGATGAAGGAAAAGGGTCTTTGCAGTGATGGGCGTTACCAGAGAGGGCGATGGCCAGAGGACACAAATGGGACGGGGAGGCAGCACGTTGGGGGGGGACGCGACACGGCTCGGGCCCGCCAGTGCCCCAACGGGGTCCTAGTTATTATTTTTCCTCCCCTTTAAACTGGAAAATGGCCCACTTCCCACTGGCGAAAACTCATGAAATTTGGCAGGACGACCGGGCCTGGTGAAAAATTTGATATTCTGAAGTCGCCCAAACAATAAAATGCAAAATGGCTCCATAGCGCCCCCTAAGGTGGAAATTCACAGTATTGACTGTCACGCCTGTACGCTTTGTCAAAATGACACAAAATTTGACACACATATGTATCTCAATAAGATCTACAAAAAAGTCAGCGCGGGCGTATCTGTCAAATGTACGGTTAAAGGGCTATTTCGCATTTTTTGGCGATCCGTACACATTGGAATTTCGCTAACTCCTCCGAAGGCTTTTGTTCCACCGGCACCACATTTGCTCAGGCCAATCTGCACCCCATGGCCATTAAAAGTTATTCAAATCATGACGCTGCACCCCACGGTTTAGGTTCTAGGGGGCGCCAAAGATAACCCTAAAATCCACATATTTAAAAGTCTTATAACTTTTTATTTTTGTCCTCACTGGCCTCCAAGTTTTCTAGGATGATGCAATGTCCAGCCATCAACACATTTGTGAAGGAATTTTTACTCCCCAAAAGAGCGCCCCCCCATGGCAGGAGAAAAAAGTCCATTTTTTCTTGTCCCCTAAGGTGAAAATACACATTGTTGAGTGTCACGCCTCTACACTTTGTCAAAATGACACAAAATTTGGCACACAGGTGTGTCTCAATAAGATCTACGAAAAAGTCAATGCGGGCGTATCTGTCAAATGTACGGTTAAAGGGCTATTTCGCATTTTTTGGCGATCCGTACACATTGGAATTTCGCTAACTCCTCCGAAGGCTTTTGTTCCACCGGCACCACATTTGCTCAGGCCAATCTACACCCCATGGCCATTAAAAGTTATTCAAATCATGACGCTGCACCCCACGGTTTAGGTTCTAGGGGGCGCCAAAGATAACCCTAAAATCCACATATTTAAAAGTCTTATAACTTTTTATTTTTGTCCTCACTGGCCTCCAAGTTTTCTAGGATGATGCAATGTCCAGCCATCAACACATTTGTGAAGGAATTTTTACTCCCCAAAAGAGCGCCCCCCCATGGCAGGAGAAAAAAGTCCATTTTTTCTTGTCCCCTAAGGTGAAAATACACATTGTTGAGTGTCACGCCTCTACACTTTGTCAAAATGACAAAAAATTTGGCACACAGGTGTATCTCAATAATATCTACGAAAAAGTCAATGCGGGCGTATCTGTCAAATGTACGGTTAAAGGGCTATTTCGCATTTTTTGGCGATCCGTACACATTGGAATTTCGCTAACTCCTCCGAAGGCTTTTGTTCCACCGGCACCACATTTGCTCAGGCCAATCTGCACCCCATGGCCATTAAAAGTTATTCAAATCATGACGCTGCCCACGGTTTAGGTTCTAGGGGGCGCCAAAGATAACCCTAAAATCCACATATTTAAAAGTCTTATAACTTTTTATTTTTGTCCTCACTGGCCTCCAAGTTTTCTAGGATGATGCAATGTCCAGCCATCAACACATTTGTGAAGGAATTTTTACTCCCTAAAAGAGCGCCCCCCCATGGCAGGAGAAAAAGTCAAGTTTTTCCTGCCCATCGCTCAACGGCTCAAACACATCGCTCTCTCGGCAAAACCGAAAGGAGGAGAAACTTGCCATTTGGATATATCCTAGCTGTGTTTGTGCCCTCACTCATGGTCCAGACTTTTTTCAAATAGGACATGTAGTTTGTCTGCAGCGAGCGTTTTGGTAGAAACTGCGCCTCCCATTCATTATAATGGTAAATGACCACAGACAAGTGCGCACACCATCTTTGGACCTTGAGTGTGACGCGATCGGGAGGGAGAGGCGGTCGTGTTGGGGGCGGCGCGACACAGCTCGGGCCCGCCAGTGCCCCACTGGGGCCCTAGTTAGGGCCCGAGCGTAGCTGCTAAGCAGCTGCGAGAGCCCTATTATTCCCCAAGTGGTTTTTCTTTGTTTCTTTCTTTCTTTCTTTCTTTCTTTCTTCTTTTTCCTCCCCTTTGAACTGGAAAATGGCCCACTTCCCACTGGCGAAAACTCATGAAATTTGGCAGGACGACCGGGCCAGGTGAAAAATTCGATATTCTGAAGTCGCCCAAACAAGAAAATGCAAAATGGCTCCATAGCGCCCCCTAAGGTGGAAATTCACACTATTGACTGTCACGCCTGTACGCTTTGTCATATTGACACAAAAATTGACACACATATGTATCTCAATAAGATCTACAAAAAAGTCAGTGCGGCCGTATCTGTCAAAATTACGGTTAAAGGGTTATTTCGCATTTTTTGCCGATCCGCACACATTGGAATTTCGCTAACTCCTCCGAAGGCTTTCGTTCCACCGGCACCACATTTGCTCAGGCCAATCTACACCCCGTGGCCATTAAAAGTTATCAAAATCATGACGCTGCACCCCAAGGTTTAGGTTCTAGGGGGCGCCAAAGATAACACTAAAATCCACATATTTAAAAGTCTTATAACTTTTTATTTTTGTCCTCACTGGCCTCCAAGTTTTCTAGGATGATGCAATGTCCAGCCATCAACACATTTGTGAAGGAATTTTTACTCCCCAAAAGAGCGCCCCCCCATGGCAGGAGAAAAAAGTCCATTTTTTCTTGTCCCCTAAGGTGAAAATACACATTGTTGAGTGTCACGCCTATACGCTTTGTCAAAATGACACAAAAATTGACACACACATGTAACTCAATAAGTTCTACGAAAAAGTCAGTGCGCGCGTATCTGTCAAATGTACGGTTAAAGGGTTATTCCGCATTTTTTGCCGATCCGCACACATTGGAATGTGGCTAACTCCTCCTAAGGCTTTCGTTCCACCGGCACCACATTTGCTCAGGCCAATCTACACCCCATGGCCATTAAAAGTTATTCAAATCATGACGCTGCACCCCACGGTTTAGGTTCTAGGGGGCGCCAAAGATAACCCTAAAATCCACATATTTAAAAGTCTTATAACTTTTTATTTTTGTCCTCACTGGCCTCCAAGTTTTCTAGGATGATGCAATGTCCAGCCATCAACACATTTGTGAAGGAATTTTTACTCCCCAAAAGAGCGCCCCCCCATGGCAGGAGAAAAAAGTCAATTTTTTCTTGTCCCGTAAGGTGAAAATACATATTGTTGAGATTCACGCCTATACGCTTTGTCATATTGACACAAAATTTGACAATCACGTGCCTTGCCTGGTATCATTTTTTTCAGCACAACCTCACCTGTGCGAATTTACAGTTATTTTATCATGTTGACATACTGAATTTACACAATGGACCCAAATTCACACACAAAACATAAAATCCGAGTGTAAAAAAGTAACATTTGTACTGTGAAAACCACTAATATGTGTGATGAACTGTTTTTAAAACTTAAACTTCCAATTAAAATTGTAAACTTCAAAACATATGCAAATTTTTAACAAAGAACATAGTGATTTACCTCTATTTACATCAAAATGCAGGCAATGGCCCAGGCGTTCTTTGTAAAATTATTTACAAAACACTGTATAGTCTCACAAATGTCACTTTTTATTTATGCCACTACAAAAAAACATGATGTAAATGATGCATGATGTAAAACATGATGTAAAAAACTTGTGTAGATCCTCCTCTATGTCAGTCCATGTGTAATTTTTCCATAATTCTTTGTTTTTTGCAGCATTTTTGTTAGTGTAACTGCAGATTGTGCTGACAGTGTCTATGGCACAAAAAAAAAAAAATTAAAATGCCTCAACATGAACCCCTGGTGGTCTCTGAGGGTGAAACCTGCTAACTGCTGCAGCTCTGTCAGCTTCAGTCTCCCATGCAGAGCTCTGAGCGCATGTGTGGCTCTGCACCCTTAGCAGCGTTGCTAACTCCTCAGTAAGGAAAGCCTGCTTCATGTCAGAGTCTCTAAACTCCAGAAGAAGTCGATAAAAGTCCCTTTCTTTCTAAAAAAAGTCGTTAGGGGGTCTGAAAAGTCATTGAATCTAACAACAAAGTCGCTAGGTTTGCAACTACGTGTCCCGGACTGCATCCCTGCTGAGAGTCCCTCCCTCCCTTCTCATGTTGCAGGAAGAACGTAAGCGCCCGCCCCTTGTCAATCAGTCACCATATAATTTTGGATTGGTTGTTGTGGTGAAGTTTTCCACCAATAGGAGAGATGTTGTGGTGTGTTTTTTTTTCTTTTGGCAAGCCTTTTCCGCCTGTAAGACCTGTCGCTAATGTCTGCATGCTATGTTTTCCTGTCTCATACAGCACGATCGAGCGCCGAACGTGATCAAAATAAGCAGAAAAAAAGTATCGCGGACATAATTTATCATAACTCTGGTTTTATTTGGCCTATCAACACAATTTAAAAACTGGTATATAGGTTGAGGTCCTCACTTTTGAGATAAGTAGAAACGGAGAGTCAACGAGGCTCCGTCTTGCAGCTACATCCGGTTAAATATGTCATGTGACTTGAACGCACACACAGACACACACACACGCACACACACACACACACACACACACACACACTCAGAGTCTGGTTTTTAGCACCTGCAAAAACATGCTATTTACATATTTGACAAGAATGCAGAGGCTCCTTTTGCCCCTGAAAAAAATCAAATTTCAAACACAACTTGACTGGTCATTTCTCCAAAAGACAACCATGAAGCTCCATCCAAACCTGAAGCAGGCAGTTGGTGCATGTGTACAGTAACCTGAGGGGAGTGAGGTGAGTGCTTCTGAGGAGAACATGAGCAGTGAAGATTCACCTTGGAGCTAGAACAGAGACATGCACATGATTATACAGGGGCAGGGGCTCAAGTTTTTTCCAGTCGTTTATACAATATGGAAATTAATGTGAAATTAAAACACAAAGTATTAATAGAAAGGTAATGACTGTCCTGTGTAGGTGACAGTGATATCCAATAGGCTAGGCACTCACGAGGCTGGCTGTGGCAAGTGTAAGTGAAAGCAACACGCACTGGCAGGAAGAACAGCAAACGCCGATGAAGGAAAAGGGTCTTTGCAGTGATGGGCGTTACCAGAGAGGGCGATGGCCAGAGGACACAAATGGGACGGGGAGGCAGCACGTTGGGGGGGGGGGGGGGACGCGACACAGCTCGGGCCCGCCAGTGCCCCAACGGGGTCCTAGTTTTTCTTTTTCCTCCCCTTTGAACTGGAAAATGGCCCACTTCCCACTGGCGAAAACTCATGAAATTTGGCAGGACGACCGGGCCTGGTGAAAAATTTGATATTCCGAAGTCGCCCAAACAATAAAATGCAAAATGGCTCCATAGCGCCCCCTAAGGTGAAAATTCACATGACGGCTGTACGCTTTGTCATATTGACACAAAAATTGACACACACATGTATCTCAATAAGATCTACAAAAAAGTCAGTGCGGGCGTATCTGTCAAATGTACGGTTAATGGGTTATTTTGCATTTTTTGCAGATCTGCACACATTGGAATTTCGCTAACTCCTCCGAAGGCTTTCGTTCCACCGGCACCACATTTGCTCAGGCCAATCTACACCCCATGGCCATTAAAAGTTATTCAAATCATGACGCTGCACCCCACGGTTTAGGTTCTAGGGGGCGCCAAAAATAACCCTAAAATCCACATATTTAAAAGTCTTATAACTTTTTATTTTTGTCCTCACTGGCCTCCAAGTTTTCTAGGATGATGCAATGTCCAGCCATCAACACATCTGTGAAGGAATTTTTACTCCCCAAAAGAGCGCCCCCCCATGGCAGGAGAAAAAAGTCCATTTTTTCTTGTCCCCTAAGGTGAAAATACACATTGTTGAGTGTCACGCCTTTACGCTTTGGCAAAATGACACAAAAATTGACAATCACGTGCCTTGCCTGGTATCATTTTTTTCAGCACAACCTCACCTGTGCGAATTTACAGTTATTTTATCATGTTGACATACTGAATTTACACAATGGACCCAAATTCACACACAAAACATAAAATCCGAGTGGAAAAAAGTAACATTTTTACTGTGAAAACCACAAATATGTGTGATGAAGTGTTTTTAAAACTTAAACTTCAAATAAAAATTGTAAACTTCAAAACATATGCAAATTTTTAACAAAGAACATAGTGATTTACCTCTATTTACATCAAAATGCAGGCAATGGCCCAGGCGTTCTTTGTAAAATTATTTACAAAACACTGTATAGTCTCACAAATGTCACTTTTTATTTATGCCACTACAAAAAAACATGATGTAAATGATGCATGATGTAAAACATGATGTAAAAAACTTGTGTAGATCCTCCTCTATGTCAGTCCATGTGTAATTTTTCCATAATTCTTTGTTTTTTGCAGCATTTTTGTTAGTGTAACTGCAGATTGTGCTGACAGTGTCTATGGCACAAAAAAAAAAATTTAAAATGCCTCAACATGAACCCCTGGTGGTCTCTGAGGGTGAAACCTGCTAACTGCTGCAGCTCTGTCAGCTTCAGTCTCCCATGCAGAGCTCTGAGCGCATGTGTGGCTCTGCACCCTTAGCAGCGTTGCTAACTCCTCAGTAAGGAAAGCCTGCTTCATGTCAGAGTCTCTAAACTCCAGAAGAAGTCGATAAAAGTCCCTTTCTTTCTAAAAAAAAGTCGTTAGGGGGTCTGAAAAGTCATTGAATCTAACAACAAAGTCGCTAGGTTTGCAACTACGTGTCCCAGACTGCATCCCTGCTGAGAGTCCCTCCCTCGCTTCTCATGTTGCAGGAAGAACGTAAGCGCCCGCCCCTTGTCAATCAGTCACCATATAATTTTGGATTGGTTGTTGTGGTGAAGTTTTCCACCAATAGGAGAGATGTTGTGGTGTGTTTTTTTTTTCTTTTGGCAAGCCTTTTCCGCCTGTAAGACCTGTCGCTAATGTCTGCATGCTATGTTTTCCTGTCTCATACAGCGCGATCGAGCGCCGAACGTGATCAAAATAAGCAGAAAAAAAGTATCGCGGACATAATTTATCATAACTCTGGTTTTATTTGGCCTATCAACACAATTTAAAAACTGGTATATAGGTTGAGGTCCTCACTTTTGAGATAAGTTGAAACGGAGAGTCAACGAGGCTCCGTCTTGCAGCTACATCCGGTTAAATATGTCATGTGACTTGAACGCACACACAGACACACACACGCACACACACACACACACACACACACACACACACACACTCAGAGTCTGGTTTTTAGCACCTGCAAAAACATGCTATTTACATATTTGACAAGAATGCAGAGGCTCCTTTTGCCCCTGAAAAAAATCAAATTTCAAACACAACTTGACTGGTCATTTCTCCAAAAGACAACCATGAAGCTCCATCCAAACCTGAAGCAGGCAGTTGGTGCATGTGTACAGTAACCTGAGGGGAGTGAGGTGAGTGCTTCTGAGGAGAACATGAGCAGTCAAGATTCACCTTGGAGCTAGAACAGAGACATGCACATGATTATACAGGGGCAGGGGCTCAAGTTTTTTCCAGTCGTTTATACAATATGGAAATTAATGTGAAATTAAAACACAAAGTATTAATAGAAAGGTAATGACTGTCCTGTGTAGGTGACAGTGATATCCAATAGGCTAGGCACTCACGAGGCTGGCTGTGGCAAGTGTAAGTGAAAGCAACACGCACTGGCAGGAAGAACAGCAAACGCCGATGAAGGAAAAGGGTCTTTGCAGTGATGGGCGTTACCAGAGAGGGCGATGGCCAGAGGACACAAATGGGACGGGGAGGCAGCACGTTGGGGGGGGGGGGACACGACACGGCTCGGGCCCGCCAGTGCCCCAACGGGGTCCTAGTTTTAATATTGCAATCTATATCGCAGGTTTGAAAAAATTGCAATGTTTGTGTTTTCTAAAATCCTGCAGCCTTTATTTGGAAAACATAATGCTGATGACTGTCCCCGAATCCAGGCTGAGGACCAGGGGGGCCCAGGCTTTCTCTATCAGGGCCCCCACTCTCTAGAACAAAATACCTGAGGAGGTCAGACTGCAGAGTTCCTTATCTTCATTTAAAACTCTTTAATTATTATTATTGTATTTTTTCTTTCTTCTCTCACTTTCTCTTTTCTGTATTTCTATGATTATTCTGATGATGAAAACTGTTTTTCATGTTTCCAGACTGTCGTTTGAGCATTTTGAAGGTTAGTTGCAGGCTAACATCTACAGTAAACAGAGGGAAGAACACGGACCTGCTCTCTGCAGCTTTATTTCAGGGGTTAACATCACTTTCAGCTGTTTCTTCTGTCTCTGGAGCTCCTCTTCAAAGCAGGACGATGTTGATCCTTCATGGAGGTGTCTGTGAGCTGCAGTCAACAGCCGTCACCCGAATAACTCTCTAAGATCCGTAAACCCGGACATTTCCTCAAACTAAGACTCTTCTTCTCTTTTTTATTTCAGTGAGTCCAAGAGTCGATGAAGGAGAAGAAATCCCAAACTCTCTCTGTGATCACTCTGGTCCATCACTGAGAAGAGCCATTCCTGTCAACACATTTGGCCCTCAGAATAAAAGCACCACTTTAATAACTGTGCCTTATAATTTGTAATGGAGGTTCAAATGAAAAGATGATTTTAGAAATATGAGCACAGTCAGTGTTTCACAACTTCCCTGATTGATGAACGATCCAGAAAAGTGAGAAAAGTGAGGTTGGTGCTGCTGGACTAAAGTTTGTGTCAGGTGAGTTCATCTGTGTGCTGTAACAGAGACTGAAGCACATCTGCTGGTCTTTATCAGAGGTGATGAAACTGGTCTCAAACATTTCCTCTCATAGCAGAGTTACCGTGGAAACAGACCGGCATCACTGCTCAGGTATGACTGCAGACAAGTTTCAGTTCAACAAATTTCCACATAGAGTGAGTTTGCATGAGCAGCAGCATGCTCCAGTGCTCTGGGAGACTTTATAGTCCTGAGAGTTGAAGACTGGATGACTGACACCTGTCCTTCATCACAACAGAAGACACAGAAATCCTCCTCCTCCTCCTCCTGATCAGAAACATGACTGTGATCTGCGTCCTCATCTGGACTCTCCTCTGCTGCTGCTTCACAGGTAAAGTCCAGAGAATCCAACTCCTCTCCTCTATGAACATCCGTCCCTCTGAAATGAAGCCCACAAAACCATGACGCTGCTTTCTGTGTTTGTCTCTGTATCCTCAGAGTCCAGAGGACAGTACACAGTGACTCAGCCTGCGGCAGTGACCTCTGCTCCGGGAGGAAAACTGACGGCTGCAGCTGGAGGTTCAAAAACACACACCAAGATACAAACACACACACTGACATAAAATCATCTCTTGTGTTGATGATATACTGTTACACGTCTCCCTTCGTTTTGATCATGATCACTATTCCACCATTAATTCATTCAAACACCTTATCCACTTTAAAAATACTCTGAAGGTCTTTCAGCAACATTTGAAGACACTCAAATGACCCGTTCAACTAAAGCAGATATTTATACCAAGACATTTATTATAAAATCAAGTCAAACACAAAGAATTGTCTTTCTATATGAAACTGTCAGTATCTACCATAACAAAAAAAGAAGTTTTTCAGGCTCAAACTTTTTCAATCACATCCTCTGAAACAATAAAAACTGAATCATGTTTTCATGAACCTTCAGGATCATGTTGCTGCACTTGTTTAGTGAAGGCCAAAGGATCATGAGTGAATGTGAGACTGAAACCTTCATGCTGTCAAAGCTGTTAGGGAGAAACTCCAATCATATGTAGAGGACAGTTTCAGATGACTGACTCTGAGTGTTTGCATATGTGTCCTTCCTCTCTGCTCTCAGCTCTTAAGAGGTCAGAGTTCATGGGTGGCTGTCCAGACCCTTCAGAGACACGGACACGTCCAGAACACAATGATGGAGTTACTTATTGTAGTGGTGACCGCCCTGGGGCTCCTCATTCACGGTGAGGGTCACTGCTGAAAACTTGTTTTCAGACGTCTCCAGGTTGACCTCAGTGATGTTCTGCTGTGATTTAAAAACCCTGAAAAAAGCTGAATTTACAGTCTACAATCTGCTGGGTCTGTCTCAGGAACTCTTCTTCTTTTCTTCATGTTTTTCCGGTTCATCAGGAGATATCACCATGACTCAGTCTCCTGGAGCTGTAGCTGTTGTTCCAGGACAGACGGTTTCTCTCAGATGTAAAGCCAGTACATCTGTGAGTAATGATGTAGCCTGGTACCTTCAGAAACCTGGAGAAGCTCCTAAACTCCTGATTTATCAGGCTACAAACCGTCAGTCTGGAGTTCCTGATCGTTTTAGTGGATCTGGATCTGGGACAGACTTTACTTTGACCATCAATGGAGTCCAGACTGAAGACGCAGGAGTTTATCACTGTCAGCAGGATCACAGCCGTCCGTTCACACAGTGAAAAAGCGTCGTACAAAAACCTCCTCAGCTAAAGAGGAAGTGATCAGACTGAACATCTGCACAGTGACAGAGACACAGAATAAAACAGAGCACTAAGAGTGAATACTGACTATAGAAAATGTGTAAAATCATCATTTAGATAAAAGTTTGAACACTCTACATCTATTTGAGATATTTAATGTTGTTTCACCACAGAAAAGATTCATCCCACCATAATGAAATTATTTTGTTTCATTCTCTTCATTATTTTCCATTAAACTCACTGAACTCTAATCTTCCATTGTAAACACATGATATCACCGTACGCTGATGATATCCCGCTCTTCTTTGTTGACCTAAAAGTGTGACAAAGCTCAAAGATCTGAACTATCATCACTTTTTCTCTCAGTTTTAAGACCTCACAACAGATGAAACATCACCAGCAGACTTCAGTGAGATTATCGGCTGGTTTCTATTGTTGAATGAAATCATACTGGATTTACAGTTAGCTTATGGAGTGTTTGTTTCTTTCTTTTAACCTGGACCAACCATGAACCACATTTACGTTTTAATAAGGTCTGAAAAACTAAAGTAAATGATATTTTTGTTCTTCTTTGGGGATCATGTCTGACTAATAATTTTATATTGAAATAAATGAGGAGGAAAACCACACAGAGCTGACTTTAATGTAATGTTTTTATTTAGTTAAACTTCTGAAACGATCAAAGAGAGAAAAAGCAAAAACATGTTTGAGAAGAGAGAGAGAGAGAGAGAGTTTAGACTGAGAGCAGGAAGAGAGGAAAAACTGAATCAGGGTCCCAGTGAATCAGATCACTACTGGGAACACTCGTCTCTCCTCAGGGTATAAGAGACCGGAGTCTGGCAGCCCCGGATGGCCTCACAGGTCACAGAGACCACCTTGTTCCACCGGTCTGCAGGGAGCCTCAGGGTGCTGCTCCAGGTGTATTTACCGTCCTTCTCCAGCACCGCAGGGCTCCTGCTCTCCTCCCAGCTGCTGCTGCTGCTGCCGTCCACCTTCCAGACCAGAGTCCAGTCTGAGGGGAAGCCCTTGTTGGCCAGGCACATGAGCATGGCCTTCCCCTGCTGCTGCTGCAGCTCTTTTTTGGAGGGGGGCAGCACCGTCAGTTCGGGACGGGCATCACCTAGGAGACACCAATCAGCTTAGAGGACAGGGAGCACACAGCTGTCAATCAAACAGCAGACACTGGGACAGCTTTAATGTTGAACGTTGATTTTCTTCTTCATGGGCTTTCACTTCCCTTTAAGAAACCTCTCATGCACATCAGCACAGAGACACTCACATACTGACTAACCCCACTGAAAATCACTGAAATAACACAAACACTATCAGACCATTCAAACATTACACTTTTGACTATTCTGAGGAAATACATATCAATACTCATCAGTCAATCGATCGATCGATCGATCGATCAATCAGACGATCTAATGTTCTTCATGTGAGTTGAAATCCTCACCAGTCAGGTTCAAAAGAGTCTCATTTAAAAAGACATCAAGAGATCAGAGATGTTCTTCTTTTTCCTTCATGGTTTTTATGTCAACACTGGGTTGGAAATCTTCAAACGTCCAAATCAGATCAATATCATCAAGAGTTCAAAATGCAGTTTTCAAAAATGAGTTTAAATGAATTTCAAAAAAAGTGAAATTTTTTTTCTAAAAATAAAATTCAACCTTCAAGTCGGTCAGAATTTTGACATTTTATGACCAGACTGTGTGAAAAACTGTTCAGTGTATCTGTCCTGAATGAACCTCCGTGTGAAGAAACAACAGTGATCAATAAAAAAAGATCAAATCAAAATGTCCAAATTCAACAGAAAAAGTTCTGTTTCAAATAAGAATTTATACACTATGTTGAACTGAAAGATTTGATATTAAAATAGAAACTTACTTCCAAGATCCAGTCTGGTTCCTCCACCAAAAGTCCACCACAGTGATACAAAGTCATTGAGGCGCCGTACAAAAACCTCTGACTGTAGAGAGACACGGCTCTCTGACTCTGACTGAACTAAACCTACCAGCCCTCAGGATCCAACTGAATACCACCATTAGAAACACTTCATTATTTCATGGACTCAGATTTAATTGGAGTTTTTATACAGTTTTAGTTTCTAACTGACACCTGGATCCCTCAAGTTTCACTCGCTCTAAAACATGCAAAAAGAAAAAGAAACGCGAATATTTTTCCTTCAGTCTTTCAAAAGAAGAAATCAGAAACAAAAATGACTGACTCAAAAGAAAAAGACTTTATATTTGACTTACTTCCAACATCCAGTCTGGTTCCTCCACCGAACGTGTACCACAGTGATACAAAGTCATTGAGGCGCCGTACAAAAACCTCTGACTGTAGAGAGACACGGCTCTCTGACTCTGACACAAACAAAGTCACCTAAATGTGTCTCTGTCTGCAAGAGCTTTGAGCTCCAATGAAAGCAGAGAATTCAATGAAGTTCATTTGAATGAATCCAGTTTTTGAAGATCTTTATTGATTTACTGAATAGTTGACATTCATTGTCCTCAGCATCGGGCTAAGACTGAAGAAATCTCTCCAAATAGATGGATGAAGAAGAACAAACCTAAACCTTCATGATACAAGTCAGGAAAGCTGTTTGATCAATCAGGAGATGAATTGATTGATCCATTATTGATCATCATCATCATGTCTATAATCTAAGGCCCTGTTGGAGTTAATCTGAGCATTTCCATAGAGAGTGAGTTTGCATGAGCAGCAGCATGCTCCAGTGCTCTGGGAGACTTTATAGTCCTGAGAGTTGAAGACTGGATGACTGACAGCTGTCCTTCATCACAACAGAAGACACAGAAATCCTCCTCCTCCTCCTCCTCCTGATCAGAAACATGACTGTGATCTGCGTCCTCATCTGGACTCTCCTCTGCTGCTGCTTCACAGGTAAAGTCCAGAATATCCAACTCCTCTCCTCTATGAACATCCGTCCCTCTGAAATGAAGCCCACAAAACCATGACGCTGCTTTCTGTGTTTGTCTCTGTATCCTCAGAGTCCAGAGGAAAGATCACAGTGACTCAGCCTGCAGCTGTGACCTCTGCTCTGGGAGGAACCGCACAAATCAGCTGTAGTGTCAGTCAGAATGTGCATAGCAACGACCTATCTTGGTATCAACAGAAGGATGGAGAAACTCCTAAACTGCTCATTAGGTATACCAATCAGCTGTTATCAGGGATATCAAGTCGTTTTTCAGGCAGTGGATCTGGATCTAGTTTCACTCTGACCATCAGTGGAGTCCAGACTGAAGATGCAGCAGTTTACTACTGTCTGAGTTGGCATAGTGGACCTGTGTTCACACAGTGAAAAAGCGTCGTACAAAAACCTCCCTCAGTCAGACTGAACTGAAACTGAACTGACGGCTGCAGCTGGAGGTTCACACACACACACACACACACACACACACACACACACACACACACACACACACACACACACACACACACACACATAAAAAGGATTAATAATTAAACTTACCAACATCCCTCACATTAAACTCAGTTCCCTCTCATTAAATCTGCTTTTTTACAGATGACAGTGTTTTATACACCTCAATATCCTGATACCCTGATCTAATAACTGATCAAAGCTCCACTTTTTGAAAGAATAATAATTTGTTTTTTTCAGGCCTCATGGGGACATAATATTAATAAACAACATCAAGTTCTTCTCAGTTTGAACTTGGAGCAAAAATCTACTCCAGAATATATTATTATACTATATATTTATATGTATTTCTAACTAATTTGGAAGAAGGCTGCACGATATATCGTTTGAGCATCGTCATCGCGATGTATGTGTGCGTGATAGTGACATTGCAGAGCCTTCCAAGGGTAGATGACTGAGATACTCCGCATGTGACTCTGCATGTGCTGTTCAGCGATCCACCAATCACATTCGTTCTCTACTCAGTTGCCAATCAGACTACACTGCCAGCTGTCAATCAAAACCAGAGAGGAGGAAACCACGCCCGTGCACATGTCCTGCACATGGAGCTAGTCGCTGAAGCTAGCGGATCTGTGCCGAGAAACGCGTGTCCGTTCAGAAGTGCTTGGGAACATTCCTCATCACTGTTTAGCCCCACAAATAAGAACTGTATGGGTTTTAAATTGTACATTTCCGTGGACCACTCTACTATAAGCGGTGCGCGTTTCTGCCGGTTTCATACAATCCTCGGCGGGCACGGAAACAACATCAACGATTGTAAAATGAGAAACGAACAAGAGAAAACCGCCGAAGATCAATACGTGTTTACAAAAAGAACATGAACGTCACTTACCATTGAAGATGAATACTTGTTGATAAAAAGCGAAGCAACGTCACTTGCCCTTGAAGATCAATGCTTGTTGGAAAATAGAACAGTAACGTCACTTATCTGTAATTATTTCGGTTACAGAAAGGATGACGTCACCAAACACCTGTTCTGTGTCGGCAGTGCCTTTCATCAGTTGCCACAATAACGTCCCAGCACAATGAAAGCTAAAAAGATCTCTGAGACAGACAGAAGCCATTCTACTAACATTCACAAAAAGAGGTAAGATCAGTGCAGGGTAACTGTCCTCAAGATTTCAGCATAAAGTGATATTCAGGTCATCTGGTGAAAATTCCTCTATTTTTTAAATATTCCAATGTATATCGCAGGTTTGAAAAAATTGCAATGTTTGTGTTTTCTAAAACCGTACAGCCTTAATTTGGAAAACATAATGCTGATGACTGTACCCGAATCCAGGCTGAGGACCAGGGGGGCCCAGGCTTACCTATCAGGGCCCCCACTCTCTGGAACAAACTAACTGAGGAGATCAGACTGCAGAGTTGCTTATCTTCATTTAAAACTTTTTAAAAACTCATGTTGATAAGTGTGTCTTTACTAAACATGACTTTTAAATCTTAAAAGTTTTGTCGTAATTTATTAACCTCTAATTGGTTGGTCCAATTTTAACACATTATCATTTACAATATGACAAAAGTAAAAATGTCTTAATGAACGATCCAGAAAAGTGAGGTTGGTGCTGCTGGACTAAAGTTTGTGTCAGGTGAGTTCATCCGTGTCCTGTAACAGAGACTAAAGCACATCTGCTGGTCTTTATCAGAGAAGATAACACTGGTCTCAAACATTTCCCCTCATAGCTGAGTTACCGTGGAAACAGACCAGCATCACTGCTCAGGTATGACTGCAGACAAGTTTCAGTTCTACAAATTTTCACAAGTAGTGAGTTTGCATGAGCAGCAGCATGCTCCAGTGCTCTGGGAGACTTTATAGTCCTGAGAGTTGAAGACTGGATGACTGACAGCTGTCCTTCATCACAACAGAAGACACAGAAATCCTCCTCCTCCTCCTCCTGATCAGAAACATGACTGTGATCTGCGTCCTCATCTGGACTCTCCTCTGCTGCTGCTTCACAGGTAAAGTCCAGAGAATCCAACTCCTCTCCTCTATGAACATCCGTCCCTCTGAAATGAAGCCCACAAAACCATGACGCTGCTTTCTGTGTTTGTCTCTGTATCCTCAGAGTCCAGAGGACAGATCACAGTGACTCAGCCTGCAGCTGTGACCTCTGCTCTGGGAGAAGACGCACAAATCAGCTGTAGTGTCAGTCAGAATGTGTATAACAATGACCACTTAGCCTGGTTCCAACAGAAGGATGGAGAATCTCCTAAACAGCTCATTTATCGTACTAGCAGACGACTATCAGGGATATCAAGTCGTTTTTCAGGCAGTGGATCTGGATCTAGTTTCACTCTGACCATCAGTGGAGTCCAGACTAAAGATGCAGCAGTTTACTACTGTAGGAGTTATCACTACCCCAACAGTCAGCGTGTGTTCACACAGTAAAAAAGCGTCGTACAAAAACCTCCCTCAGTCAGACTGAACTGAAACTGAACTGACGGCTGCAGCTGGAGGTTTAAGACACACACACACACACACACAAATAAAAAGGAATAATATTTTCACTTTTTATAATAATAATAATGCATCAGATTTTTATAGCACCTTATCAGAGACCCTCAAAGCGCTTTACATTGGATACATTA